TGGTACCACATGGTCACAAAATATTATGAAACACAACATCACTGATGATTTCAAGCCTACTAAAATGAGATCACTTTAAACAGAGAAATAGCATTAAATCATGAAACACATGAAATCTGACAGACATTGGGTTAACCTCCTGTTAACTGTGTTTTAGTACCTTTATTCATGGTACTGTCAGCTCATTGCTGTCTGTGAATCTTTAAAACATGCCACACGTTCATGTGGGAGGAACAACATCTCATGTGATCCATGTGTGAGCCCGGTATCCTGAAAGAAAGGTGTTCATTTCCACGTGTTGGAGTTAACCCTGAGTGCAAGGCATGAAGGCAAGGCAGTATTTGAAAGATATACCTATAAAATAATATATATGAGTGTTAGAGGATGTGTGGATAGCATTCTTAATAAGATTGAAAAGTTTCACACAGGTTATTCAAAGTTCATTGTGCATTCTCACAGGAAAGAGACATAAAAAACTTTGCTTCCTGTCATTCTGGGAACATTAGTCTTCAGTGCACCTGGACTGCTGTGTTGCTCTTTGTTTATTCTTTCATGCTGACTTATTCCCGTCTAGATCAACTGCAAACAACAGCAAAAGAAAAGATACTTGGAAAGTATTTGAAGGGCTGTTTAAAAAAAGAACATGTAGAGTCACCTGGCTTTGCTTCACTCAGAAACACATCTGGAGGCCATGCTGGAGTGTGTGGATGTGCTGCAGAGGGACTGCAAAAAATGCAGGGAGTGCGATGCTCAGAGATTTACAGAAAATGCAATCCAGAATAAGACTCACTTTTAAAAGTGACTCCTTCATTTTTCGAAGTACATTTTATAAATGATCTAAAGCCAACAACATCATTTCTTTGTCTTGTATGACACATTTGTTTATTCTGGACAGGATCTTTCTTTGTTTATTTTCCATTATTTTCCTGTCAGGGTTCAAACCTGTTTTTTCAAATCCAGATTAAGGAGCTGGATATAGATGCAGGTGTTTGTAACTGTGGGAAACTGAGACATGTCATTTTGAGCTGCAAAACTAAAATTTGTTTAGCTTGATTTATAAACTTTAACCCTGTGTTAAGTATATCCAGGGGAATATCCTCTGGAGCAGAGGATAAGAATAAATCCTTGTCAGACAATTTTCCTGTCCACTTAGAGAAAAAAGGTGGAAATCAAGAGAAGAACAGATGACTTTGGCTGTGCTAAGTCTTCTTGCCGTAGGTCACTGAGGGCGGCAGTAACTCTCAACACTGGCTAATTGTGCGTGACACCCAAGAACACCCACCAATGATCAGAACACAGATACCGACAAATATCAGTGCTCACGCCTACAGGCAACTCAGATGGCAATCAATCAAAAGTTGTGATACAAGTTTCTGATGTTTATAGTTGTAATACAAATAAATAAATAAATAAATAAACATATATAAGGTATATAGATTAAATTTGATTGGATTAGATTCCCTCAAGTAAATTAAAATTCCAGAAAGACCCCCCCCCCAAAAAAAAAATAAAAAATAAAAAATATTTAATATTAATATAAAAAATAAAGATGTAATAGAAACGTCACATAATCTCAGTATTAATATGTACATTGCATATTACTGTTACAACAAATACTACAACTCCTCCTCCTCCTCCTACTGCTTCTGCTCCTTTCCACCGCATGTCCTCCTGTTAACCCTCCACCTCCCCAGAGAGGAGTTGACCAGTCTGATGGCATGAGGGAAAAAGGAGTTTTTCACTCTGCTGTTCCTGCATTTGGGAAGGAGCAGTCTGTCACTGAACAGTCTCCTCTGGTTGATAATGACAGTGTGCTGTGGGTGACTAGCATCATCCATAATGCCCGGTAATTTGTCCATAGTCCTCTTCTCGACCACCATCACCAGAGAGTCCAGCTTCATGCTAACCACAGAGCCGACATGTCTGATCAGTTTTTCCAGCCTCGATGTGTCCTTCTTGGATATGTAACATATACGCTCTTTTTTTAGTAACACATTTAAAGATAAGAAAAGATTAAAATTCAAGTTTTTACCTTATCTTATGTTACCTTTAAAAAATGTGGGACATTGTCACAGTTGTGCTGCATCATCTGCAACAACACTGCTGTCCTGCTGAAATATGCAAGTCTTCCCTGACAAAAGCATTGACTGGATGGTGGCATAGTTGCTCCAGAACCTGTAGAAGTAATGGTGACATTTATGATTTGTAAAACAATTTTATTTTTTTATTTTACAGACCACAGGATATAGTTTTTCGTTTTCACCTAAGTCAAGAGCACAGAGAAGTCACTGGGATTTCTGAATCATGTTTGTAATCTCTGTGCGCGTTACAGTTTTAACCTGCATTCATTGATGCTGTGATGGATGATCAGATGATTGTTTTTGGATGTGATTTTGAGCCCATGCAGTGGTTTTCACTAAAGTGTCATGTCTATTTTCAATGTGGAGCTGCTAGACGGGTCACATCCATTCAGTACTGGTTTGAAACTTCATTTCTTTTTAAAGAGGTTCCTGCAGACGTTGAATCTTTTAATCAATAAGGTGGTTTTTTTTGTTGTTTTTTTTAATTCAACTTTTACATAATTTTTTGGTCCCTGTCCCAACTATTTTGGAAGGAGTTGCTGGCATAAAATTTAAAATTATACACAGAATTAAAATAAATAGATAAATAAATCTATGACAATATTTGATATGTTGTTGCACTATTGCATGTACTATTTTGAAATATAGGTTGTATTTTAACTCCACTCTGTACCTTCTCTCTGAGGTTTGTAACCCACAGTCCAAGCAAAATCAGTCACACATATATCACGCTTGTTTTTGCGTCCACAAAATGAACACAAACAAAGAAGCAGTCATGTGAAGAAGTCCACCTGGACATTAACTCATTGACAACATCTGGCAACCTGCTGCTGTAGGCATGCTTTTCAGGTGTTGCTATTTTTGCTTCAAGGTCTTCATAGAACTTAAAAAATGTTCATGGAAGTCATGACTTATGGACCTAAAATTTACAAACAGAGTTATTTGACAAGCACACTGAAGGTGTAGCTATCTTTATTTTTGTTTAAGGCAATGATTAATCTTGGGTTGTATGAGATGTCACCATGGTGTGTAAAGAAGCCCCGAAGCAAGCCCTTGAACCCTTGCACTTGGACACTGCACATACCTGATGTCAGTTCAGTCTCAGAGAGTTTAGTGGTCCGGCCATAGGGCAGAGACTCAGGCAGGACCCTTCTTGGACTTGGACTTGTCTATTCTCATCCATTCCTTCTAAATTTTAAGTCCATGACGTTCTCAGTTAGCATAAATCAAATATATTTGTTTTTTCTTCATGTTTTGTTTGAGCGTTTGTGTTTTATTGGGAGTTTGTTGAATCTTTTTTCACCTCTGACCCACCAACCCCTTCAGGGAACATAAGTTACCCTGAGGTGAATGAGCAATGGGACTCAAGACTCTTCTATAGCAGGGTGAAAAATAATCCTTGTTAAAATTCATCTATTTTCATCTATGGTTAATTATAAACATTTACAATTTATTTCATATTATAAGACTATCAGTGAGAATAAACTGAATCCCAAGAGGATGAGACGACATCCCTCACCTTGAGTAGAGGTCTTGTGTCTCTCTGGGGATTCTGTTAAGCATAACCACTGGTTAATTTACCCTGCTCATTACCAGGCTACCCACTAAATACACCCACAAGCTGATTCTATGATCCTAACAGAATTTTATTGTTTTCATAATGATAAATAGCATAAAAAATGGTCATATAGCCTTAATACTTGGTAGTCTTTCATGGTGATGGTTTTCTTACCAAACAGCTTATGGATTGAATTAACATTAAAATCAACATTTTCATTCACTGCTTTTTTTTGCTGGAAAGTCACCTTCTTGTCTCACTGTCAGTATGAAAAAAAGTTAAATTAGGAGCTGTACACCTAAAATATTACAGAGAGATAAATGTGCAAGTATCTTGTCGAAATGTTTGATTTGATGGCATGAGTGAAACCATTATTTGGGGGAGCACACAGAAAAAAAAGACCTAAGCACGGTTCCAACAAAGCAAAAAGAGAGCTGTATTAAAGATCCACTATGCGATTTACTTCCAGAACAAAGTCGAACATTATCAATCTCCCATTGTTCTGGAGAAATGCCACGAGCTCCATCATGGTCATTTTTCTTCAGCCCAAGATGCCAAAAGAGATAAATCTTAGTCATTTTGTCTGTATCTCAGAACTGTACTGAGGTTAATGTTAAGTTGGATTTTTGTTTCCTCTTGAGTTTATCTATAAATTCCTCACTTTGGCTGTCTGCTTGGCAGATAGCAAGGCAACAGCTTTGCACCAGGTTGTGTTAGCGGAAATTTTTACAGAAGCAGCAGATCTTTAATCATGTTGGGCCTGAATTGAACCTCTGCACAGTAACAGATCCTACACCTTATATTTGAATTGATCTTTATTAAGTCATGTAGAAATATAGCAGAGAATGCATGTTTTAATGTATTCCAGTTTAAATAAAGAGGACTTTTCCTGAATGTTTGTATGAAATCCAACTTAATGTACAACATGAGAGAGGAGGTGGCAGCAGCCAGATAAAGAAGCAGGTAGGTGCATGGCTTCAAGCCCAACGGGGTCAAATAACACACAACCTGTCAGAAGATGCTGTGATGATCGGCACATTTGGGAGACGACTAACAGCATGTCTGGGGTGAGTAAGCGTGTTTGTTTATCAGTGTAAGTGAAGCATAAGATCGATTATTCAAGTAAATTCTGCTGAACTCATTCAATAACTGTCATGTTTTCTTAACCCTGAACAAAGTAACACTGGCTAAGTCTCTGAGTGTCTAAAGATATGTGCTTCTTTGCTTTGCAGTGGTTGTTAAGAAATCTGCTGTTATGCCGTACTTTAATGGATAAGAACTGACAAAAACAAAGGATTGGGGAACTGACAGGGCATCCTCCATGAATAGGAGGCAGTGATCTTAAATGACAAGAGTACACCATGGAGGTGAGAAGTCTTGAGAGGACATGGCTAAATGTTCACACCATCATCAGTATCCAAAATTTGTAGAAACCCAATTCACAAGTATTAATTTTTATCATTAAAGCAGATTACACAAGCATGCCGGGAGTCGTGAAAAGTGGAGCTTAATTCTGATTGGTCGAAATCCCTTGACAACAGCAATCAGTTCTGGGATGACCTGATCACACGTCATATCAAATCAATCCTTAGACATGAGCTTTGGCACAGTGACTGCTGCTTGTTTGTACTGAGGTAAAGATATCAGTTTCCATCAACATTCGCTAACATTGTGGCAAAATACTTTTTTTTTCCTTCTGTTTTTGACCCGGTTTTCAACTGGAACAACATGGATGATATATGTTCAATATTACCTCTGATTTCTTTGGGGAACAAGAAACTTAGGCTGACTGGTGAGCACCAAGAAAAAAATAAGGACTGAAGGATTGGTTGATGAAATGAAACTGTCCACAGACTAAAAAAATGGTTTGGTAGAGGACTTTATTAGGATGCTACAGTCATTTTATTTATCTGTTAAAAAAGCTCAGGATTGTTGCAAGTCACAGAGGTACAAGAGCTGTAACAATCAAACATTTCTCATCTTTTCATATGGTACCGCCCCCTCCATTTAAATCCACTGGATCTCTCATTGAAAACCTTAAGAAAATTAGAAAGGATGCCAGCTAGCACCTTCCTCCCATGTCAGCTACAGATCTTCAGAGGGGATGCCTTCTGAAATGGCAAGCAGACTAGTCTGCTATCACCCAGCTTCACTTCAGGGTCTTAACTCACCCCTTGTGAGAATTCCTACTTATATAACAATCTGTTCTCTATGCATTTTCCCTTATATAACAAGCTCTAGTCACTGATTTTACTCACTTTGGGATCATTATACATCCAGAGTGCACATCTTTATCACAGAAAATAGGCTTGTGAGTATTTAAAACCGTAAATTCACACACAGCTTAAAATATCAACAGTTTTATGTACTTTGCTTTGGGCAGAGGCAGAATACTTCACTTTTGCTTTCATTAAACATTCATTGACTTGGGTTGAAAACAGTAAAATTTATTGAATGCGAGTCCCGCTCATCATTAGCAGCTGTTTTCTCCCCTCTCTTGTACCAGGAGCTGCTGTTTTTGTCTGTCCACTTGTCTGTGTAAAATACTAGTTTGTAGCAGAGACAAACTTGTGAACATGGTCGACTGTAAAGGTCAGCAGTGAAGTGGATGAAGAGATAGTTTTGACTTTTTGCAGTGAGATCATATGAGGTACTCATTAATAGTGACTGCACTATGTTTAGTGATTAAGAGTCAGCACAGCTCCTGTTTAGAGAAGCCAGCAAATCTACGTGGAAGTTAAGCTATGAGCTATTACAGATGAAGCAAGAGGTACTGAGCTCCAGCCACAAAGGAGTCCTACATATTCAAAACAAATTTAGTTTGAGAGTATGCAGTATTTAGAATATTTTCACTGCTTTTCCTTTGACACTTTGACATTAGCTGTTTTAATCCATACAATAGCAGCAGGATGCCTGTGGCAGTGAGCTTGATGAACCTACAGGATAGGGGAGCTCAGAAACTCCCAGGAAAGACTGTGGCTCGTGACTGTAATGGGACATGATGATGGTGTAAAGTTATTGACACACAGACAGACACAGGATAAAAAGAATTACATGTTTTAGATACAAAGATTAAAAAGAGATTGCATGTGATAAATACATAAACAAATGAAACAACTCATCATACAACCACATAAGTTTATTGAACTCTTAGTAGACGTCCTTAACTCTTTGTCATGATCATGTTACCACTGTATGGAAGCCTGTTTCTGCCAGTTAAAAAAAGAAATAATAATAAAAAATTCTTTTTTCATAAGTATGAGATACTAAGTCATAATTATGACTTAGTATCTCATAATTATAGCGATAGTATATCATAATTATGACTTAGTATCTCATAATTCTGATTAAACAATTTATTTATTTATCTATTTTACTGGCAGAAACGGGCTTCCATACCACTGGGTGATGCGGTTAAATTTAAAAAAAAAAAAAAAAGGAATCAACAGCAAGTCAAATCAAGTCATGTCATGATATGTACTTAAAATTATTTAAACACAAGACAATGTAGAGTTTTATTAATTTCATTCAAAACCCTTTTCTTCCATGATCCTCTGAGTATAAATCGTATTCCTTGTGACAACACAAAGGTGTTAAAATTTATTTTAAATACCAGACATTTGTAAGGGGCACAGCCACGGCATGATTTCATCTTTAGCCCCTCTTCTTTCTGGGAAAAATGTTTGATGTCTGGCCCTGCCTTAAGGAAAACCATATGGCAGCCTGAATAATGAAAGGCACTTAGTACAGTGGAGAAGAGATTGTTCGCCTACCTGTTCATTGTAGGTGTGCATAGAACTACCTGCAGAATTGATAATGCTGCACATGTGTGTGGGAGGTTTGGAAACATCAGTCACGCATGGGAGTCTGGTGATTTTTTGTTCTCATGTCTCATTATGTTGGTTCCCACTCAGGTGCAGAGCAAATGAAAGGCTTTGGGGTCAGTACAAATGGTGTACAGGGGTGAATGATGGAATATGACGCCACCATGTGGAGATTTCTGCAAAACTACACTAAAGCATCAACAAATAAATATGATAGTAATAATCAAATAAATCCATCTGGTCATATATTTGTCTTTATTGAAATTTCTTTTAGGAGCTTTTATGCCTTTACTGAGAAGATAAAATAGCAAATAAAGGAGGAAAGTGGGAAAGAGAGAGAGTGGGAAATGGCATGCAAGAAAGAGCTGCAAGCTTGACTCGAACCCTGGCCACTGCCCCCAAGGATCACAGCCTCTGTTCACAACCAATCAGACCAAGCTCCTGCCCCATATATTCAGTGATTTATTTGTATGCCTCATTAGTGTGATGGAAAATGAATAAGTACACATCTTCATCTTATATAACTTTACAAATCTTCCCCATATGGCAGTGAAGTCATTCTGCCGCTCTGGGTTTACATATCCCATAAGCATCTGAAGGGGGGCCTCTGGCGCATGACTGGCATTGATTTTTCTTGCATATTTGCATTTGAACAGAATACTTATGCATAAAAGCCAAAGAGGGCGTCCAGAACAGAAGGTTCCTATGACTCACCAGTGCAATACATCACCCACTTAGCCTTCATCCATTGAACACAGCGCTCTCACTGCAGGGAACAATAAGCTATAGCATGTTTTCTGTAATGCAGTGGATAACAGATAAGCTTATATACCTCTGGGTAAATTGGATTAAAAGTAAATATGTCTTGAGCTTGTTGGACATGCAATTTAAAATAAGCTGGGTAAAATTGAATAAAACTAACAGTTGCCAATAAATATCACTATTGATCAATCCCTCTGTGATGAAAGCCACTAAAAAGTTTGATTTCAAACTGCATTTTCCTGCTCTTCAAGCCTATAAAAACCCTTCTGTTTAAGACTACCGGTATGTTACTCTATAAGCTTTATACAAAACCAAGTACATATCTTTCCAATTAATTGTGCCTAATGTAAATGGCATTTGGACATTAAGTAATTGACAGGTGCTTTAATAGCTTTTGAGAGAAGGTTGATGTAGATAGGATGCTAAAAGCTTTGGAGCTGCAGCTCAGTTGGTGTCTCCCTCACTTCATTTTTATATTTTACAAGCATGATCAGGGCATACAGATGAGAAACATCCGAGTGACTGAGTCTGACTCATTTGTGCCTGTGTTAATTGCATTTACACTGCTCATTTACATAATTAGATTAAATAAAACAGAACATGACAACATAGGCAAAATGCACATGAAAAAGATTAACTTTTTGAAACACAACATCACAGAAATGTCATCTGCCTTGCTTCTGAAAAGAAAGAAATCATATGAGAATAACTTTACACTTAGATAAGACTGATTTAAATCCTGTCTACACATGTACAGGTAGCCTATCACAGGTTTGAATGCTCTTGGCTGATGCTTAACAGGCTAAGGACTGGATGTGCATTAGAGCATCTTAGCTTCATTACAGTTCACTATGCTCTGCTTTACTGTGGGGATCGGTGACTGGGGGCCGAAAATCAGTGAAGCAAGTGGCTTCAAGAGGCGCTGTGTGTCACAGGCGGAGCGGTCCTCACACACCACGCACGACGTTAGGAGTTCCCTCTCCTCCACCGCGAAAACGCCCCTCTCCTCTCCTCTCTCGTAGCTGATCTCCGGCCGTGAGCCCTCTTTGCCGCCTCGTGCCTGTCTGCCGTCCCCGCCTGTAGGCTGCATCTCCCGCGGCAGAGCTAACGGCGCTCCGGGGCGGTGGCGGCGTCCGTCCTCCAGTTTCCTGCGATCTCAATGGTCAGAATCCGGACCAAAGCCTGACACTCAGACCTGACAGGACAGGTATGTGTTTTATTCATTCGTGTGATGACAGCGGAACAGGTGCATGCTGCATTTGCCGGTTGTGATGAAATGACATTGTGGGCGAGGGACGGGAAGCGTCTTCGTACCGGGATGAGCTTTGCTTTAAAGCGAGCTCTGCATGCTCTTTGTGCTTCAAGTGTCATGGAGGGATGGAAAGGGTGTTGCCACACAGCCTTAATCCGAGCAATATGGTCGTCAGGCTGGTTTAATAAGCTTCACAGAATCAGGACATCCTTGTTTCATGCATATCAAGGCCCTGTGGGCAGAGAGTCAGCAGGTGCACCTTTCTTATCGTCTTACTGAATCGCATAGAACCAGATCTGAACACAACCAGCCCTCATACAATTGTTCAGACCTATTCTTAGACATGTCAGTGTGTGTAAGAGATGGAGATTTTTCGGTGTGGAGCTATAGGCTAACAGCTGATGCTCAAGATAATGAGCTAATTGACACGGAGTGTATTGTCGCGGGTGTGGCAGAGGGGGCAGGCGTGGGCGCCTCGGCCATAGTTCGTCTCTTGAAACGTGAAATGCAATGTCAGAAAAGTGGGCTATTAGGCTTTTGATACCCTTTTAAACATTTTTTGAGCTATTAGGCTCTTGATACCCTTTTACTGTATTTGTTCTCATAGATTGCTTTAAGAAATTAGGGGGAATTTAAATATTACCTTCCTAATATCTAGATTTTTAACAAAAAGGGAGGCAGGTGTGGAAAAGGTGTAGGCTTATAGAGAATAACGGTTCATTTATGCATGATTTGGGTTACTGAGTTCCATCAATATGCAATATTACTCTCTGTGCCATACATTGAAAGTTGTAAACAAAAAGAGTTTTACTATTTGGTGACAGTAGAATCATTCAATATGTTATTTGTTTAAATGAACTACCTTGAAAACTTAACACAAGAAGCAGACCTAGATTGTTGCACAGTCTGTATAAAACATGGGTGTAGCCTCTGTGTTGTGACCTATTGATTTCTGAGGAAGTGTTATTAAGCCAAACCTTAGTGGTCACCATACTGGAAGTGGTGACCGCAGTGTATGCCTGCCTGTCAATCAAGTCACTGATCATGCATAACTCAGCCTTAATATTGTAAGCTTGAACAGTGAAGTCAAATATATTTCAGTTAACTATTATAGTTTACTGTCTTCAATTTAAGCTAAAAAATTGTATTTAGAATTCATACAGAGAACTATTCACAAAGTGTTGACAGGTTCATATTTACATATTTACTGGTTGAAATGCTTTATTCGACAGCTGTTTGTGAGGATGAGCAGATTATGCAGAATGTGTTTCTGAGGTTCATTTACATTTACGTTGTGTTCCTAGCCTCTGCTTGGTAAGTGCTGTGACATGTGATCAGGGTTGTCCAGGATGTAACGTTTTTGGGTTATGTTGTGGTTATGACAAGATGGCGAAACAGTAAAAGTGCTGTTAAGAAAGTTATCCGTCTCCATCCTGCTGTTTCAATCAATCAATCAATCAATCAATCAATCAATCAATCAATATTTATACAGCACCAATTCACAACAGTCGTCATCCCGAGACGCTTTTCAAAGAAAAAGAGCAGGTCTAGACCACACTCATTGTTTGATGAATCATCAAGACCCAACCTAAGATGGGCCCATCTCATTTAACATGAGTAACAGTGGCAAGGAAACATTTCCTTTTAACAGGCAGAGACCTTAGGTAGGACCAGACTCATGCCAGACAGCCACCAGGCCGCTGCTGGGTTGGGGAGGAATACAGAGAGAGATAGGGAGAGAGAGAGAGAGAGAGAGAGAGAGAGAGAAGTGGAGAGAGGGCAGGGGGAGAGAAAGAGAACAATCTCATCATTCTCATCATTAGAATTATCAAACCACTGTACATCAAACCTTCACATTACAATATGGTCAAACAGATGAGAAATGAAAAAAACAACAACACCCTGTACAGTGTGTTTGAGTCAAAATATGAGCCAATCATAGGAAAACTATTGTTTGTACCTGGATTTATACTTGTTTCTCTTAGATAGATAAATAGGCATTTTGACATAGGTGTTAAAGGAGATAACTGGGCTTTTGGTTCCAGCCTCAAGTGTTCAATAGTGGTACTGCACTGCTTTGCTCATCTGCATTACCATTATCTTTTAATACCCAATAATGATCTATGGATCATCAGTGGAAGAGGAAAAACTTGAGTCACAGGCAGAAACCTGGAAGACAGCCATTTGCCAAAACTGTACGTCACATTCTTAAAAGGAGTAGACAGATGCTGTAACACAGAGACAGATATAAATAACAAAGCTATGACAAAGTTTACTAATAAATAAAAAGTGCAGTTTTAGAGAATGCTCCATAATTGCACCACTCAGCGGCTTTTGTTCCAACATCTACAGACAAGGCAGACAGCAACAGTCACCATTATCAGCAATGCAGCTTCTGTTCACCCTCATCCCACTCACACAGACTGTCAGTCCTCCTGTATCTGCCTCTTTAGATTGCAGCCCCGCCACAGGCTACAGTAACTCACAGACTGTGGATTTGTGAAGTCAGGAAGGAGAAAATTAGACATTAAAATGTCCATCTGTCCATCTGTTGTGTTGTCCTTCCATGCATCCCTTGATCTCATTTTTACACTGTTTCACCTGCTCCACTTTCAGCATCCCATGGTGCAACTGAGCAGCATGGCACTCTTCTGCTTCAACCATGTGCTCATTCATATTAAAAGGGAAAGCCTTAGTGTGGATGCATGTTGGGTTCTAGGAATTATTCAATACCTGCTTATTCAACCGGAGTCAAGGTGATTCAAGGAGTCATGCAACAGGGGATAAAGAGAGGAAATTACATGCTATATTTCCCACAGAGTAATTGGCTTTTACCCATGAAAACCAAGATGTAACAGACGTTCAAGACAACAAGGAGGGAATAAAATGGCTGAAGGCTGAACAAGCAGAGACTCCATTACTTCCTGGTTGATGTGTAACCTCAGTGCAATCTATCTCCAATGTGGGGTAAAGGTGAGGTCACATGACGTTGAGTGTGCATGCATGTGTTCTGTGTGTGTAAATTCAGCTTGCATGCTTGTTTAAGCTAGAACACTTCAATACTGCTCTCCCACGAGTCCTATTTTAATTCATCCTGTGATCGATTTGTAATAGCTCATTGAAGCAGAGCCAGTGGTCCGTTCACAGCCAGAGTGGAATTCTCTACAAGATAAACTCACATCCCAAAGAAGTGAGAGGAGCTTTCAAAGGCGTATTAAAGATAACAGCATATAATGAACTGTCACTTTTCTGCCATATCATCACAAATCATATGTTGCAGAAGATAATGATAAACTCAGTAAGATATCCTGTTTACTGTTTTATTCTTCTGCTCTGAAAGCTTACTTAGGTTTGACAGGTAAAATACTTTGACAATTCTATTGCCAGAAAACAAATTAAATGCTACCTCAAGGCCAGTGAGACAGTGGTTTGATCTAAAAGGGGAAAAAACAAGGCTGCAAAATTAATGTCATGTTGAAAAAAAGAAAACTAGGATCAGTTTGAGATGAACTAAATTTAGCTAATAAAATAGCGTATTTTTTATAGAAACTGAAATACTTGATTGGATGCACAAGAATTAAGAGTAAACGCTTACCCTTAAACACAACACCCACAGGATGTGTGTTGGGTGCATTCACTTAGTATCACGTGCTAATCCAGCAGCAACAGGTCAGCAAATATGTCCCCATTCGAGTTAATTCAGCATTGCACACAGGATGTGTAACAGTGTGTCTCTGTTCCATCCCAGAAGCATCTCTACACGCTTCTCCGCTAAAGATACGCGCTAAGGCCGTTTACGATAGAGCATTCGCCTGGCACTAATCAATCTTCACAGAGAAGATCATGCTGAACAAGATGTCACGCACAGGACAGGTGAATGTAATCCTGTAAATTCCAATATAAAACCCCATATGCAGACTCCTGACTGTTTATCAGTTCGTGTAGATGAGAAATACTTCCTGGTTATAGATTTATCATTTACACAGAACAACCCAATGGCCAATTCTTGATCCATATGGACCACAACAGGACTTTTAGCGGCTAACTCCAACTGAAGGTAACAGCACAGCTAAGTAGAACATAGTTTACTTTATTAAACACAAATAAACCTGCAAAAATCCCAACTTTACAATCATGTTGCTTGTTGACATATAGTAGAAGCTCAACAGTCACAGAATAAAGTCCAAATTAGTAGAAAATCGACCACAGAAGGGCAGAGCAACCTGTTGTGAGTCTGTTGCATTTTATATACTGAGTCCAGCTGACTGAGGCTGCTCTACGCTGCATGCTGCTACGATCCAAACACACTTCTAGAGGGCGATAACACGAGCTGCCCGACAGAGCCAAAACACGACTGTGACAGAACAGGTCCAACACGCATCCTGTGGGGTTTTGGCTTTACAGCAAGGCACCACAGTGTGGTTTTCTCCTAACTTTCTGAAAAATCAACTTGAAAGAAATATTGAACGGATGTTCAGATATGTTTGAATTACGCGATTTCATCAGTGATAGCCTTTTTATAAGCTTCTAGCAAGGGGTCTTGCTGTAAAAAGGGCAGTCATATAGGGTCTAACACTTCCCGTGGTGCCTCCTCCTCACATGGGTGGCAAGGTGAGCCTGCATATTTGTTATTTTTGATGACACCTGCTTTGTAGAAAGTTCACAAACTTACCTTTTTTTGACAGTAGGCTTGATGCACTGGTATACTGTATTATTATGTGTTCATATCACTCATTACAGTTGCAATATAAACTCTTCCCTGGGAGTTGGAATGAAGGTTTGAATTTTGGATGAGAAGTGGCAGCCCAAGTGGTGTCTGTCAGATGCATTACAGGGTCATATGATATCTAGCTGCCTGTTGTGGGTTAGACATTAGGTGAGACAAAGTGGTGCAAGAAAACAGAGGGGAAGACTCACTGGCAGCAGAGCCAGCACACTCTTTCATCAGTTAATTTTATCAGCAATCTGTAAAAATATATCCCTGATACAGATAGGCAGCAACATACTAAATATTGGTTGCAATAATTAGCCCAGGCCAATAATCAGTCGATTCATGGTGAATGATTAATTGTGGTGACTTCTGACCTTTGATGTTTAAGTGTCAACAATAACAATAATAATACTGGTTAGTCATATTAATAGCTAAAAATAACTTTTTTTAATACTTTGACCAACCAGGATCAAGAATTTGAATGTTGTGTTCATAACTGGTTTCAATGACTTACTGTTCACAAGAAAACATTTTCACTGACATTAGATTTAATATTGTTGCACCCTCTCCCACAGTCTCTGCCTTCACCCTGCCAGCCCAGTGTGCACACTTCTGCATGAAGTGTCTCACTCTTCAGCGCAGTCACATGACTCTTCACCTTTTCTCTATCTTACATGTGTGTCATCCAGCAAGGAAAAAAAATACCCGAGGCTGTTTTTCTCTTTCTTTATCTTATTTTAACTTGCTTGGCAGGCTATGTTAGGCAAAGGTTCCCATAGTAACTGCATTTTAAACAGCCACGCCTGATGCTTCTGTGTTAACTATCCTCGGTGACGCTCTCCTCTTTGGACCAAAAAACTGAACAGTGCTGCAGGCTCAGGGTGGTGCCTGTCACTTTCTTGTCATTGCAGTGACAAGTGAAAATGTGTGTTTGTTTTATTTTATTTCTTTCTATTTTACTCTGCCAGTAGATGTATTTAAAAATGAAGACGAGCATGCAGAAGATTGTTGTCTTTAGTTTAATTGAGTGTGACTGCTGTGATAAAGTGGATTATAATCGGGGAGTTGGGAGCTGGCTTTTTGTTCCTGGTTAATTTGTACTTGATGGATTTATTTTTCGAGGTAATTCATCACCACATTAAAGAAAACCATTATAAAACTAAATCCTCATTTATTAAATGCATTGTATTGTTGTCTTCTAATGAGGCCCTGCATTCTTTGTGAATACTCTGAGTCCAGCTGAAGTCATGATGATAAGGCTGCTTAAATACACAGGTGGTGGACAAAATAATAGCAAAACTTCTATGATATTATGCAATCAGGGAAATAGCACTGCAAAAATGTTCACATTCAGAAGCTCATATTGTTCAGATTCTGTTTAGGCGGCACACAAAGTTGCTGATTAGATTCTGTGTTCAGTTGTCAGAGTATGGTTTAGGATGCTGCATTGTACTGTACAATAGAGGACTGTACAAAAAATAATGTATCTGCAGTTTGTCTCAGTGAAAAGTCTGCAGGATGTTTGGTAGTCTGGGCTCTGTGAATGTGTTGACAGTGTGTCAACATGTCGCACAATCATTGTCATCCTCACAAGTTTCTCTATAAAACTGGTTATTTGCATTAGCTTGTTTTGTGATAGAAAATTCTTTCAGTCATGTTCTAGAGATTCAGATCACTTTTGACCTCTGTGTAACACACACACGCACGCACGCACGAACGCACACATACCTTGTTCCACATCCTTACATGACCCCTGTGCAAGACATGGATGTAAGATGAGTTCGTAGTGTAAAGCGTGAGAGGGATGTTGATAATTTAGATACTCATCTCATAAGTGGTACAATACATTTGACAGTTCATTTTGACAGATTTCACTGCCTGATTTGTTTTAATTAGGCAGGATTAGCATTTCAATGCCCCTTTATCTTTTTGGTCGAATTTTGATGCACTCATTTCCCACCTTCTCTGACTCCAAACAAACACACACACACACGCACACACACACACACACACGCACGCACGCACGCGCGCACGCACGCACACACACACACACACACACACACACACACACACACACACACACACACAAACAAATATAAAGGAACCTGGTACTTTAGATAGTGGTGCTCAGAAGGCGTAATAACCCCCATGATTTCCCCTGCCGTGGCGTGCAGCTGACTCCACCCATGACAGTGTTCTTGTATGGATGCAGGTAGCACCACTCCCTCTGGGCTCACTCTCCCTCTTGTAAAGATGAACTTGCAGCCTCATTGGTTTGTAAGGCGCATCGTTTATCTCTGTTGTGGTGTGACATGATTTGCAGCAGACTTAACAGTGCTGCTATGCAATCTGCCTCCAGGACTGCTGAGTGCCAAAGGTTTGGAGATTGTGTGTGTGTGTGTGTTTGTGTGTGTGTGTGTGGGAATGTGATTTCCTCCAGAACAAGGACATCTTGCCACTCCCATTTCCCCATCCCCTACCTTCTGGTTGCAGGTTTCTCAGAACCATCCTTTGCTTAGCAAGGATTGATAGACCGTCCGTGTGAGCCATTAGAAGGAAAGCACTGATTATGAAGCCAAGATGAAGAGAGCTGCATGATAAAATGGCAAAGCTCAATGAGGAATGCTCTGTGATTGGATTGGATACAGTGGGAGCAGGCTTTGGATTACATACAGTAATTTAGCACGCTCCATATTGAGTAGGCTAGATTTAATGGTTTGTATGTGACAGCTCATGCTATTGCTTTTTAGCAAAAGAAGCTTCTTCCTTGTACACACATTTACAGCACAGAATTACAAGCTTGAAGTTGTTGGAGCCATTTTAGTCTTAGTCCACTGTTTCTTTTAAATTGTACATGTAAAGTGAATAATATCAAAAGAAAGAAACTTTAAAGGTCCTATAGGATGTTTTTGACATTAATGAAATTCAGTAAAATTCATAATAATGCCCTCTCATGACACCCAAAAGCAAGCAGACTGAACCACAGGAATGAAGATTTTTATGCCTAAAATCAGTGCAAGGAGGTAGATGGCAGCCTTAGAGCTGAAGACACAGACCTGCTTTGGCAATTTTAAAATCAAATATTCTTAATAAAAGATGCATTTGACTGCCAGAACCCTGCTGGATAGATTTTTGGCAAAAATCTATCGTAAAGCATGTAGAGGACAAGATGAGCAAAGACTGCACTGTCCACAGGGGGCACTAAAATTGATTCAAACTCAAAGTTCCTCACAGGAGCTTTAATGTAAAGCAAATAATGTAATCCAGTTGGGAACCTTAGCTGTGGTATGCTTTTGAATACTTTTCTCCCTTCCTCTAAAATTGATGCTTTCTGTATTAACAAACTTTGTTTAGCCTGTCAACAAATTAGCATGAATTAAGGGTGTAGCTTATCAAATGATACCACAGTTGACATCTTATTTTAGCATGTAAGTATATTAAAATTAGTGCTTAGCCTAAGCTTGTTTTTTAGATTATATCATTTATGAGTAGTGAGTCTTAAAGCATAAAAGCTCAAATTTAACAGTCTATTGAAGCAGAGGTTTGATGGATATGCTCACCTTTCCTTAAGATTTTAAGTCTGATTTACATGTGAATACCTTTACTCATTGTCTGCATGAAAAGCTTTTTATGGCAGAGTTTAAACCTTAAAGAGCTTGAGTAACCTTTGCAAGACCTTTGCAAACTTAAGCCCACCTGTTGCTTAGAATCCAGGTGATTAATCTTTAGTTACAGAGAACCACTCACACTTTTTGGGACGAAAACCTTACGAACTATTTTTCTGTCAATAATGACTCAATAAATATTGGAACATGACATTAATTTTGTAATGGATACTGGTATGTTGACATGGCAGATTAACAAATAAAAATAAATATCTGATTTGTTCTTGAAATTTGGAAACAGTTTTATTGCTTAGCAGGTTGTCAGATATAATTATTGGTATTTTTGCGCTTTAAATGGTGTGTTCAGATCAATACTAAAATTACCAGATTTGAAATGAAATAAAAAGGCACCTCTAAAAGAGAGAAATAGCTAAGTTCCAACTTTGATCATTGCGTGTCAGAGATAGCATGGAGAAGGGAGTCACATGGAAATTGTGGCTTCAGTCCTCCGGGCCAGTCGGCCTTTCCAGTTAACTGCCTGAGTAACAAGAAGTTTTTGTTCTTGGCACAGAGACCTGTGGCTGTATTTGTAGTCCATTGATGTAATATTTTATTAAGTCCTGAAACCAGACAGATGGTTTCGTTGGAGCTGACTGTGTGTTTCTGAGCAAATGCTTCATCCCTTTAAATGTCCAAATGCATGAACAGCGCTAATTAACAGGTGTATAGTTAGGGGCATGCTTTGTTCATTTTGTCCATGATGTAGTCAAAAATGACTGAAAAGACTCTCTGGCCGGGGAGTACAAATGCTGCTAAGAGATCACAGAGCCCATTTTTATGTGCTTCCCTCTGTACGAGTACCACAAAGTGTACTTTGACTACTGCTATGGACTGGTGACACTCACACTGCAAAATAAACAACATTAGATATAAAAATAAATGAACAAAATATACTTTTGTGGAGGATAGTGTAAAGATAATTCAGTGTCCTTCTCTTGTTTCACATGTCTATGTCCATAACACAAATATGAAATGTGCTATTCATTTCTGTAGTATTATGGCGTTGAATAAAGTGAGGTAAAACACAATTCTAACACACATAGTCTCTATGTGTGTTTTTCATGTTTTACTCAATAGCTATGTTGGCAGCGTGTCCTCTCCTTATCCAAGTTAAATCAGACACATTCTCTTAACCATTCAATTGGCTATCTCTTCACCAGCTTCAGCTTTGTCTGACTGTATCCAGTGGAACAGTGTAAAAGCACAGCCACTACAAACAGGCTAAATTCAGACTTTTTTGATGTAATTATTGCAAATACTTGTGTTGCAATAGTGATAATTAAATTGAAATCTATAACGCAACCTTGTTAGTCAGTTAGTGCATGAGCTGATGAACCTGCAATCTAAAAGCCCTGACGGTGACTGTTTTAAATCTGAAACGTAAGACTAGTTCAATGGGCCGTGTTAAACGGTTATAGCCTGTCATAAAAGCTGAACAAAGGCAGCATCTTCATTGAAAGGTAAGTTACACTAATGATAATAAAACAAGAAAACTATATCAAGACCCTTGTTTTTCTCACTCAGGACTTGTGCTCTCTAGTTGTAGCTATAATTTGAGTTTTACTTGGCAGTATGCTTTTCATTCTATATACGCTGTAGTGCGCCCAGAGTTTTAGAGAGAGTGTACCTGGACAAATGTGTTGTCTTTTCAAAATCTTGAATGATAGCAAGGCCCTGGACAGACCCTTTAAGCTGCCATGATTACTTTTTTAATGCTCATAACAAGAGCACTATGACAGAGATAAGAGCTGTAGAAATGCATTTGCACATAAAGTAGCTGAATGGAAACAAATCATAATAATGACATGCAGTGTGGGGGCTAGAACTTGTTTGGGGGATGTTGCAAAAAATGATTCAGAGTATGATGCCTTTCTTGAAACAACAGCACACAAAATGCCAGAAAAACTGAAGTGAACAAATGTGGCTTGTTTTAGCAGGCAGGGCGGATATACAGAGCTAAATTCTGCACTTTGATCTAAAAGCTGTAAAATAGAGCAATCAGCAGCTTCCACAGTGAGGGGGAAGATGAACTGTTCCAACAATAAAAGCTCTGAAACCTCACAAATTTTGGGAGATGATTTTCAATCCTGGGTGCTATAATTTCGAAATATGGTAGGTTTTCTGCCGTATTTAGGGCAGGCTTAGACTGTGGAGGTCCTTTTTAAGACCATAATCTCTGGAGAAAAAAAAAAAGACCAGCACAGCATTGACACCACAGGGCAGGAATTGTCCTTTTTTTTGGAGAAAGCTTGGCACTCCATAAAATTATCTCGTTACATCTTTATTGCTAGGCCCTTATAATGTGTGCTGATGATGGTTTGACTGCCACTTTTTTGCTGTGTTACCTCTGTTTTGGTCTTCCTGTGGAGACAGGCAAACCTTTTGAGCTGTCAGTACATGTACAGTTAGGAATCCACAAGCTGTCATCCATGTGCTTTCCTCGCTCTACTCGGACATATTTCTGAGATGCAGGATTTGACAGATTTCTACTGCCCACCCGCTGATGAACAACGGGCCTGTAGGAAACTGACGCCTGCCTTAGGACTTATCAATTTATGGGGCCTCTAAATTGACAGTGTCTTTGTTTTAGAGCCGGTCTGAAGACGAATGAACTTGGGCAGGCCACTATAAACATCATGGACATAGCTCTGCCCCAAATGATCAGCCATCATGTCACTTGCTATCTAGCCATTTATCTGAGCTGCCCAGCTGGAGATGATGATTGGTTGCAGCATTGTGTGGATTTTGCTTCATTTTGTCGGACATCGTGCAGTTTGAGGCTCTCTTCCTCTCCAGTGAGAGCAGTTGATTCTAGCTTACATCAGGCCAGCAGCTCTGCTTGGTAGTGATTACTGCGTAACTCAACTGAGAGAGAGAGAGAGAGAGAAAGAGCACAGAGGAGGTCATCTCCACAGATAGCCGGACATGGCGAGCTGATAGAGTCCTGGATGAGAAGACCCAGAGATAGGGATGACTGTGCATGTGTGCATGAGTGTGTATGACTGACACAATAAAGGAACTAGACCAGCTCAATCTGTGTCTTATCTGAAAAGATTTTGAGCAGCTGATCAGCTAAGCACAGCTTATCTGATTGTTGCAGTGTTTTGTCACACACTTGAGAAGTGACACTTATGTAACTAAGCATATTTATCTCATTTGGAGATACCATCTTTTCTCTTTGTTCAAAGCATACACTCCACATCTAAGAAATGAGGTGTATTGGCTTAATTCTTGATTACCTTTTTCACAAAGTAACACTTAATATTTTAATACAGTACAAAATTTTTGAAATGCAGAGGCAAATACTTAATGCAGAAAAACAGAGGTTTAAAGATGTCTCATACATAAACACAGTGTTGGACCATCTGTATACTTGTCTGTGTTGTGACAGCCAGCCTGGGAGGTGCTAATGACTCACTGCTCTCCTCCATTCTGAAAGATTTACAGGGTTACAAGTGGAAGGTGAATTTTCCACGATAAGGTCAGGTTGTGTGCTTTGTGTAAGAGAGAGTTGGAAGATTATTTTGGAGTCAATTTTAAGGCCAATATTTATTCAATACTCGTTGTGATAAGTTGTGTTAAGCAGTTGTGCATGTTGAGACGTAGTTGAGAGAAAAAAAAAAAGACAGAAATTCTCTCGTGTGACAAAATTTAACTTTTAAGATCCACTCTGATAAAAAATCATGTTTTTCTTGTTGTCTCCATGCTCATATGGCATTTTTCTGATGCTACAGGACATATGAGAAAAATAAGTGCAAAATTTCATTTCTGAGTATTCATTCAAATCGCTGTGAATCTCTGACAGACCCAAACTATAGGCTTAGACACAGTGAGATTTCCTATGTCACAATTCCAAGCTCCGCCCCCGGGGCCCTATGCGCTATGCGGTCCAGACTCTGAGAAGTAGAGAGGACAAGTGTGTGTGTTAGGGGATTGCAATGCTAGTAAGAAAGCTAATTATGATATTAGCTGTTGTCATGCCCCACAAACATTAGTGTCTGAGAGCTGAATAGCTCATGTTACCTGCGTCTTCTACTACACCGGCAATGTTAGGCTGCAAGCTATGTGAAGAGGAGTGGCTCAGAGGTGAATTGCCAATGAGCTACTGGAGCTCTGCAGAAGAAAAGAGCTTGAAAATGACAAAGGTAAGGTGATTTTGGCGGAAAAACTTCAAAATCACAATTTAAAGACCACTGAGAACACTTTGAGTAGTAAAAAAGAAAAAAAAAATCATCGGAGTGGGACTTAAAGTTGTGTGGAGATGGCACTGGAAAAGAATTTAGACTATCATGTAATGGTTATCTTTTGGGAGGTGGAGAGGGTTGTGCATTGAAGGGATTTTATATCAAAAAATCTTGGCTGTGTCCCCAGCAATCAACAGTCACCAACTGATTGAGGTTTTTTGGCAGGAGCTCTTCTAAAGTATCCAGTACAAACTCAAAAACATTTACATGAAGACATTAATTAGATGTTTTTTAACTTCAAATATAGTTTTCTGGTTTCTGACCTTAAGCAGGGCATATTTCAGACTGAACAGACTCCACATTTACCAAGCTAATACACTGAAAGATGGTTCATGTTGGGTAATTGAAAGAAAGGAGGCTTCAAAAGATGTTTCATTTCATGTCTGTTTCAATTCATTGTTTAGATTTGTTTTCATTTGTAGACTCTTTTGTCCAACCCCTGCACATTTTTAGTCGATGGAGGTTTCGGGATGAAGAACACAGTATATTTATATTGTAATCACCATCCAGTTATATCATAAAGAGCACCAGGCCTATCAAATGCAATTTCATACAACAACCTAATACGGAAACTACTTGTAGAGAGTTTCTTTACTTTTGGTTTTGTTGACATAATCAGACAGGTGAGTTTTGTAGTGAATTATTGAATACGGAGTGGGTGGTGGTTATTATAGTTTGTCTTATTGAAAGGTGCCCCTCATGCTTTTCCCCCTTCAGATATGATAATAACAAAATATTAGGGAAGCTTTGAATGTACTGCAACCCAATTAGGCTGTCACAGTGTCAGATTTCACCTCAGTTTTTGTGGTCATAAAACATGTGCAGTTAAGTTATTATCCTAATATTTTGGCTATTGAAAACTTGAAAATAAAACAGCACAATTTAGTCAAATTGAGGAAAAGCCAGACAAGGCTGGAGTAACAAATCACCTTATAAACTTAACTAATACAGAAACTGACCTTACATGTCATCAAATGTTTGTTATGATGTTTAAATTTATGATTTATCCACATTACCAGCTTTGCAATTGAAGGTTCTGTGAAGGAGACTCTGCATCGTAAATGATGGTCATGCTTTTGTTTTGTTATCGTTTCATCTTGTGTTTAGTTCCTTTATCTCTTGCATGGTGAAACTACGCTTTTACTTTGAAATTTTAGGTAAATTGTTGGTCACTGAATCAAATGTAAACAGTTACAAGAATGGTTACCAAGTACACTTTTTTGGACTTTTTAGGATTCACAATAAAGGTCCTTACACACCAGGGTCGAAACGAATATAGAACGCAAAATCACGAAATATACGGAGGCGAATTTTGATGCGCCTGACTATACACATCAAGCCCGATGCGATTTTGCAACTTTTTTTCTGCAGAAAAAGACGCATCCCAAAGAAGACCTTTTCCAGGGGAAAGTCCCGCCTCCTTCGCCTCTGATTGGCCACAAAAGCTGTTAACATCATCACACGCTCAAGCCTAACGGTCAGCACTTATAGCCAATAAGAGGCGAAGGAGGGCGGCACCATACCTTAACAACCTACATCGTCCCTGTTGGAAACGAGAAGACAAAAATGGAGCCTACTTCAACTTCAAGTGATGGCGAATTGGTACTTATTTTGCTTTTTCAAAAAAAAAAAAAAAGGAACGTAGCACATGGGTGCATCCAATATTGAAAAAGCGAAGAGAACTTGGTGAGTTTCACTGCTTGGTTCAGGAGCTGAAACTGTACCATGGTCACTTCAGAACCTATTTTCGGATGTCCGTTGGACAATTTGAAGTTCTGCTGAAACAATTAGCTCCAAGTCTGAAGAGGCAGAGGACTAGACACTAGTGCTGAGATGGCTGTCTGTCATGATAGCATGTACTGAGTCGGGGCCAGTACCAGATAAGCACATGAAACTATGGTATCAACCGTTAGCTTACGTTAGCACAGATGAAAGTTAAAACAAAGACATTTAGCAAACTGTTAAAGCACACAAAACATCGTCATATCAGAAATCCAACGCTATGACTCTCCACCAGTTGTCCTTTTGGTCGTTATCTTTGTAATGTGTGTGTGTAAACAATCAGCCGATCGGCCATGTTGGATATACCGGTGAATCTGATGTCGCAACAACACGCAATCTGATTGGTCAGAAGTGGAAACACAGGATGCAAAAATCGACCATGATCCGAAAAACTAAATGCCGCAATATCTCAGAATGGGAAAACGTTGCTGATGTGAACGCTTGTATTGACAGGATACGGGTTTGAAAAAAAATATCGACGTCCAAAACAATCGCGCGGAAAAAACGGTCCTGGTGTGTATGGACCTTAAATCTTGAAAATTCGGTTTTTAGTTGTTTTATCTGTAAGTTAGCTTGCAAGCAGTCTGCTACTTCTTCTTCATGTAGCTGTGACAACCAAGGTAAAAGATGATTACTATGAACTCAGGTATGATGGTATGCTTATTTTTAGCACAGTATCAGTATTCTTGCCAGGGTTTGTTTTCCTGAAGGGACCCAAAAGCAGGCAGCAGAGTCAGAGGAAGCTTTAAGTGGTTTTATTGATAAAGATAGGTGCGGGATGTTGAGAGGTCCAGGGTCCAAGGGGTGGAGGAGATCCGTGGTAAGGGGGTGAGGCTGTATGTGAGCTGGAGAAGACAAGAGTGTGTGGAAGTCGTGACAGAGGTTGGGTAGGCGCTGGCAGCTGGTGGAGGTACTAGAGGAGAAGGAAGACAACAGGGGTGATTATCAGGCGGAACAGTTAAAGAAAAAGTCTCAAAAAATTGAAAAATACTCCCTAGAGGCCGAGATACCACTGAAGAAGCAGGAATAATCTAGCACTGAGCAGTCAGAGAGCATAGCTTAAGAGCAGGTGGTGATTAGGTTGATCCAGTGCAGGAGGAGCTTCAGCTGACGAGGAGCCGCCCAACCTCTGTAAGGGGAAAAGGGAGACTTCACACACACACAAAAAAAGACTCCATGATGTCCTCAAATGATAAAACCAGTGTAATCATGACAATTCTATTTTTTTGAAAAGACAGGTACTATCGGTACATCATAGTGCCCACTACAAGTTAAAGGATTAATCAAGAACTACTATCACTTATGACAGCTATACTTGAAACTATAGAGACTTTGTAAAAGTAGAAGTGCTGATAGATCAGCGGTTGAAGCTAACGCCAAGTGTTGCTTGTAGTTGCAAATGGGTCAAAATCTAAATACTCCTCAGAATTGTATCTATTTTCTATTCATTTGCTAATCAATTGTTTAGTGATGAAATAAAAACATATTTTATAAAATGTCCTCCTGTAGCACTTGTAACCATCAATATGATACTGTGGCTTTTTATCTGTTGCCCACCTGCTGTTAGCTGGTGGATAAACCCAGACAAAAATACAAAGACAGAAAAGTGTAAACAACTTAATACTTAAATCTTGAAAGGTTACTGTTGTCTTGTCTCAGTGACTGATGCTCATTTAACAGTTTGGATAAACAGTAAGTGTGGGCTGCACAGCTTCCCCTTTCCTTCTGCCAATATCACATTGGCTTTTGTCTCTTGATGTCTGATACAATTACCGTCAGCGGTAGTTAGGGACTGCTGTGACCTTTAGTTAGCTTTTGGTGCAGTCGGTTTTCATCAGGGCCAAAACACATTTATAAACTCACCCAGACACACACACACACACACACACACACACACGCACACACACACACACACACACACAAACACACACACACACACACACAACAGTGCCCACACAGTTTGAGATTAATAGACAAGAGTGGCGAGGAAGCTGCCTGGGATGCTTTTGGCTGTCTATGACTCAAGTTTGTGTTTAATTTTGTTGTTCAGTGCTGTCTGAGTATTATGATATCCCTTTGTTCAATAACAATCATAAGAACTTTCCCAATTTGGTTCACAAACTTCTGAAGTATAAATAAAAAAGTATTTCTGTCTCACTTAAGTTATAAAAGGCCGACACACCCAATCAAACTATTTTGGGACATCGTCAATCCCACACATTGTTTTCTTGGAGCTTCACCTTTTGCTGTCACACTTCTCAAAGACTCTCCTTAATGCTAATGCTCTTTGTAGTTTCAGACTCAAAGGGCCCCATAGGATTTTAAGGACTTTTAATAGGACTCTGTCTGAAGGCAGTGACTGTTATAGGAATTTTAAGTCTTTGCAGCTGTAGTACCTCACACATCTTACTTTGTCTCCATCATGCCTCACACAGATGATTAGGTGAGCGGAGAGCAGAACTGATATGCAGCTGAAGTGATTGAATCACAAAGTGACCCAAATGAAAGAATTGATTGGCCACGCGATCATGATGTGTGTGAAATGAGCGGCCTAAAGTCTCTGACACCGATCTATTAGAATTCCTCTCAAGTTTGCTCGTAATTCACTGGTTCATTGTTCTGACAGCTGTTTTTATGTGAGCTGATAGTCACATGGAGTGGGACATTAAAGTGGATGGATCCGATTGGTTCACACAAGAAAGTGAGGACTGATATTTATCACAAGATAGAGATCAGATTAAAGATGGATGTCTAGTCAAAAGAACGGACTCAGAATTTGAATCAACTTAACCGTGTTACTCAGCAGCCTGTGGGAATGATTGACTGAGATTAACTTTCGAAGTCTATGACTGAAGGGGATTCTAGGGACCTGAATGTTCAAAACTCATCATGAGTTACGAAAATCTCCCAAGATTTGAATCTGGCTGGGGACTGAACAAAAAGTAAAATTTATGATGCTCACTTTTTCAAAACTAACTTTCCCTGTTGCTATTTTGCAGGCTCAGAGTCACAATGTTCACTATCCCACACATGCAAGAAAACTGTTTACAAATGAGCTAATTTAGTCTCAGGCTGATTGGAATCTATCATGTTTTGCAGGATGAGACTGCCTATTAGTAACATGACAATATGCCCACAGATAAATCTTGGACAATACTGTCAGAGTGGCAGATTTCATAACACAAAACAAAACAAAGCTAATAATGAACACCATTAAAAGAACAGCTGTTTAAAGCTGATGTGGGGGGAACCATCCTGGATTTCCAGCTCAGGGTATCTGAAGTTGTTCCAGGTTTCTGAAACGTAATTCCAATTTAATAGACCTTTCAGGTGGTGTTCTTAAGGGCATTTCAGAATTTCTCTTTTCTGAGCTCAAATGAAAGATGCCATTAGATGAGAAAGTAACATAGTTTGATATCGGAGGGAAGTATCATAATTACTGAGGCCAGGAGATCCTGAAGTCGATTCTGGCATTCGCATTAGAGAAGAAAAGATGTGGGTGTCAGGAGTATTATTATTTTCTTCTTCACAGGAGACCTGAGGGAGGGCTCTGTGTGGCTGCAGTATAGTTGGAGCTAATGCTAATGGCAGACAAACTCACGTTTTCTGAACCTCATATTGGGCAGAGTCAGTCGATTTTACTGCTAGCTGTGTGTTTAACTGGGCTCAGTAGAACTTTCCCAGGGTTGGACTCCAATTACCCTAGGCTGTTACTTAACAAACACTAAGATGGGAAGAGAATTGGGCCTGGCACCCCACAGTGTTTTCTTCATCTACAGTCCAGAACAGACTTGCTGTAATTCTCGTATCTGTTGCAAGAATGAGTTGGTCATTTTTTATCTGAGCTAACTTAAACATACCTCCCAGCTAACATGTTCCTTCCTGTTGTTAAACCACGCCACTGTCTGAACTGAAGCCCCAGGTCCCCCGGGTTGATGACTTCAGTTTTCCAGCAGTCCTGAGGTTATTGGAGAGTAAACACAAACACAGCCCTGTACTCAGAGCCTGACACCAGGGGGCTAATAGCACTACTAGCTGCACCGCTAACTGAAGTCCACAGCTGACTGAGGCTACTCTTATCAGTGGTGAAATTAGAAATGATTAGTCCATCATGAACTATATCTCAATAAGAATATGATAGTTTTATGTACATATACAGTCATGTTTTGGTACAGTATGTGGACATGATGGTGTTTAACAGAGGCAGTATTTGTTCATAAAGTCAGTGTCTTTTCTTTTTGTCCCATCAATGATAAAGCTGTCAGTCAGTGCCCCTATAGGCTGTTAAAAACCCTTCTTGTTCACTTCTTTTCAACTCTGTTGTCAGCTGCTTTCTAACTTTGCATGTCTTCGCTCTGTATCATTTGTGTATTTGCAGAGCCTCATCTGTTTATGCCATTGTTTTGGCGTTTTGCAGCATGTTTTATTGCCGCTTTCAACTGTTGTGTTTGTTTGGGACTTTGGGGAAAGATATGACAAGCAATTACAGCTTGATTCTGATTCATACAAGAGTTTTGTTAGATACTACATTTTGGATAAGTCTGGTTTCCCTGAGTTGACCGAGTTTCAGAAAACAAAGCCAGGATGTTATTGTTTGAATTGTTAACAATATCAGGCAATAACAAGACATTTGTGTTTGCATTACAGATTGTCCGCCCTGGTTGACCACCGTTCTTACTATCAGTATCTATGTATATTCATGACTTTGTGTCTGATTAAGTATCAAGAAAGTGTAGTATTAAAAAACCATAACTTAAATACTCGGGCTTTATGAAAATAACATTTAGTAATGTCATTGCTGCAATAAAAGGGTTTTATTATCATAAGTGTTGAATTTATGAAGGTCATTAATCTAAAACAAGAGGAGGTGTTTTGCTGATCAGTAACAGATACAGATAAAACAGACTGAGATCACTGAGCCCCCTGTCATGCTCTGCAGTCTCTCAGCACTAAGGGAGGGTACACACACACACACACTCATGTTAATGAGCTCCATCCCCTGCCCAACTTTGACAGTCTCTCACTGCATAATTATAAGTCAAAAGAGACAAACAAGTGGAAAAATCACTTGGTTTAACCTTTTCACCCTGGAATTTCTCCAGGTGTCATTTATGCACAAAATATACAATCCTAATGAGAGTAAATTTTGGAATCATGAAGTAATTTTGCATAAAAGCGATCGATTTATCAACCTACAGGCCCTTCAGAGTCGTGGAGGAACAGTACGCGGCGTGAGTGTGACATCTGCAGCCTCTCTGCAGCCAGACTGCACTCCTCTTTGATCCAGCTTCATTATGCAGAGGGAGGCTGACCTATCATGAAAGCTGCGACGTGCTGTGTTCAAGCGTCCCAAATTGTAAACACAGAGATGTACTCTGACAGCTGGTGGAGGAAAAATAGTTAATTAGGGTCTCGTCTTTTGAGAGAAATACTACCACATCTTTTCCTGGTTTACAAACACTTTGCTCACCATTATTAGACCAAATTAAGCTTCTGTTTTTCTCCTCCCTAATGACAGTTTTCCCTGGAAGCTTTTTACTTTTTTTTTTTTTAAATCAGAGCTTTCATGCCCCCTCCTTACCAATCCCTTCTTCTCATTAACCTCGTGTCTTATTTTGTTCTTTCTTAAAGCTGTAAGATTTATGTTACAAACATGCAAATGAGCGTTTTATTTACTCATACTTCAGTCAACATTTTAATGAGTTCTTAACTTTTTAATGACAGTCTGCTTTAAAGAAAAAAACCTATCTCTTTATTATTTCTTTCCAGCGTTTTTACAGTAGATATCTTTAATGAACTCGTTGCAGCTCTCCAGGATTTACACAGCTGTACTGACGCCTTAGGCTGACACATTTCCAGGAGTTTCTAAAGAGATAGCTACATTATTCAGAAGAGTTTGCATTTCGTGCCGGCAAACTTTTTTATTGAAGCAAGAAATTGGGGATATTTTAAGATAAACAACATCCTTGACTCTTGGAGAAAAACTCATATCTTTGCAATTATGACTTTCTGTTTTTAGGAGACGACAACTGTGATAGAAAATTCAGCAACAGTTATTTCCCATCATGATTCAATTTTCCTCCATACATGGCTTTAGTGTCGAATGTTATCAAACTATAATTCACATGCTAGCGTTCACAACAGAAACATCTTTATTCATGTGATCCTTTGCAGCCCTGTCATACTAAAGCTCCGGATAAACTTGACTTTATCTCCATTAATTCCTCCTCCCTCTCTATACCCTCCAATCTGAGAATCAGCTACTATACTGTGTGTGTCAGAAGCAGAAAGAGCACTTTGCATGAGGTGGAGTGTAGCAGTGGTCACCTTCAAACTGCAGGCCTCATTTGTCTCCAGCTCACCTGGATATTGTGTAAGCCTTGTTGTGGCTCATTCTGCAGTCCAATCGCTTTCTCCTCTCCCTCTTCACCTCTCCCCTTTATTTCTCCCTACTATCTCAGCCTCAGATTGTTGTCACATTCCCACTACCCTCTTCTTTCCTGTCATCATCCTCTCTGTCCTTCTATCGCTCTCTCTCTCTCTCTCTCTCTCATTCCCTATCTCAGTGCCTCTGCTGTCTTGTGCGCTGCCGCAGGGCTCTCTGGCTGATGTAATTTATGCTATCTCCTTATGCTCGTGTTAGAAGCGTCCTGAAGCCGATGCTCTTCATGCAGAGTGCTCCTGTGGGAGGCTGTGAGCTGAGCTGCCCTCATCTTTCCCTTTCACCATCATCCCTCCGTGCACAATGGAGTAAACATACATGTGGGAAGGACACTAAATTTTCACAGCAGTGCAGGATTGTTAAAAATAACACATAGCACCTTCAGTTGGAGAGGAAATTAGACGTTATGTCTCCTTTTTTTTTTTTTTTTGCTGATTTTTCTCAGCCTAAGTCAAGATTGTGTATCCTGCATATTATAGGGAGTCTAATGAGCCAAATCCATCATGAGTCCATAAGCAGATTGGACTTTCCCTGCAGTAAACATCCCTGCAATGTTTTTCTTTTTTAGGGAACAGGAAAAGATTTGATGTTGACTGAAAATGTTTGTGTTTAGTTGCAGGACTGCAATCCATTTCTATGACAACAGAGAAGGCTTTGGCTGAGGAGATGAAGAGCGCAATGGAGGGTGACACTCGGAGAACCAATCAGGTGGGAGCACAGTGGAACTCACAGCAGCTGTACATCATTTAACTGGAGCCTTTCAATCACTCAGGGGCCTTCCGGCTCTCTGTTTGATATGCAAGGCAGCTAGTCCCCTTCAGTCTGTGCCAGTGACTTAACATCTTAACATCTAAGGGCAGCATCTATTGCACTACATCATACATTTGATGATTTCCTCATATGATCACAGATTTGTATTTTAACTACTTTGACAGACATGATCAATACACATTTCTAAATGTAGGACAAAGTACATTGATTCGAAGCTCACTAAATGAAAAGGTTTTCTCCCTCCTCCCAGGTTCCAGAGGATCATGGGGATGCAGACGATAGCTCAGAGAAGACCCCCAGCAAAGCCTCCAAATCCCCTCAGAAAACCACCAAGAGGCCAAAGACTGTCCCCGTCAAAGTCACCCTACTCGACGGCTCAGACTACGAGACTGCAGTCGAGGTACAGCAGATCAATCCATGAAGAAATGCTGATCTTTTTAAGTGTTTGAACAGTTGTCATGTAAATAATCATAGATTTGGTCATCATATCTATGCCTCTATGTTATAGAGGCATAGATATATTGTCATATCTGACAATGTAGATATGATTTCATAGAGTATATAAGATATTAAATTAGATAATAACCTGCAGTAAGAATGAGAGATGTAAGCATGTTTTTTTTAAGAGCTACAAAATTGTGGTCCTTGTTCGCTGTAAACTGCAAATTTTTCTCTTTCAAATGGTTGATATGTCTGAAAAGCTTTTTCTCTTTCAAGGCTTGCTGTCCTTGAAATCTGAAGCTTGCCTCAAACTCTGAGTCACAGATATTCTCTAAAAAAATCAGTTACATGAATAAATTCCATCAAATCTTTTTAGCAACATAATAGCTTGAAAAATAAATTCAGGGTGAGATGACAGCAAAGTACTACCGTGATATTTTATGGTTTGTGTTGGATTTAAAGAGGGGACCGTTCACCATCAGGCCATATCCCCATACTTTAAATTCAGACTTTGAAATGTTCCCAGGTCCCTGAGACAATTTCCAACCACTGGTAATCTTGTATCCACCTGGATCAGGCCTTATTCACAACCTGTCCGACTGATAATGTGCTTCACCATGACAACAGTGGAGCTGTTTTCACAGCAATTACTTGTAGGGCAACAACCCTGTCACTGAAGGAAGCCATAGCCAAAACTGCAAAATAAGACATATCCCACTGAAAGCTGCTTCAGCTAAAAACATATCCACCCCTTGGTAATTGTTTTTGCCTTAAGCAACCCAGAAAATTTGCAGAAACATGAAAGTAAATCTATCTGAAATGCTTGTTTTGCAGTGCTATTTCAACACAGTTAGGCTGTTCAATGCAAACATGCCTAAAATTCATTGCTGTGCAAGGTTTCAAAAAAAGTCACAGAATTTGAAAGAGCTGGTGTAAACCTCTCCTTCCTGAACAGAATTCTTGACTCAGCACATCACACACAGTACACCTCAGAGGGATTTAGTCTCCCTTGGTAGTTCATGCTACTGAGTCAGGAAATGTAGTTCTTCTCCTTCTTCCTGTAAGGAGGGGTGGTAAATAGTGGAGGGAGGTAAGACAGGTTCTACTTTGTGGAGGATGGAGGCTCAGATGAGCAGTCCCCAGCTTCCAAGAATCGTGACCAGAGCCTTTTGTGTTGGTAAACACACCCTAGTAGATCGGTGAATTCCCACCGCTCTGTGTTTATTTGTATTCAACAGCAGCCCACACGCTCTTCAGGAGTGAACACAGCAGAAAGTTAATCTGCTCCAGCACTGATATGACTTCTGAAGGTAGAGCGAGGGGTGTCCAAGAGAGTGTTCCACACCATACAGAGATCCTAACAGAGCTTCGGTGAATCATACTGTAGCCAGCGCTCCAGCCTGATAGGCTGACTTCGATGATGGAGTGTGATGCGGGGAGGGGATGATCTTGCTGGTTGCTCGACCTCATTCACATCCACTGCTTTCCTTTTATGGCTTATTGCTTCTCACGTGACCTCACGTTTGACTTACCAGAGGCGGCGAGTGGAGAAATATGTCAGGAGTCCTTAAGAAAGCAACCCCCCTCACATAACCCCCACACACGCAAACACTCGCACTTATTCTTCTACAACTCAAACCCCCATCTTCTGCACATGCACATACATTTCTTCATGTCACCTGCACAGTGACACCAGAGGTATTGGCCTTTGACAGGTAATCCATACAGCTGACAGATGGCTGCTCTTTTATTTGACCGGGGAGAAAATAGAGTGGGAAGAAGGTAGAAGGAGTAGGAAAACGACAAAGAGGGTGAGGTGGGGGTGGGGAGGAAAATAAAGAGGGGGTATAAGTAGTGTGTGCCTCTATTCTGTAGTATGTATGAGAGCAGGTCCTAAATGGAAAAAAGGCAAGCGGGGATACAATGATGAATGCAGAGGAATCATTACCTTAATGACAGTCATGATGTCAAGTGGGGGAGCAAGGGAGGGAGAAAGCAAGGGAGTGAGGCCCGATGATAAAAACACAGAAAAGCAGTCTGAGCTGTATTGATGTTTGGCTCTGACGTTATAGGTATTGATTGACCTCAGTGCATTTACACTGACCAGTCCTTAACCTAAAGCCATACCGTTCAAGTCCCCTACCTTCTGCTTACTTACCTCACCACCTTATCGAATTGTTTTCAAGGCCAATCTCCAACTCAAAAAAACTTTGATTAAAATTATGAGACTGTAACCGTATGTTACCTTTTAAATTTGAACCTTAGAATGTATTCAAGCTCTCATTTTCACTCTTTCTACTTTTAAGTTAACATGTTCTGGTGCGTTTTTATTTTGTAAAAGAGGCCGGACTGTTTTGGGTTTAAAATCAAAGCCCTCTGTGCCGCTGACTTTTCAAAACAGCTGCTGATGCTGAATTAGCGCTCTAAAAAAATGCTGCCTTCATGCATTTACCCATAACACGTTTCTTTCTCTTCACAGAAGTAGGAATAATGTAATGAAAAATTGGGATGCAGCTAAATCTTTTGTCTGCACAGGGTTTAAACATAGATGATCCAAAGTGTCGATACTCACACACAGAAAGTTCCTCTTTGAAAAAAGTCCAGAGTATTTTTTAATGTGGGAGCCCTGTGATCATAGTAAACGAGTTGGAAAAACAAATGAAAGATTAATGACACTGGGGCCAAACTGGGCCTTGCTTTAGAATGCTGAAAGGATGATCAGCTCAGTTCATCCACAACATCCACTGCATAATTTCCTCTTATTTTAATAACACTAACCAAAGTTTCTCCTGCACCGCTGTGCTACCTCTGCCTCTGTGAAGCTGGTCATGCACTGTGTGCACCAAGTGCTCTAAAAAGTACATGTTATACTGTATTTAGATGGAGCTTTGACAACTGCCAACAAAATCAGAAGTAACAATTCATCAGTGCAAATGGAGGGGAATTGTCTGTTTGGACGATCTCAACAAGGACTGGAAAATTAGAGATGTTTGTTATTGGATTGCATCAGATTGCACTTGTAGACATAACATTATGGCTTATCAAAAAGTATTTGAGGGTTTTTTAGTTGTATGATAAGATAAGATAAGATAAGATAAGATATTCCTTTATTCGTCCCACAAGGGGAGAGTCCAGATTTACAGCAGGGATAAATACAAAAAGAGAAATTAAAGAATGAAGAAACTTAGGTATTAAAAGGATATAAAAATGATATGTACATGAGTGTTATTACAGCTGTTGATATGTACATGTTGATATGTTAAAGTTGAAAATGGAGATATTTATATGTTTGACTATTTACACAGAATAAACACATGCGTCACATGAGTTGTTGCCATGGTGCTTTCAGACCCATCTACACCTTTAAAAATCAAACAAATATAGGATAACAACTGATAAAAATCTGCAGTACCACCCCTGAAATTGAGAATCATTCAATACAGTTTTGGGGGCACATAAATGTATCTTGAACCATCTTCGAAATTGCTGCTAAAGTTATTGTCAGTGTGTAACCAGAAAGTATTTCACCTTCAAAATCTGAGCATTGTATTTTATTGTTTATCACTTTTTATATCACTTCACCATGGCAATCTTTACAAAAATGATGCTTTGTGAGCTGAGTGTGAAGCATAACACTCTAACCTTTGTTTGTTTCAGCTTAAGAGTGAAAACAGAAATGTCATGACTGGAAATTGAAGAAAAAGAAACATATTCACACAAAAAGCTCTGCCTCCTCAGTGTGAGCACTAAGTGTATTAAAACAGACGTAGGAAGTCTACTGTGGCTCTGGAAGGAGCTTGACAGCCTAAAAAGTAACCCGGTGATTTCATCAGAATTATCTCAGCCTGGGTCGTGAGGCTCCTCATTTAAAGCCTGTCTGCTAAATTCTGAGGTGTAGGATTGTTATGAGTATGTAACCCAGATGTAAAACTGTGAGTCAGACATTTTGAAATAAGTAATGAGGTTTGCTGCAGGACAAAGAATATGAAGAAGGGCAAATGTGGTCGAAAAGGTTGTAGGAGGATAGGAGATGTGGCAGACAGATGAATATAGAAGGTGTGAATATGGCTCTGTCAACCAAAGGCAAGAAGGTGAGTGTTCATCAGGGAGGTTTAGGCAGACAGCCAGGCAGGAACATGAGAGGAAAAGATGAATAATCCCGATCAAATAATAGGAGGGAAAATCTTTATCAGGGTTCAGAATCAATAATATGGGTGTGACATGTAGTCTTCTATTGCTGCTGTAATGAGAATGTGTGGAAGGAGAACAGCTAAAGGGTTGCTGAATGGATGTGGAGTAGATGTTCAGGTTTGAGGGGGTAGATAAAATAAGCAGTAATAAGAGGGGGAACTGGAGACTGTCATGCAGGAGGGCACAGCTAAACACTCCCTACATGCTCTCCCAATTAGAGCCATTATTAGCGAGAAACACTAGAGTGCTGGGGGTTAGTGTGTTTTTCTTTTTATCCAACCTGCTGATGTTTGTTTGGTCGACTATGGTGTCTCCTCCACTGCCTCATGGGTCAGCCTATAGTTTTGTTATTGTTTTTGATGAGTATACCTGTTCTGTACAAAGTCGACATACAGCCCTATCTTTATTTTGTCATCTATCTTGAACCCTAAACACTTCAACAGGGCACTTCTCGGATAAAGGTCGTGATGATAAAAGGTCCTAAACCACCTTTTTTCCCTCACTGCTCAAAATGGTTTTGATGTGTGCTGTATGAACACAGACTAAAAAAGTCAGAAACATGAGGTTGAAAATAAGTGATCAACAAAAATAGAAGTGCCTTATGCAGCGATGTGGCTTCTGTGAGTCTGCAAAATGGTTATTTATGGAAACCACTCTTTTTCTGTGACATGTAACCATGGTTACATAGAGTTCTTATTTTTCTAGGAGTGAGGGAGTTTATTGCAAAACTTGCAACTGTATCTGATCCTGGTCTCCCCCCTTCCCTCCCATTATGATGAAGTGGGCTTTATTCAGCTGTGGGCATGATTTCAGACCCACTTCACTCTCTTTTAGACTTGGAATGGTGATGGGGGACTTAGATTGGCTTGCATTACATTTAGTTGTCCATCTTTACATCCTCTTCCCTCCACTGACCCAGAAATTGTTCACCCTTAAACATGATGAGGGGTCTTGAAGTTTTTTAATACACCTGGATTAGACAAGGATAGAGGTGGAAAAAGCTGCAGGTGGAGTTCAGAGCAATGATACACAGGTGTATCCACAGCAGAAGTCTTTTCAGCATTACTTGTCACAATTGGTGTGGAGGTGTCGTATTTGCAGAAATGCTACGCCTCCACAGGCCATTTCTTTATCTTAAATTTTATCATCACAGTACTGATCTGCTAAAAAATAACTGCACAGTTATACAAAGGAGCAGCCACATATTTCAACCCCCCTCCAGAAAATATCACATTTTTTCTTTTCACTTCCCAAACACAAAAGTTTTAACAGTTCCTCGACTGCTGTCAGTCAAGGGGTCCTTGGATTATCATAACTCTCTCCCCCACATTTAGTACCCCTGTATATGTACACATGAGAATTTAATTACAAAGTGTTCAGGCACCCTATAAGGCAGCTTCTCATTTTTGTTATGTTCAATAACATTGATTTGAGCTCACACAGCTGTTTTGCTTCAAAGCGTGCTAATTACATTGATGTAAGTGATATAAACCAGAACTGTATCAAATAACACTGCTCTTTGTATCACAGACTGTGTATAGAATGGACGCCGTCTGCCTCCTCACTGGGTGAAGTCACTGTAAGAACAGCACCCTCTGCTGACAGGCTGCAGTATAGGTCATAAATCCCGCCTCCTCCAGCAATCCCTATGGAGCTGTGGACAAACTTTAGAAATTTATTCACAAAATATAAATTTGTCTCCCCCCTGGTTGCGATGTTGACATGTAATTATTTTAAGACTGGTGTGTGCTCAAGTCCTCTTTTTTCTGTGCAGCTCCATTTTTAAAAGTTATTAGGGAGTCACATTTTCTATGATTGACACTTGATACAGCCTATGGGTGTACCAAGATTGCTTCACTCACCTGTGGGATACGCTGTTTGAGCTGAGTGTCATCACAGCAACTCTCCCACCAAATGCGTACAGCGTAACTGCTGAAGTGGTAGTTCCAGGAAGTGGAGAAAATCCCGGAAATACCAAGAGCAATTCGGCGTTAAATTCATATAATAAAGGAAGACGGAGCCAAGTTGTGTATAGTATATGAAGTCTATGCTTTTCATATATGTGCAGATGAAACTAAAATGAACAACCGTTATACTAGTAAAAAAGTCTTGTGTTCGATCTTGTTTGACTCAGTTATCTGTCTGTCTGAGAAAGAAATCAAATGGGTTTAAAATAAGGGGTTTTCATTAATTAGCACTGTGGGTTTTTTTAAAGGTGAGACAGCTGTGCAGCTTGACATCGGTGCCTGATGCCACTTCAGACTGACACTGTGGAATGAGGGATTTCTCATTTGGAAAATTTGTCTCCATGTCTTTGTGTCTATCTCTTACATCTTTTTCTCAGTAAATTGCTTGACTGGCAACCAGGATCCAAGGAGACAAATCAATGAGACTTGAGAAGCACTCAAAGGGTAATGACTGCACAGCTGGAGCCATGACAGAGATTCAAGAGACATGGTTGTTTATTTTTTACCAACCTCAAATCCTCTGTGTCATCCGTAACAGGCACTACTATACATATCTATTCATATGTAATTGTGAAAAATGATGTCATATAGTTTTAGATTAAATTATGAGTGAATGCTTTTATTTCAGTTTAAAAACAAAATTATTTTTTTTATGACATAATGGTAATTTATCAGACAGCATTATATCTCGAGATTGACTTTTCTGATTAAAGCTCTCCTGTCCGCACTTTACCTGTCACAGTAGGATGTTGATTAACAAGCAGTACATCATCTGAGGCTAATTCAATCACATCTCCACAGTTTTTCTTAAAGCATATCCCTCTGCCTGTCTTAATATAAGTAACTAAAGTCAACACTTTCTCCCCAGCAAGTTATTAACCCATTCAAACATGCGCTGCCTCTCCTCATCTTGTTTGAGGAGAACAGCAAAATGGATTTCTAGGATTACACCAAATGGCCGCTAACACAATCAGCCCACAGAACTAGTGACAGAAATGTGATTTAAGGCAATTGGAGCGACAATAAAATCTCATCAGCAGCTTCAAATTGCTCACCATGCTTGGGGGACCACCTGAGATGTGTGTTGCAATTTCATTATGTTGGAAAATCGAATGTTTGCGCTGCAACTCTTAAAATATCTCTTTTGAGTGCAGCCTCTGCCTGTTTATCAGTATGATTTTCTCTTATTTAGTCTTACTGCAGCAGGATATCAATTATGAGTGAGTTGATTGAGAGATAGATATCTCTATGATGCTTTATTAATTAGCTTTCTTTAATTTTTGAAAGAGATGCTGACTACTGCCAAATTTTTCCTATTAGATCTGAACAAAGCTCTGTGGCGGCCCTGTGGTAACCACAGATAGAGAATAAGAGGGCACAGGCAGATTCAGAAGGGACCTATTACTTCTGTTTCCATGGCAACAGCTGCTTGGATGCTTTGTCGCCATAGGAGCCAGGTTTCCCTTGGAGATGAATCTGGCATGTGTGTTGCTGATAGTGTGGGTTTGTGCATGTGTGTGCGTGTGTAATGGAAGAGCAGTTTGCCAAGGCTGCCTGTGCGCCCACAGAGGCCGTGTTCTCAGCCCTGGAGGCTCAGAGAGAAAAAATAGGTGTGGTCTCTTGAAACGCCACTGATGCGAGATGCAAACACTTCCCGTATAAGGATGCAGAGAGAGGAGGGGAGAGGAGCTCCTCCTACTCTATGGGGGAGAGGATGCACTGCAAGCGTGTCAAGAGCACAGTTGGACAGGATTTTGATGTCAGATATTTTTGGAATCCTCTGTGTTATGAAAATACATTCAGACTGGGGCTGTGTGTCGTCAAGGACATTACAATTCAATTTCAATTCACTTCTTTAGGTCACAATTCAATTCAATATCAGCTTGATTCAGTTTGACATGATAAATCAGCTTTCAATGCTATTCAGTCATATGCATAGATAGCAGACATATCCACATCATTAAAACACTGTACATTTTCACTGTTATAACAAGTTATACTCTGTGTGGCATATGTCAATAGCTTCTTTCTGCAGAGCCTTTGACACTTATCCCCACTTATTAGAAATGAGCCAGAAAATAATGGTTTTACAGGGGTGCGTCAATCTTAAGGTCCTGCAGTTGCAAACAAAATGTGGCTCTGCTCATTTCAATGACTGGACGAGAACTTACTTTGTCCCTGCAGTTTCTTCATGTACGTTTGTGTTGGTATGAAAGTGTGGTCCCTGTGTATGTACCATCTTCTCTGTAGGAGTGTAGGTTTTAACAGATGAGGATTTCTAGACTCTGTTAGTTTCTGTGCTCTCACAGAGCTTGACTGCTGTTTGTAGAAAAACAGGCTGCAAACAAGCCACTGCTTGTAAAACCTCAGAGAGGTGTTGGTGCAAATAGTTTCACAGATTTGTTTTGTTATTACAGAGCTTACACACAACATGTATCATGAACCCAAAAGTCTTCTAAATATCAGCTTTTAATGTTAAAAATGCTGATTTTTTTTTACCATCTGTCATCATTTTGTTGATTTACCAACAGCTGTTTAGTCAGGAGGGGTCCGTACAATGGGAATCACTGCACAGAGGCATCCACAGCAGTAGGGCTTCATTACAGCTAAATGAATTGATTGCAGGGATGTTTGAGTAAATATTGAACTGGGAAAAATATCACGTAATACATTGATGAAATGATTTTTCTTTTTACTCAGCTGTGATACAGACAAGTATTTTTCTGTTACATGATAACTCACTGAAAATCATCAAGAACTCAGAACCAACATGTTATCAAATCTGTTGTTGGGGATCATTTCTGCATTTTTACAAAAGTACAGAGCCTAACTTATAACCTTAATTTGTGTAGAGGGTTTATCATCTTGCGGAAATAAGATCATTACCTGGCTTGAAAAGATTCTTGGTGAGTTTGCAGTAACTTGCCGTTTTAATTGCCCTTTACTGTGAAATGAGGGATGCGCCAGTTGTTCGGCTATTTTACAAAAAGCTGGGCAGAAATACTCTGAGATAAATTTGCTTTTCTCAGTAAAAGTGAAAATCTATGTTAGAGTGAACCTTTGAATTCAGTATGAAAAACTTTTTGTTATTCTATTTAATCTCACCTTATTATTGCGCTTTGATAGCTGAATTGTAAGCTTCATTTGTCCTCTTTGTGGTGTTATATGTATTCAGGTAAACTAAAGTATTTTTTACAGTTGTTTTTTGATGTGTTGAGCTTGTTATGAAGGTGAAGGTGACTGTGGGAGACCACAAAAACAAGATAACAACTTAGACTCACAAGATAATTAACTTGCGTGCACGAGATAAAAGTTTTTCCCTTACATAGTCTCAGGGGCTTTTGGAGGTAATATAAACAAATACATGAATAGGACTATGTCTGTGTCAAGCAGAGAGTACATAAGGAAATGGATCAAGAGACCTAGACTGATGTAATGCATGAAAAATGCACAACATTAAAGCTGATTTGTTCCTCCTCACTGAACAAATTTTAAAGAACTGTAAAGGCAAGATTGAGTTTAGAGAACGTCACTATTTAGAACAGACATGATCAGAAATAGTTGGTTTACTTTGAAAGGACTGGTTTTGGCTCATAACCAGTAACAGAGTATATTAGAAAATAGTGGTAGGACGTATGAATACACTGGTACGATTATGTGAACAAATATTTATTTAATAAGCAGTTAGTTTGGTTTTTATGAAGAGAGAACAGAACAATGTATGAGCAGTGTTATTATGTCTGAAGGTAATGTGATATCCTTTCTCAATCAATAGAGAATAAATATAAAAAAGGAGTATGAGAAGTGTGAGAAAGAAACCAAAGATTCTGGCTGGAACTGAACTTGCACTTGTATTTCTCTTTATTAAGCACAAGGCCAGAAGATGTCCCTCGTGAAAAAACACCTTTATTAAATTTCTTATGCTTGCACAGTACGAGCTGTTCATAAAACCTGGATCTGCAATTCCTCACCTGCTCTACTGCCGTGTACTGTTCATACATTTACATGTTTGCCTGTGTGTGCGTATATTTGTGTGTGACAGAAATTTGCCAAGGGCCAGACCCTGCTGGACATGGTGTGTGGCCATCTGAACCTGCTGGAGAGGGACTACTTTGGCTTGACTTTCCAAGATACGGACAACTCCAAGGTCAGATGCACACACACGACCACACACTCAATAAAACCCACACACAAAATCCCATGACAAAAAAGACGTTTTATTGAACCCCAAAATATGTAACTGAGGCTCCACAGCATGACATCAGACAGAATTATCAGCTCATTACACTCAGTTCCCATTTTACCAGTTCACTTGATGGAGTTGGTGAAAGATGATCCCGGCTTGGCCTGATCCAAATGCAAATGCGGTGTAACCAAACATTGAACTATTTTAAATTGTGTAATAAAACTAGCCTGGATAGGCGTGTAAAAAGCCCTAAATTGATTTTCTAATATGGGTCCCAAGAGACTTCACACATCCACACTAATGAGGTGCATGTGTGCGCAGAGTGCTTATTAAGTGTCTAGATTTATTTATTATTGGATGAATACTCTCTGAAGAGAGTTTTAATACATCCTGTGGTCATATTTCTTTTCTCTTTACTCTTGTGCTTCATGTGAAGACCTTAAAACCATTTCAATTTCAGCCAATGTTTTGGTTGACTTGCAGCATGTAAAAAGCCTCTATCTGAATATTGGGACTTTAAGGGTTATAATTTGTGTTTTATTGGAAAGTGCTTTGGCTCAGAGTGGTTAAGTTGCTGTGTAGTTGTTGTGAAAGTGGCGCACTCGTATTTTCTATCACAACCTCAATGTTTCTTAATTCAGTTATTATCTTTAAGCACTGGAAAAACATTTTGATTGTGCAGCAGTCAGTAAGAAGTTTAAAGGATGTGTTTAGTTTGTCAACATAAAAAAGCTCCTTACTGATAACATGTGGGGATAATTGAATTAAGAGGCTTTGTAGAGACCAATAGCAGCGGTAAATGTTGGTGTCAGAGCTGGCTTGTGTCTCAGCACCTTTTTTGATTCATAATAAACTTCTTGGGTTGCTATTTTTTTTATCAGTGATTTCAGAGCAAATGTCAAACAGCCTTCCAGCCAACCAGCCCATTTAACCAGACTGTTTTTCCAGGTGTTTTAAAGCTCCAAGTCCCTGGTTGACCTTTTAACCGCACTTCAGCTCTTACATCCTGAGAGTGGCATTCACAACCTTTGACCTTTCAAAATGAGATTAGACTGTGTGGCCTTTCAAAATTGGTGCACAGGGTCCACAGAGCGCCATGAAAGCTGGAGTGACATTAAGCATGAGGAGCCGGACTCAACTGGCATTTATAGCTTCAATATTGATGCTTTCAGTGTTTATTAAAGCTTTCATCCATTTTCCTGTGGTGTGAGTATATTTGGCTCTAAAACAGAGAATAGATTTAAAAAGAGAAGAGCAGCCAGGGAGTTACTGCACTTAAAACGGCTTTTCAAAATGTGAATATGAATGACTTTGCCGGGGTTGAACGCCTCAAAGGAGACTGCCTTTCTTTTCTTTATTAGAACTGGTTGGATCCTTCCAAAGAGATTAAGAAGCAGATTCGGGGTAAGTACAGCAGACAGAAACCCACACACACCCGTACACAGTCCAACAAACCCACACACATGGGATATTTTAATGAAGAGGCAAAAAGAAAAACATACTGATGGTTCCTCCACAGTTGGGTCGTGGATCTTTGGATTTTCAGTCAAGTTCTACCCCCCAGATCCATCGGTGTTGATTGAAGACATCACCAGGTAGGTCTGAGTGTAACAGCAGAAACTTGTCTTACTGTAAATCTCATGGCACTTTAAATTAAAAAAAGAAAATACAGGTGCAAATGGTTAGTGATTGGTTTCATGGTTTCATTTACACAGAACAAATGTTAATTCACCACTTTCAAGCAGTTGGTAGAAAAACAGTTTTTCAACAGGCAGAGACCTTGAGGATCAAAAGTACACTGGGTAACACTTTATATAAACCCACCTCTTATAATGTATCATGAACACTTTTATAAAGCCTTATAAATGCATCTTTGAGGCTGTACCACATCCCTATAAGTGATTATATGTATTCATAACAACTTAGAGTAATGTTTATGAAGTGTTGCAAGCAGTGAGCATGATGCCTTTTATAAGTATGGCTCATAATGCATAGTAACTTAATAGTTCCAAGAAGCCATTATAAAACTCTAATTAGCAGTAACTGGAGTTCTCAGAAAATTGTAAAACACAGTTTGACCAAATTTCCGTGGTAGTTACTTATTGTAGTGCGCTAAAGGGAAGAGGAAACTTTATTCACAGAAGTCAAAAATAAACACCGCCAGAAAAAAATACAGTTGTATTGGAAGGAGATAACAGCAGTAAAACACAACATTGTAATTCACTATCTAAGCATACATGGTACTAGAAAGTGTCAGTTCCTTCAAATGCAATTAGACAATTTACAGCACAGAGTTCTTTTGTGCTGTTAGTCATCATTGTCTGGAGGTCCACTTCACAAAGTATTTCCCCGAACACCTATTACGTTTAAAGCTTGTTGAGGTTTGCCTCTGTTTCATGTAGTGGAAATGAGCCGTAGGCATCCCCACCCTTTGCTGCAGACATTTGTGTTTGCACCTAAAGGAGATTGAATATGCTTTGGAAATTAGACAAATCTTTTATGAATCAGGTTCTCTGTATTGATGTAAAATTTCATGACTACATTTTCTATGTTTCAGTCCACACCATAGTGGTGAATTACCATTGGTTAAAAGCCCTTAAATACTTAGGACCTTGCAATAATATTGATAAACTCTACAAGTGTCTGTCATATTTTGGCCTCCCATGTTTCCTCAGGTACTACCTGTGTCTTCAGCTGAGGGATGACATCTTGTCTGGTCGTCTGCCTTGCTCATTTGTCACCCACGCCCTCCTCGGCTCCTACACAGTCCAGGCCGAGCTGGGAGACTATGAGCCTGAGGAACATGGGCCTGACTATGTGAGTGACTTCCGCTTTGCACCCAATCAGACCCGTGAGCTGGAGGAGAGAGTGATGGAGCTGCACCATAACTACAGGTCAGAAAAAAAGAGGTCTCCTTTAATTAAATTAAATGCCATGAGGATAATTGGAAAGGCTTGTATTTTTTGATTTGTGAGATGGATATGGAAGAAGTGATGAATCACATGTGGCATTTGTGTTGTAGGGGAATGAGTCCAGCTGATGCAGAAGTTAACTTCCTGGAAAATGCAAAGAAGCTGTCAATGTACGGTGTGGATCTGCATCATGCTAAGGTACAGGGACAAACTTTGGTTCTTTGACTCTTTGTGTACATTAAAACATTTTAATTTCAAGTTTTTAAAGCTGTGTTCCTGTTCTGACCAGGACTCAGAGGGAATTGACATAATGCTTGGGGTCAGTGCCAACGGTCTGCTAATATACCGAGACCGCCTGAGGATCAACCGCTTTGCCTGGCCCAAAATCCTCAAAATCTCATACAAGAGGAGCAACTTCTACATCAAGATCCGCCCAGGAGAGGTTAATAAAAACTCATTAACTTTGTCTCTTGCATGTTGACGTACGTAGGAGTTCACTTGCGAAATTACTGCATGCACAGTCCCACTGGAACAGCTCATGAAAGCCACTGTAGCAAAGCCGTGGCGAGTGGAATAAAGATCATTTTGGTAAAGAGCCTCTTTTCTATTTCATGGTTTCACAGTTGTTAAAATTACATCATTGTCTCCTTTGGCTGGTCCCAAACAGCATAAATAGTCATTTCATGCTTTGATAGAAGTGTTGCTTTTGAGATTTATCTTTGGCGAGCCATGTGACGACTGACGAGGAGACATTATTTATAGCCCTCAGAGATACCGCTCTTGAAGATTAGGCTGATAGGTCGTGCTTTTATTCTTCTCCTCCTCCTCCATCTTTGGTGGCTTTAAAGTGTGATTAGCCAGTTGTGAGGATTTGCACTTTTATCAAGAATTTTACTTGCAAATGTTTCAGCCACATTCTGCCCGTTCTGGTTTCCAACTCCTTTGAATTATTATGATTTGCTGTTTTTCCTTCATCCTTTGGCCTTCAGGGCATCCACAGTGAGTTTTATATCCACTGTTAAACTGACAATGACATTTATGTAGTGAACACACACTAGTCTGTGCTTATACTGCGAACAGCAGCTCTATCCTCTGAAGTGTCACTTTAAATTTACCTGCGGTGTTGTCACAGTGTTTTACAGCACTTTGATTTTAAACTGTACCCACCGATTTTTGCAGTGGAACAAAGATAAGCTCTTCTTGTGAACAGTTAAATGGCTAACAAGAAATTGATCTAAAAGTCCCTTTATTCATTCAGACCACTGAACATGTGATGGAGTGAGCACACAAATGTTGATTTGTTGGTTGGTAAGTGACGGTAAACCTTCCTGATGTGACTCTTAGTAATTTTTGGCTACAGAAACACAACATTGATTTTTCCGTTGCTGCAGAGCAACCAAAACCTCCCCTCCATCTTTCCCTGCATTCACTCCCTTCACTCTTCTTCTTCTTCTCCTCCCCTGCCACCTCCACTCTTTCCCCTCACTGCTCAGTATGAACAGTTTGAGAGCACCATAGGCTTCAAGCTGCCCAACCACCGGGCCTCAAAGCGATTGTGGAAGGTCTGCATTGAGCACCATACCTTCTTCAGGTAGGACTGCACACCTGCACAATTCAACTCCTCTGCACTGACATCATCTCACCCTGCATGATCTGTTGACACTCTGCACAGTAAAGTTATTTTATTAGTGACACTCATCAAAAAAATGTGATCCAGCTTTTGTGGAACCACTTTTTTCCCCACAGGTCCTATATTGGTACCTAACTGTGACTTGAAAGAAAGGATTCTTGAGAACTCTGGCTAATTTGATGCTAAATACAGGGGTCAAATAGACAGTAATCTGTAGGAATGTTATGTTCCCACTGTTATGATACCTTTTTCACTGTTTCTTTACACTGAATCCTGCAGCTTTGTGTGATTTTAGAGAAGCACAAACAGCTGAACTCTCACAGAAAAACACACAAACATACACAGCACTATCCTGTTCTGGCAGCACCAACGCTTTGCAGTGATACCCTTTTGCCTCTAAACTCATGGTCTCCCAACTCTCTTTAGTTCAAACAGTTTCCCACAAGAGTATTTTGCTGAACAGCACAACAGTGTTTTCTTTAAATAGATGTTAACGACAGAGCTGTCGTTAGAAAACAGCACCTTCAGCCCAGACTGCTTTAGCAAGCATGCTTTGGACTTCAGATGGACCAAGTAATGGCATTTTGGAGTAATCAGGGTCGCATTGGCATTAACACTCTCACTCTCACTTTGTTTTTTTCTAAATGACAGCACAGTCGTAGGAAGAGGTCCACAGGAAGACTGTGGACAAAAATCCAAATGACCCTTGGATTTTACTGAGCTAATACACATTTTTAAAGTAAAATACTCATTCATATTCAGCAGTTTTGTGTATAATTATTAGGTTTTTGTATTTGATCAACTGCAAAAATACAGCAACATGATTTGGACATTTATATATTGACTATCAGGAGACCTGCCTGTGGACATTAAAAACTCAAATTGACCCTTTTCCCAACTGCTCACGTTAAACAATGTATGAGGACTACCCAAGCAAGTGCATCAGTTGTCTCACATAGGGTGCAAATACTTTTTGCTTCAGCACAGTATTACGTCACCCCACCCCTACACTGCTATCGGTCATGCACTGAGAGTTAAAAACAGGGGTGCAAAACAGGCCATGGAAAAGGTCTAACTCTGCTGCAGTTTACCTTTAATGTAGCTGCCAAATCAGCGTATCTTAAAGGGATATTCTGTTGTAAAATTAATTTAGGGTCAAACACACCGTAACACTGAGTCAGACACCCCCTCCAGAGATGAATGTTGCTGTCTGCTTGCTCTAGTTACACCAACTTTGGTAAGGACTGCACGATAGCAATACACAGCAGTCTAAGGAGCCACGCGCTCAACCAAAAAGCCACTCTACAGCCACAAATAATGCTCAGAACAGCATCAACAGTACATATAGGGTCCCAGCCATAGCATAAACATCTTTGTAGCTTTGCCTAATTTCTTTAGCAAAGAGACTAAACACTACTCTCTTCCAGCAGCCGCCTGTTTGTACAGAGACCTCGGACCAGTCTATTACCAAATGCTGCGGGGTGACGCAGCTCAAGGAAGAACATTTATGATCATTTCTTTATCATTTCCTTGAAGTAACAATCACCATATCAATCATTTTGCACTGCAGACGTGGTAGTTCTTCTGCCTTAGCGTCTCGGTCTGATTGCATTTCCATGAAGAAATGATGGTTGAGGTTTGCGCGTGAAGACGTAGACCACTGTGTTTTGCTATCGTACGGTCGTTACTAAAGTTGGTATAACTAGAGAAGCAAGCAGTCGACAACATTCATCTCTCGAGGGGTAATCTAACTCAGTGTTACGGTGTGTTTGACCCTAAATTAATTTTACGCCTGAATATCCCTTTAAAGAGTGAAATTTGTCTACGAGCAAGCTTATGAATCAACACCCTTGTGAACAAAGTAACTAATCACTTCCATCTTGTTTTAAAACCTTTTTTATTTGATAACAAGAAAGTAACACTGTCTTGTCTGTGTTTAAATTAAGAAGCTAAAGGAAGAATGTGGTTGATTTACTATACAACACAGCGACAGTAGAAAACTACTACAAAACCATCACCTATTCTGATGGTGCAGATCATAACAAAAAAAAAACACTTAAGTGTTAATTAAAACCTCCTTACAACACGTGTGACATTTGTGGAAGACCAAGTGAAATTTTGAAAGCTAACCAAGCTATTTTCCAAGATCCAGGAACTTAAAGAGGTTCATATGAACTAAATATTCAGTTGGCTCATTTGTAAAAATGTGTGATGTTGTCCCTTTACATTCATCTCCACTCAGAATGTTCCAGTGTTATATCTGAGCTTTTCTCTCAACAAAATCCCTCCCACAAATTTAGCTTTGAATTCAAAAGACACACACTCACACATTTCTGCCCCTGTCAGGCCTCCTCTGCGATGTGTAATGCAGGCAAAGTCATCCCACCTCTGATCCTCCCTTGAAGGTAGCTTTGTGCATGTCTGAGTGTTTCAACAGCACTATCATTTGTGGCAAAATCTCCCGGCAGGCTACCAAAATTACACCATTGTGGGGTTCGGTGTATAAGGACAAAGGTGTAGTGATGGCGAAACTTTGTTCCAATGCTGATGCAGAACTACAATGTGTAAGAGGCTGCCTACATACGGACAAACACATGCATCCGAACACACCCACACTTACATTAAATAAGAAGAGAATAATGACACATCATGGTCCTTTTGAGGGAAATCACAGGAAATGATTTGGAGCTGAGGGACTCTGAAAATATCATCCTCCTCCTCCTCATATCCAACTCTAAACTGCAAAAATCATAAAATAGACCATGAGATGCACAATCTGAGTTTGTGTGGAAGAATTTAACAGACTGAACCTGCCTACAGGTTAGTTTCCCCAGAGCCGCCTCCCAAGGGATTCCTGGTGATTGGCTCCAAGTTCCGCTACAGTGGGCGGACCCAGGCCCAGACCAGACAAGCTAGTGCTTTGATTGACAGGCCTGCCCCACAGTTTGAACGCTCCGTTAGCAAGAGGTACATGCTGCCCAGAAGCATTGATGGAGGTAAGAAACCCACTCTGCTTCTTTGTTCACAGTGATGTTTACTTAAATCCAGGATTATGTTGTTACGTAATATTGTGGCACCATTGGCAGGCTCAGAAAATGAACTGGCGGATGGATAACAGTGTGCACAAAAACATACTTCTCTCTAATACTGTGTAAATACATCCGTAACAGAGGTTCTTTGAGCTGTGAAATGGCTCTGAAGCTGGCTTTAAATAGGAATCTGCCTCTTCACCTCAAAGGTGAAGGTAATGGCAAAGTGCTGTAAACCTGCACCAATGATTGAAAGGAGATTTCAGAGGTATTAAAGTGTATCAGACACTTCAATTATTAGCTGAGTTCATATTTTTCTGATGAGGTTAATGGTGTAGGTGGCTAGTTTAGAGTTTGATTACTCATGCTGATGGTCATTTTTTAAACTATGGTTCTACATCAGGTAAATCAGGGTCTGCTATGATTTCACAGAACAGCAGCCTGCTCAGTTCGGTAGTCCTGTAACACTGTTCTGATGATTCTGTCATGTTTCTCGTCCCTTACCTCCCCCAGCCTCAGCTCTAGGGGACAGTATGGACCAGCTCTCCCAGCGGAGCTCCAGTGAGCGTACACAGTTCATGTCCAGAGAAGACCTCGATCAAGAAGGCAGCCTGGACCTGGACCATGATAACTACCACTATCAGGACCAAGACCAGGATCAGTTCACAGATCAAGAACTGGAGCTGCAAGACAGTCAAGAACCAGAACCAATCCAGAAGCCTCCACGGGGGGCCAAGGTCTCGACGCCTACTAGGAGTTTAGAGCTCAAGGTATTTGGATGAAATGTTTGGCCTTGTTTGGATTCAAAGTGGTGCCGAGATTTAAACATAACATGTCAATAAATGAAAGATGAGTCCTTGAGTCATATGATTACCTAATAACCAAAACATTGGCACGACATGCAAACTGTGTCAGAGTACAACAGAAGAGCAAAAAGCTGCCAAGTTGACCAGCTGGCAAAGATTCTGATTTAAACTAACACTCCTCGTGCTTTTCATTCACATTCTTGAAATCAAAACTATGATTGTCATATCTACTTTTTCTCTATTTGTCCTAATTTTCCCTTTTTCTGCTCCTCCCCGTCCTTATAAGACTTTTCACAATGAGTGCTCAACAGTTCTGTTATTGCATTTTAAAAACTTATCATCTTTTCTGCAAAGCTCACTTCTTTTAACCCTGCATCCTGTCTCTCACAGTTCTCCTCTTGTTAACACGCTTTGCTGACCTCTGCTCTCTCTCCCTTCTGACCTCTCTGTCGTCCACCTTGTCCTCTCCTGCAGGCTGAGGAGGCAGGCTCGCCCCTAGAATCAAAACAAGAGGTATTTTTGACCTTGGACCTCGGTGTCTGTCTGTGTGGTTATGGTTGTTGTAGGTCATGCGCTGGTGCTCCCTGTTTTGATTGTTTGCCACTGGATAGAATGTTATTTTGTCTCATGTCATGATTTTCCGTTTCCACTGACTCAAATTCATGGAAACTGCATGAAAGAATCTTCAGATGAATAGACACTGACTATTTGATATGATGTACGCTTATTCAGGCTATTTGTTTTATTGTTCTTCTCTGCTGGAAAATGGGGACAGTAACATTCATATGACAGTTTATCAAGCTTTTTATTAAGTTTAACTCTAGCGAAAAAAGTTCCACATTTTTGAAGTCCGCACATGCAGAAGAGTGTGCGTCTTTAACTGGGTTGAAACCAACAGGAGTGATAGATAGCAGGATAGACAGATGGGTCCAGATCCCTGTTGATGATGTAGTCTCCAAATTGACAAATCTCTTAATACTAAAGCTGAGCAAAACTGCTTCATACTCTCAGTGCTAATATGTTAATATTTTTAATTATTTGTTTACAAAACCAACTTTGTAGATGTTCAATGGTTTTTGTTCTTAAGACGCACTAATTCTGTCTTTGTTTTATTTTCATGGTTAAGGTTAAACCAGCATGTAGTCTGGTATCATGCCTCCGCAGGTCTGTGTTGTGGTGTGATTAAATACTTCAGATAATATTGACACAGCATTAGTTACTAAAGCGTCTGTTCATTTGCGGTTTTGTAACATGCTCTCACCAAATGTTTGGATGAAGAAGAATGGGAATAATCCCCCTCTCCAAGCACTTATCTTCAGTCAATAGAAGACTGCATTAATTATCAATTGGCTGACTCTGAAATGGATTGTCCCTGTCTTCTTGGCAGAACATTAAATAGCTTAACAGTCTTAAAGGCTTCAGAGCCCAGTGGTGTCGACCGTTTTTGTCTGTCTGTTTGGCCGCCTGTCTCCTGGACTCACCTGCAGCATTTTACCTCTCTGTCTCTGCACCCCTCCCTGCCCTAACTCTCAACTCCTGCTTTGCTCTATAAAACCCTTCACTCCATCTCACTCGGCCCACCTTGGGCTCACTCAATCTAATGGACAAGGATGTGGCCACCCCTCGGCCCAAACAGGAGGTACTGCTTGTCCTCTCTTCTTGGCATGTGCCGTTTGTAATGCTCATCAGGTGTGCTGTGATTTCTTATTCCTAAGTGTGTCAGTACAAAATAAAACACACTGACAGAATATAAAGATGGATGGCACATCTCTACCACCTTCCACACTACAAAAGAGAAGCCGTTTTTGTTTTTGTTGAAGCCTTCATCCAGCCACAGGGCTGTCAAACTTGGTATACTGACTGGACTAATGTCAGAAGTCCATATGTCTATGGAAAGTGTTGGCTTTTCTTTGAAGCTCCTCAGAGGAGTTTGTTATTGGTCATGAAACTGGAGACCTGTAACTGCAGTGAAGGGGAGGTACAATAAGGAAATAGCCTTGGTTACCAAATACTCACAATGGGTGATATATTTCACCATAAAAAGACAACAGGATGAGATTTTTTTAGTCAAGTAACACCACTTTAAAAAGGCTGCCCCCAGGGGGTGCCGAAATCAACACTGATGAAAAATTCCTCACAGGAGCTTTAAGTAAAGTAAATGAAAACATCTTTTGATACATCATACATCAGTCAGGTTAATTAATCCAACCAATAAATTATGCCTGAACTTATGAAGCTGAATAAATACATGAACACATGTCTGCAAGCACTACAGGCAGTGTGGTTCTAGTTCTGCAATGTTAAGATTCCCCTTGATTATGTAACATTTCTCTTATCTTTAGAGACAGCATGCCACTGACTGGTGTGAAATAAATGAGTAAATTCTTACATAATTGAATTCAACATATTGAATTTCCTTCCAGAGATGAAAAAAGTTCTCCTTCATGATAAACAATGCAGTGAGTGCAGTGTTGATTCTGAAATGTATTCCATATTTGGGAAGGTATAGAATAATCAGTTGGCAGATTACAGCAATTGTTGTGGTTTGCCAAATGCAAAAAAAAAAAAAAAAAAAACATATAAAACACATTATTGGCATGATATATTGGCCATTTGCCAGTCTGCTTTCCAGTTGGCATTGATTATTGAAAAACATTATCAGTCAACCAAAGCTGTGGATGACTGTTTTATCTGACATTAGTGTATGACTGGTATGACAGATAATATCAAATTCCCATTATCAGGTCTGTGTACAGTTTCAAAGTTTTACATATGTCCTGCCTATTAATAGGAAGGAGGAAGACTAAATAACCTTTACTGCAGCTAATGATTGGGCTTCACTTTTAGGGAGCTGTTGTGCTGTCCATCTTTTAATACAGTTTGAGATATACAGTTGGCAACAGTGATGAAGTCTACATTCACACACTTCACATGTTTTTATTCTAACACACTTGTTTGTCAACTGATGATTGCATGTCTAAGTAAGATTCAGTTGTCTATGTGTTTGTCAATGATTGTGTGAGTATGTGGTTAGTTTCATAATATTTAAGAGACATTATTTTAAATTGGCATATAAACTTATTGGCTTTGTCATTTGGATGAAGATTTACATCAATGTCATCTTTACAAAGCAGCAAAAAGAAAAGTATTTTGGACTCTAGTTGTGAGTTTGTGTTTTAAAATGAGTTTTGTATCCGTTGTTTGTAATTTAATTTTTGAGAATTGTCTAATCATAGGGTGCAGTGTCGAACATATCCATGCTGCAAAACAGAAAACATTCAACATTACCTCAAATCTTCCTGAGATAAACCCTTAGTTACATCCCCTGCTTAAATCCACATCTAGTAACTGTAGAAATGTTAGTATCAGAATCGAACGTGTGAAAGATTCATGTCTAGGGTTTTAAGTTATGCTGTGTCCCTGATGTGACCTTTACTGTCGACACAGCAGTTCCTGGATAAGCCTGAGGATGTTCTTCAAAAGCACCAGGCCAGCATCAACGAGCTGAAGAGAGCTCTGAGGCAGCCTAACAGCAAGATGGCCCAGAGGGAGAAACGCCTCTCCTCCAATACTCCTCCAGGAGGAACCCCTGAGCGCAAACCAGTAAGAATCAGATCCCATATCCACATTGTAAAACCTATGAACTCACTTTTTCTTTATAAACATTGTAGAGGGTTGTTCAATCCCTTTCTACCCTGTCCTGTCTTTTGCATTCTTGGTTCAAATGTGATCCCACTGAGGCCAAATAAAGACCAGAACACCTGAAAACATCAGATTTTGCACAGTCAAAGGCCCCCAACCATGGTTGCTGTTTTGCCATTTGCCACATTTGAGAGGAGGGAGATGAAATGGCAATTTGAGGAGTGTAGTGTAACTAGCTAGGCTAACACAACTGTCTACTCTATGTCAACTTAGGCGACCGGTGGTGCCAAATTGATTGACAAGCAGGATGCTTATGAGGGAGCGCTGGATATTTACTCTAATATGGAAAAGAGTAAGACCTCTCCTGCCAGTAGAGAAATGTTCTCTGTGGCTCCTTGGACTGACACAAATATGAGCAGAGACTCTTTAAAACCTAAACCAGGAACAGCGCCGAAACCAGAAAAAGACCTTATGACTTCAGGGTACGATTCAGTAACCAACGGACATCACTATGATTCTATGTTCACGAGGAATATCGTTCAACAAAATGGATTTGGATCTCCATCTGACCAAGAAAGGAATGCAGCAATATACCCAGGAGATGTGAGACAGAGTCAGTATGAGCATGATGTTTATCGCGAGAGACCGAAGAACTTTGAGACTCCGATGGCTGTGGATCCTTTCCCGAAGGGCAAAGAGGGTAGAAGTGAGAGTGACACCAGGCACAGTGAGAGTTGGAAAATAAAAGACCAGAGTCCTATGGGAGCAAAAGACTTCAGCAAAACACAAAACTCACACTCGGAAGTCACCAAAATAGTTCCTCTCAAGCCACAGAGATCAAAGAAGTCTTTGAATAAGGAGAACAAAGGTGTAAACCCTCAAACTCAAAGTGGCGTCTTTGGTGTACAGACTGGGGACGTACAGATGACAGAATCAAAAGACAGATCTTGTGAAGTAGGAAGAAGAGCGGATGATTATACTGTACTGCAATCTGCCACAGATGTTGTCAAGGAAAATACAGGGGCCGCAAAATATTGGGGTGAAGCCACAGTGTCTTATCCTCAGCAAACCGTGCTACATCAACAGATTAAGAAGGAGCTGCTCGGACAACAGGAGCTGACTTACAGCAGAGGTACAGTGGGAAACAGTCAGTGGATGGATCATTTTCAAAACAGCTCAGACTTTAAAGAAAATCTTCCCTCTGGCTCCAAATTTCCAACAGCTCCTCCCCGAAGTCTTCCCCTCAAAACGCAGTGGTCCAGAGACAGACAAGGCAACATGGACAACAGCCACATCCACTACCGGACGACCAGCCAAGAAACAGCCAACAAGAGGAAGCAAGCGGTAAAACATCAGCCCCCCTAACCTGTTTGTTCATCATCGGAAAGTAAAACATTGCATGAGCTTCAGGCGATGTCGTGCAACTCTTGTTTTAACCATCTAAAAAAAAAAAAAAAATCACGCACACACATTCTTCAGAACTCATGTATGAGAAAGCAAAAGTTCACCTTCTTCCTCCGCATCGCATCATTGGCCCAGAGATCTTTTTGCTTTCCGTTGTTCCCTTCTCCACAGCGCTTGACATCTGCTTGGCCATTTCAGAACGCTGCGGGCCTTTTAAGCAAAGTTCACAATGCTTATAAGCTTCAGGCGTCCCCTTTTTATCCCACCTTAACTTGTCACGTTAACACCTGGTCTCTCCTTCCAACATCCTCACAGGATTAAGGTGGCTGCTGTTGCAAGGAGCACAAGACCTTTCCACCATTTTCCTTTGAAACCTCTTTTTTCACCTGATTTAAATCCTCTTTATAAATGTCTAAGGAGGGCATTTGGGTCAAATGTTCTGCCTTGGCACCTCTGTAGCAGCAGCAGAAAATGAAAAAGGTGATGAGATGTAATCACAGGCTGCAGAGATGCCAAACCTCTTCAGGGCTCAGGCATTCATATGATGCACTTACAAATATGAATACCTCTTTCCTGCAAGGGCTTTTGAAAAATCAAACCTTTCAGTGCATGGCATTACCATTGCACTTGCAGTCATTCTTGATTATGTCAGTTTCTGAAATATACCTGACTATATTTGCATGCTTCTGACTCTAGCCTTAAGCCTTACAGTATGTGAGAATTCTCATGTGTGTATTTATTGAGGAAGTTGAACATAAGCCTGGAGCCCTGAAACTGTAAACACTTGATGCATCAGGTGTTTACATTTCAAATATAATGATGCTGTGAGCTCCACCTTGTACAAATGTACTTAGTTTAAGTGATGAGAGCATTCAGACACGGGTTCTCTGCAGCGAGAAGTCACATCAAAGCAGTGACAAAGAAATCCCTGATCCAGTCTTTCCTGTCACTCCCACAGAGGCACAGAAATTGTTTTGGGAATTTTCATGAACGAGTGTTTTATTTGTTTTATAATAATGCTTCAAAGCTGTTTGTTTTTTCTTTAATCTACAGGAGACACCTCCAACACCTGCGATTCATGAGGAGCCTCTCAACGAAGCTTCTGTAAGTCATCTCTAAGCTCTTTAAGCTTGGATTTGTTTCTCCTTTTTTTTAACAAATCCTTTGGAAAGCAGCGTACAAACTGTTCTTAGTTCTACAACATATTTTTCATCAAGATGTGCGATTTTGTTTGAAGGCATTATGTGGAGACATATCTTGACATTTTGGTTTTCATTTAAAAATCTGTTATGAGTACATCATGAGCATTTGATTTTTGGAGTGGTTTCATCATGTCATTACAAATCAGAGTTTTTTTCACACTTTTAAAATTCTTGCTTTGATTTGAAGTTAATGGACATCATAAATGATCAAATCTGACATAAAGGTCACATTTCTCCATGAAGCTATCCTCTTGTAGCTCATTTTAAATTCTTCAGTAATGTTACAAATGTGCTCTCTTCGCACAGAGGGAACCATGGGAGAGACGCCTTGGCTCTGTCTCAGAGGATGACCAGGACCACGAGATCCTGTACCTGAAAGAAACTCACCTGGGCATTGAGCGCAAGTGTTCCAGCATCACCGTGAGCTCCACGTCCAGCTTGGAGGCTGAAGTGGATTTCACTGTCCTCACAGACCTGCAAACCGGCATGGAGGAGTTCTCCAGGGGAATGTCAGAGCTAGGAGACAGAGATCTGTCACCTGATGGTGGTCTGTGCTTTGGCATTGACCTGCTCCAGCATCAGCAGCAGCAGCAGCAGCCGCAGCAGCAAGGCCCTTCTGAGACACCTCCTCCACTAGTGTCAGCTCCCATGTCTCGGGGAGCCAGCAGCAGCCCTCCAGCCAAACACATCCAGGCTGAAGAAGTCCGACAGGAGGTCAAACGGCCTGATGTGCAGGTAATGTGGCAAAAAAATTCAATTTTTAGTGTGAAGAAAGCAAATCCAGGCTTCTACCATGGTGGTTCTCAAGTCCAGTCCTCGAGGCAGACTGTCCCGCATTTTTTGGATGTTTTCCTGCTCCAACACACCTGGTTCAAATGATCAGCTCGTTATCAAGCTCTGTAATGGCTTAATAACGAGCTGATCATTTGAATCAGGTGTGTTGGAGCAGGGAAACATCCAAAACATGCAGGACAGTGGGCCTGGAGGACTGGACTTGACAACCACTGTATCTACCATTATAGTTTGCATGTTTCAGGAAAGTAAGAGGATGCATCCATATTTTCAGGGGTCTAAAAATATGCTTGTGTAAGTGTTTTATGTCAATAGCTCAGCTTGATTTTAACTTAAGGGGGATAGAAAATAAAGAATAAAGAGTGAATGCAAAGTTTGGAGAAACAACAGCAATTCAAACTGGATTTCTTTCCAGCACTTCTTTCCCATGATAATAGTGCCACCAGACTTTCTATATTTGAGCGTGATGACAGGTCGCCAAAGCTGTTGATTAGTCGGTGCAGGTTTTATTTACAAGCTTCAGTTTGTGTGTGCAGTAGTTGGTTCGTGTGGATGTGAAGGAATCATACCAAAATAGAGCAGTCAAAAAAAATGTCACTGTGCTTTACGGGGAAAAATGTGAGTGTGATCACAGGAAAAGTGTGAGACAGAATTTTTACAAGGTGTTCTCTGTGTCAGCTGTGACTCTGTCCATGTAAGGTTTGCGATTGTAAAAAAGTGTTAGTGGTTGCAGACGTAGTGACAGGCAATGTGACAAGAGCTCTCAATCTGGCAGTCTGTGATATTTCTTCAGCTGTTTTTTTTCTCTCACTGTAGCCGGTCGTACCCAAAAAACCAAAGAGGTCCGTTCCAGTGTCTTCGTCTATAGACAGAGAGCAGCCTTACAGAGAAGCCGGCCGCATCTCTGCCACCACACCACTGAGCAGAGAGGCCAGCGATGTCATGCCCACTCCGGCTGTGAGGAAGACGGATGTTCGGACAGAGACTCAGCCCAATGGGTCAGAGGTCACCACGACCATTGTGGAGTTCACTGATCAGGTAAACAGAAATATGACAAGATCAAAAAGAAAATCTGAAGTTTTTTAAAAACAAAAGCCTAAAAACAATAAATTTGTCTCTTTCAGGATCATGGTATCAGCAGTCTAAGTGAAGTTTCTTACTCTACGAGGCAGAGTGTTTCCCCTGTGAGTACAAAATAAAAAGGACCTATCCAATTTTAACTCAACCTGCAGCTCACTCCTTCTTGCACTCTGGGGATTAAACCTACTTAACACACAAAGACCACAGAGTCTAGAAACATGTGCCCGACTGGGTGTGCTCAGATATCTCTGAGGAATTTTAGTTTGACTTGTATTCCAATATTTTTGCAAACGTGCGTTTGTGTTTACAGTACTTCCCTGATGCCACAGCTGTTCTCCTTCCCCAGGTGCACATGAGCAGTCTTGGAAGAGAAACAACGGGGTCGCCAATCCTTGTCACTGAGAATGTTACCTCGGCAACCACTCACGTCAGCAAGGTAAAGAGGGCTGAGCAGAACTTGGAAAGCTTAAGTTTAAATCAGGAAAACGTGGACTCATATCTTCTGTAACTGGAAGTGCTTCTGACATCTACTTAAAGAAAAGCTTTGTGTGTTGCAGACAGTGAAAGGAGGATACTCAGAGACCAGGATTGAGAAGAGGATTATAATTACAGGAGACGATGATGTGGACCAGGAACAGGTGAGTTGAACTGAACAGATAAATTAGGATAAACAGTTAAGACCAGAGGGATCAGAGAAGTTTTGATTTGATTCATAGAGTACCATTTCTAATACCTCATCCTGATTGTACGTGTTTTTATGAATTTGGCATTGGAGCTTTTGAAACACTTTTCAGCCCAGGACCCTAAAATAATGCTGCCTGTCAGAGACTTATGACCTCTCCTGTCTCTTGAGGTGGTCTAACAATGCTCGCAACTACGCACACACTTTTAGGCTGATCCAAAAACAGACATTTGAACATCACAAAAGAACACAATAGGCAAACATATTATTTTAAAATAATTTTAAAGGATTTTAAGCTTACTTCAAGTCGTCTTATGTCAAAGAAAAATTACTGGCTTAACTAGGTGCACATAATATCACTGTATCCTGTGCAGCTGTAAACTGACCTGCTGAAAGTGTTACCCATAATGATCTGAGAATAAAAATAACAGTAAAAAATTAAAATGAAATAAAAACTAAAATTTAAAACAAAAAAAAACAGTTATTCTTATATCACTGTTTCTTGTGCAGCTGTAAACTGACATTTTGAAAGTGTTACCCGTAATAATGTGTCAAACGCTCCTAAGAAGTCACACGGTAACAATGTAGAATACAGATGAAAATTTCAGATACATGTATTATTGTGAATAAACATTACAATAGCTCAAGAAATGTGCTCATTAGTGTGATATTGAATGTCTTTCAGTAGGTATCTTATATTTGAGGTTTTGCATACTAGTTCAGTCTACATAAATCTCCCAATCACAAGAAAAAAATTAACAAAGAAAAAAAAAATCCCGGGAATGAACAATGTTGTACAATTTTTCACTATTCCACAAAATGTTTGGAAATGTACCCACTATCTTAGAAATTTAAAGATCCTAAAAAATGTAAATGTGTTGGTAAAAAAAACAAGCTTGTTTCGGGTTTTATCTGCTTCTGAAGACAAATGAGCGCCCTGCACTGAAGTTGTGCAGAATTGTCTTATATTTTAAAAAAAGGGGCTTTACCTGAAACATATCAATTAAATGCAAACCTAAAGAAGAGTAATGGATTCTCTCCTGTGGTCTGTTTTTCCTCTCAGGCTCTGGCTATAGCAATCCAGGAAGCCAGGCAGCAGCATCCTGACATGCAGGTGACCAAGGCAGTGGTTGTCAGGGAAACAGAATCGTCCACAGACGATCGACACGGCGCATCAGAGGTACAGGTGCCATCTTGACTCCAGGAGATAATATCTGGCCAAGATTTAGCCTCACAAACCCAACCTTTGAGGGATTTAAGGCTGACTCCTGTCTCTCTTCTTTTGCCCATCAGTTGTGATTTCCTGAAACCAGAGCGCCCTCCTGTGGACCAGAAGTGTCAATGCCTGATGTGATCATCTTCCTTACTGATAGACTCCTGCCTGTGGTACTCTAATGGAGCCTTTCTTCATCTTCACACACAAACAAAGCTGAAATAAGACTCCTGTGACATTCTTGCTTTTGTTTTTGTATCACCATTTAACTTTTGAATTCCTCAATGTGCAACAGCTGGTTTAGTGGTCATGAGGCCACAGACAGCCTCGATGTGTCGACAGTATGACGGTTAAAATCCAAATATCTGCAATAATTGAGGACATAATCCATCAAGATTCCCTGCAAACATCTCAGGGCTACAATATTTTATTGACTTGTTCAAGTATCCCTTGAAAATTCAAAGGGGAAATTGTGCAGTGGGTTTTCCTTTTTTAAATCTGCACAAATTCACACTGTGGATTAATCCAAGGACAAGTGTCATGTTGGTATATGTGAAAATATGGGGAAAAAGGTCCTGCTCAGAGCCTTCTACATGTCTGTCCTGCTGTTCTGAATGACATGAACTTATCTGATTCCTGCTGATAATCCTGCTGTGATTGTTAATAAGTAAAATAATCCATTAAATGTAGCCCTCGCGCTGAAAAGCATCTGGTAAAGCAGGGTCCAGTGAGAGCAGAGAGAATCCCGTTTGAAGTTTTCACTCTTGCAAAGGCAGCCGAATGAACAAATGAGCGCTGCCCCTCCCCCACTCCCACTGACTGATGACGATGCCGTGGGGAGGAAGGATCATTTGGGCGTAAAGGTCTCCTGGTGGTGTTTGTTCATTTGTTCATTATTAACAGCCAAAGTCGGAGCACACCTGGTCACTCTACTTGCCTCTGTTTTATTTTACCTCTGAAATCGTCTGTTATCATGATGAGTGTGAGTGAATGAAAGGATATTATGAAGGATCATGGATTTGACTTGTCAAGAATTTCTGTGTATTTGTCAGGACTTTAGGAGCTTTTTGATACACAGCGTACCTGTTGTATTTATTGGAATGGTGGAGATGTAGTTTCTGAGCATGCAGATGTTTCAGAGTGAGCCCAGTTTCTCCTCTTTTCGCAGCCTTTAGATGCGCTGTCAGAATTCTGCTGGATATAAAAAAACACTTTGGCTATTTTGTGTAGTAAGCTTATAGAGTAGGCTAACTTCCTTGTTCAAGTCACAGAACTGGCTGCTGCATCAGTAAAAGTAGTCTTTAAGATAATGTTTGCATGATAGTTTCTTGAAATTGGATTGTTAATGAGTTATGAGATTTTAAGGCCAAAATGTTTGCAATTTGTCCAATCAAAGCCAGGAAAAATAGGCTGAAAATGAAAAACTTTTAACTGAAGAGTCGCACACATTTTAGTTTGGATAATCCCAAGACCTACTTGCAGAGTAAAAGCTGCAGATTCTTCCTCTTACAGTTGTAGCTCAAATCAAGAAACTAGTGCTGTTGAGTCTTTATTCCACACACCTGTAAGCTTTGATTTCCCTGATTAGAAACATCATTTAGATCTATCATGCCTACATTCAGTAATGGTTCAAATAGCAAACACATTTTCTTCATCTGCAGAAATGGTATTATGCATCAAAGCCTTTCAAATAATCTTTCAACTAAATATCAGTGTTTTAAATAAACTTTACAGTAGGAGCAGCATCTCTGAGTCTGTAGTTTTGTGTGGTTTGGCACCTGAATATTAGAGGGAAGCTGTAGATGTGTAGTGTACCAGTTGAGGTAGCGTTCAAATTGTACAAACTCTGATTTTGTAATAAAATAACTTTATATGAACAACTTTTAATTACAGAAGTGCCAGAAAGTCAAATGCATAAACTTGACAGGGCAAGGTTTCCCTTTAATTCTGGTGTCTCTAACATGACCTGCAAATCAAAACCAATCAAACTTAAGTCACGTTTTATATATAATAAATGAACACACGCAACAGCAGATATACATTCATCTGAGAAGAGAACAAAACCGTCATGTCAGGTTTATGAGCTTTCACTGAGGTGTAACTTTGGCTTTCAGACACTCAGCTTAACATTCACAGGTGTTAGTATACTTACCTTTGTATTTTGTTTCCGGGTATCTGTTCAAGTGATGGCAAATGGATGTGAACGTGAAACTGGAAGGTAGAAAAAAATCATGCAGCCATGCATAACTTGTACTGTTTATTTGGTACTGTTTGGTGGATTGTGAAGATGTAAGGTAGTTCATATCCTTGGGCTCAATGTACTCAAGGGGGCACACACCAGTTACTTTTAAAAACAGAGCTTTGCAACAACATCAAGCCTACCCAGCGGAAATCCGTATCACCTATCTTCACCACAGGGCAAAAAAAATATCCATATCAGCCTCGGATCAAACTGTAAGGTCGCACTTACCTTTGTGCGGAAATGAGCTGCTCCTGGAAGTCGGTCAAGTAATAACCAGACTGTGATTAATCACAGACATTTGGCTATGACACCTGCTGTCAGCATCTGATTGGAGGACCTCTCGCTGACCCTCAAAACTAGCCCCCTCCTCTCTGTACAGTTCCCCTCTCCTCCCCCTTCTCTACAGCAGCTTCATCCCCTCTGCTCTGCTGCTCTCCATTGCTTGGTGCTGTGTCTTTGTTGTACATTGTACTTGCATTCCTTCAAAATGAATAAAGAAGAAAGAAAAAAATGAGCAACATGAGAAGGGAATCCCCTCTGCTTGATCGGTTGCACATATCCGTGTTTGGCTGGTGTCTTTCTTTATTCTTTTAAGCCTGATGTGAAGTACGGCAGCTGTATTTGTAATCATGAAAAACAAATACAACAGAAGACGAGGTTTTCAGTTTCTTATACACCTACAATATAGCTGTGTTTCTATGTGAGGATGTTGCAAAAGCCTCTCACATTTCAATCAATTTATGTCTATGCAGCCAATGATGAATACATAATGTAGTAGGAGCCTGTAGGAGTGCTGTTAATTGCCCAGTGACATCTGAAATGTGAATAAAACTAAGGTAACAAGCCCCCTCCTCTTTATGTGAGGGCAGTTGATGTGAAGAGCGTTGGAAAAAAACCCAAAGACTCCACAAATTCACAGTTTACAGGTATTGATCCGGAGCTATTGATTGCACTTATAAGTATGTGTTGACAAATAATCATCAGGAGCATCCAAGTTGAGAAAATAAAGAAAAGAGCTGCTCTCTCACCCTCTTTTTTCTCTCTCTGTCTTGTGTGATTTTGAAGAGGTTGAGAGACACAGCTGCAGTATTTACAGAAGCACCTCTACAACACAGACGTGGAGAGATTTCAGAGTCATAAATCAATACTGCAGGGTCAGTTCTTATCTTTCACTGAATGGATGCAGGATGACCTGAAGAGAGCAACTTAAAATGAAACCAAAACTCTAACAAAGAATGGAATCAGTTATTGTTGAGAGAAACGGGCCAAAAGGGCTTTGAGGGTCTAAAAACACAAAACTTGTTTCTACTTCAGTTTATATCTCACTAAATCAAACCCAAACTGTGAGCACTCTGATCTCTGTCGCTTACCTAGGCATGTGAAAAGTATAAAAGATGGATATAAGCTTAACAGTTGACATTTTTAGCTTTTGCATGGACAAAAGTGTCACTTTATGTGGGCTTTATGCTTCTTTAAAAAAAACCTAACCGAAGAAGTACATTGACAGAAACTTTCCTTAACAGAATACTCCTGCGTGTTATGAAGTTAGGGTCAAACACCGAGTTAGACACCCCCTCGAGGGATGAATGTTGTCCACCGCTTGCTTCTCTAGTCATACCAACTTTAGTAACGACTGCAGACAGCAATACACAGCCGTCTATGTCTCCAAACGAAAACTTCAACCAAAAAGTCACTCTATAGCCACAAATAATGCTCAGAACAGCACCTAACTTCATCAACAGTACATATAGGGTCCCAGCCATAGCACTAGCATTCAAGCATCTTTTTAGCTTTACCTGGTGTCTTTAGCAAAAAGACTAAACACAACTCACCTACTCTCCTCCAGCAGCCGCTTGTTTGTGCCCTGACCAGTCGATCAACGAGTGCAACAGATCATTTCCATGAAGTATTAATCATCATGATAATCATTTTGCACTGCAGACGCGGTGGTTCTTCTTCCTTAGCATCTTGGTCTGATTACATTTTCATGAAATAATGATCATAAATGTTTTTCCTTGAGCTGCACTCGGTGATCGACTTGTCAGGGCTCCCTCACAAACAAACAGCTGCTGGAGTAGAGTAGGTGAGTTGTGTTTAGTCTCTTTGCTAAAGAAATTAGGCAAAGTTAAAAAGATGTTTAATGGCTAGTGCTGTGGCTAGGAGCCTATATGTACTGTTGATGAAGTTAGGTGCTGCCCTGAGCATTATTTGTGGCTATAGAGTGGCGTTTTGAGACGGAGACTGCTGTGTATTGCTATCGTGCGATCGTTACTTAAGTTGGTATTACTAAAGAAGCGAGCAGTTCGAAACATTCATCTCTCGAGGGGGTGTCTTACTCAGTCTTAAGGTGTGTTTGACCCTAATTTTATCTTACACCGGAATATCCCTGTAAGGACAAACTGGTTAGAATTTTTGGAGTACAAACCCTATAAGATAAGACAAGTTGTGCTTTAAAAATCTCACATGATAAAACCTTTTCTGACAAAAGAAGACAGAAGGAAAATGGCATTATGTTTATTAAAAGCAGGTCGGTCTGTTTAGACATCCTATGCAGCGTAGGTACGTACATACACTGACTGATCTCATGCCAAACAGCAGCTCATAGTGAAACACCACCCCTGCTTTGTAAAAGTCAGTCATCACTGCCACTTGTACTGTATTACAATGCTCATCATGGAGGACAGGGGAGAAAGGCATGTTTTTTTTCTGAGCCCAAAATGCCCAAATATGATCTCAAAAGTAACCAAAGTGAAAAGCTTTAACATAGCCAACAGTAAGGTCAGTTATTCATAAATTATAGAATGAGTGAGCCAAAACACAATGCAGATAAACAGAGGATAAAAATAAATCAAAACGTCTCTAGAATAAGAACAACAACAACAACATGGAGCATAATCAAAAGACTTAAGGCTCAATTGGGACCTGAGGATTTCATACATACAGTGTGCAACAAGTAGCCTGCGCTGCTCAGCTTTGTTACACACTTAACATGAATGAGGGAGGAAGGTAAGACATCAATTAATCAACACAAGCCTGCTGTTTACAATGGAAGCCATACTGGGGTTGTACACGCTGCATGTTTCTCACAAATGACACAATGGGTGGAACTGAACCATTTTGGCTCAATACCTTTGGTTACAGTCAGTCTCATGGCAACTCTGAGGTTTGGACGTAACAGAAAAGCATGAATAAAATCCAGGCAAAGTTACAAAGGTCCCATATTGTAGTTTGTCATAAAGCAATGAGGCTTAGCTCCCCGGTGAAGGGATTAGTAACAGTTGGTTTTTCTTCTTAGACAGAGAAGGGAGCTTTCCAAGGACAGTCCAAACAGATGAGGGAAAAGACGCCTCTCATTTCTCATGTTGGATAAAACCTCACTCACAGAAATATGAGTGATGTAAGGGCTTTAGGTCACCTCCATCACCAATTAAGATCAAATGCTCCAGGAAAAGTTCAGAGGTACATACATATCCATGAAAAAGAGCCTGCACAGCCCCACAAAGAAAACATATACACATCCATTCTCATGTGTATCACACACCACTGGGCTTCCGAGGTTAAAACCATATAAGAATATCTGTCGGTTCCTGGTCAGATGGAGAAAAACATCTTCAAAAGAGTTGTAGTCCAGTCACGCATTCTTTCATTTCCATAAAAGCGACGTCTGAAAGAGGCAGTTTTCTTTCACTAACTCCTTTGGAAAGGTGTAGGGAAAGAACCTTCCTCACAGAGAGATCTTTGTATAAAGAAGAGTAAAGACACGGCAGGGTAGGGAAGGAAGCAGGTGGAAAAAGTGGCAGTCAGCCTCTTGTTGTCTGTGACCTGCTGTTTTTCCTCTTAATAAGCAGCTGTAGAGCCTGGTTCCTGCAGATGTTTGTCATAGTACAGTCCTAGCTGTGAAGATTAACGCTGCAAGAGTGACAAAGGGACACGCCGAAGACTCAGAGGCTGCTCCCGTGGCTATGGAGCCTGAAATGCACAAACAAATCCAAATGCAGTAAATACTATGAACATGGTTTGAGTGCTTACAGATACAAAACACTTACATGAAAAAATATCACAGTGCGGTCAAAACTGTAGGGTATCATGCAAACAAAGCTACAGTATACTATAGAGTGCAGGTACAAAACTTCAACCATAGATGGCACTGGTGTGCTGTGTTCAGTTAAGAGGTGAAATGAGAGGACATGTGGGGTGGGCACAGCAATAGACACAGTAGATTAAAAAGGAAAAGAACACTCTCAAACAAACCCGAGCTACTGGCAAAAGTCTTTGCATGTCTGAGCCCATTTTGTTGTTTGATGATATATACTTTTCTGTCTGAGGATAAGAGACTGTATTTTTCTAAGACAACTGTTAACACAACATTCAAACTTCGCTGCAGAGAGAAAAGGCTTATTTGGAGACAGTTTGAACCAACATTTAATAGGAAAAAAGAGCATCAAAATGTTGCCAAGAGATACCAAGAAATACTAATTCTCTGCAGACAGCAGCCTCAAAAGAACCGACTCATGATGCAAGCCGTCGCTACAGCATGCTGTGTTCAGATTGCTAGAGTGCATTTTTCCACGCATACATTGCTATCTTTTCTGAGAGTGAGAATTGTCTTAGATAGGAGAAATTAATTAAGATGGATGAGGGACTGTTACAGCATTGAATGAATTCATGTGTTTTTGCAAAGATGTCTCAAAATCAGACTGCATTCTTTATGTGTCATATTTCAGCACTGTCCTACCTGCTATCTTGGGGATGGTGATCTGGCGACTACTGCTGCCTTCCCCTCCCTCACTGAAGGGTTTAATCTGGATGACGTAGTCCTGGTTGACTGGCAGTGACAACTCTAAGGAGGTGGTGTTTGTCTCCACCACGCTGGGACGGCTGTGTTTGTCCTGGCTGTACATCACCTGCAGGAAGCAGAGAGGGGAAGATGATCGCAGTGCAAAAATGGCATGGAGTCCTTCCAAATACACTGGTCATTATCATGAGCTTTATTTTTTTATCTTTCCACTTGTCCTTGTTTCTTTTTTTTGTCACACAGCTTTATAAGATGTGACGTGCTTCCTGTGACACTAACAAGGATTAATCTGACTGTAGAAATGTGCTGGAGGACCAGTGCAGATAAGGGGAAGCAGAAAAGTGTCAATACTGATTTTCAGTTGCAGCTTGACTTACACTTTTAACTTTACAGTACGGCTCCCCTTTGAGCAGCAATCAGAAAAGTTATGGATTTTTGTGTGTGGATGAAATTCTGTGGAAAGGGGTTATGATGGGAATTTTAGGACTTCCAAAAGAAATTCATGCACAGGCACAACTTCAGAAAATGTCTGTCTGTGGAAACCATTTATTTGCTATGAAAAAAAAAAAACGTTCACATGTCAGAGATAAAACTAGTGTAGTTAAATGGAGAAGAGTTAAACTCTAAATTATCTTCTCCTTTTTTATTTTTACCTTATATCCTGTGACTTCTGACTCGTTCTCCAGAGCATGCACTTGGTCCCACCTCAGGATGACCTTGGAGTTGGAAGTGTTCCACATGATTTTGTCTGGGGCCTGACTCGGTGCTGCAGGAGGACAAGAAGGGGAGGATAAGGACAGGAAGAGGCGGGAGAAAAACAACAAGCCAACCAGTCAATAAACAGTAAAGTCCAGAACCAACTCAGCATGAAGGAGATTTCTCATTATCAGTTTATCATCCCACTGTTCGTAGTGAGCAGTGACTCGAGGAATGTGAGTGTGCCTGTGTGCGTGTGTGTGTGAGTCTGTGTGGGAGTGAGAACAGACTTGCGTTTAGCTGTTTGTGAGGGGGCTGGCTCGGGAAAGTGGCGTGTCAGTGTGTAACAGATGTGTTATAACTGCGGCATTAATTAATGTCGGCTTATATGAACATAATATGCTGAACATCTGTGACACAACATAAAGTTTTTAATCTCTAGAGGCGCTATGAATCACTGTTTTAATGGCTGGGTCCTTGTTTTGTCAGACTCTCTGTAAGCACATGCACACTAATGCAGATATATGCTGGATGCTCACTGGCACATGGAAAGAAAAATGGGAGCTGTAAAGACAAGTTCTCTAATGTTTACAGGGAATGTTTAAACAGGAGACAGCTTATCATTTTTTCAGTTAAGCCTGCATGTCACATAGCTCAGAGTGACTATAAATTAAACAGAAATTTACATCAAAGATATGCAACGTCTATCAAGTGAAAGCAGGGCTGTATGGCGTCTGTGAATAACACCCAGTTCATGCTGAGGCACAAAGAAATGTGCCCAGAAAAAAGGGAAGAAGGAAGATAAATCATAACATATGTAAACTAATGTGAAAAATGCAGGTTTAAACCATGCTGAAAATCTGTTTTTCAAATGACTGATTAGGAAGAAAAAGCCTTTCACATGTGTTCAGACACAGAAATGTTCATGTGTCTCAGGCTCCAATCTGAAAGTCAGTGCAGAATGATGGAAAATGTCGACAGAAGAAGAGGAGTATGACATGCAACAAAAAAAAAAAAAAAAAATCCCTGGCCAGAAGTCAAACTGCTGTTGCATTTGTGTGGTAAGCGCCTTCAGCATTCCAGCTCCAGGGTGTCTCATAAATATTAGAGTCGATCAACAAGAAGCCTCGCCATGGAACCTAAATATTCCCTGCTTTCACTCTGACGGTGAAAAATAATTGGCAAAGTGAAAAATATACCAAAGGGAGTGTGCAACTTTAGCCAGAGGGGGAAACAATGAACAAAAGGACACAGTCAGTCTTCATCATAATTCTAGAGCTCTTACGTGGTTTCTTAGTTGTGACATTGACTATGATACTCTGTGGACCCACTCCAGCGCTGTTGTAGGCCCGCAGGGACAGGTAATAGGTACTGCTGCCCTCCAGATCCCTGATGAGTACTGAAGTTTTATTCCCCACTGTCCTGATCACGCTGGCTGTGTCCTGCCTCTGTCTTTCACCCCAGTACTGCAACTAAAAACACACAGAAACACCAATGTCATTTTGAAGGCCTGGCTCTGGTTACTTTCCTCACACTTCCTTTTGTACCAGAGTAATTCTTGGGCATGCATGCCAAAGGAATTTATCAATACTTGAGTTAACTTCATGAATGAATAATTAAATGGACAAAAATACAAAAAGGTCATAGACTGCTATTCAATAAAAAACACTTTGGCTGTTGGCAACGTTCACTGTATTTGTATTATTCTATTGTGTGGGTTTGTGCTGCTTTGACCTCATAGCCCAAGATGCGTCTGCGGTTGTTGCTCCAGGCCAGTGGCTTCCAGGTGACCTCCACCTCGGACGCTGATACACTCTTTGCCCTCAGCCTCCCTGGAGCTCTGCTAGGCTCTGAAAGGTACACAGGCTGGTCAGAATACGAAGGAAGACGAAGATTTACTACTCCCACGTCTACAGTATGACTTATCGAATATACTGCTCCATCCAATCCATCCGAATCACTGTGTGAGGACTGGAGGAGTGTCTTCTTCGACATTTAATCCTATAAAAAATGTATTCCATTTTTCAGAGGCTGACAGTGTTAAAGAAAGTAAGATCGCAACTTTACTTGATGGTTTTGCAAAACCCGCAGTCCCTAGTGTTGGTTGTTGTGGTGATTCTTCAGGGGCTGCATTAATTATTCAGTGAGAAGCACAAGATATTTGAGTACATGTACATGTGTAGGGGACAACAAGGAATTAGATGAGCGAGTTTAAGGGGTGATAATGTCTATGTTTTAAATAAACTAACCTAAGGGCATAAAAAAGTAATTACCTTTCAGTTTTTGTGGTGAGTTTCCCTGATAAACAGGCGTTACTTTTTATTTGTGTAAGCACTAAACCACAGCGTGCTCTCACTGCTGCTGCCTGCAAGTAGCTCAAGGGTGTTAGACTATTATCTGAACTAAACATTGTTGCATCTGAGCGCTTGTTTCAAGACAACTCTTCATTGTAACATAAAAATGTGTGTAACATTAAGCCCCACGAATTACTGCACAGCAACTCAGGTTGAAATTTCAAAAAGAACACAACACCCTTTGTTAATATTTAATGAGAGTTTACCCACCATACACCTCCCCGGTCTATGTTATCGGTCTGTGTGGGGGGCGTTTTTATCCGGTTAGATGTTAGTGTTTCCAGAGCCAGAGTCCAAAAACTAGAGAGAAGTCTTTTCATAACCTTTCATGCTGTTGGATTTAAAACTCTTTCAATACTAACAACAGAGTAGATAAAGCCTTAATATTCAGTCAAAGTTATTTAAAACTAACAAGTTTTAATTAGAGAATTGGTGCTTCAGCTGTTAATGTGTACTTTACAGCAGTGGGTGTTAAGATTGAAAGTAAAACTGTAATTTCTTTAAAACTGATAAATTAGACCCAGCTAATTTGAACAGTTGTTGCAGTGAGAAATCACTTAAAAAAGTGTTTCACTTTTCCAAAGTTCACTGAATACACACGCTGCTGTTAGCTGTGATGATACTAACCTTCCTCTGCTGAGTAGATGGTGGTCACTGGACTGAAAGGACCCTCTCCCTTGTTGTTATACACCCCCACTTTGACTTGGTACGGGGAGAAGGGAGGGATACTCTCATTCTTGAAGACATATCTCGAGGCATCCTGCGACGTGACAGCAGCCTGCATCCAGCCCGGTGCTCCGAGTGGGCGGAAAGCCACCACATAACCAAAGCCCGGACCACTCTGCAGCTCCTCAGGAACAGGCTAAAGAGGTATGAGATGACTCAGAGAGATGACTCAAGATGACTGGTCCTAAAGATATTAATACTTAAAGAAATGCAGCCATGCAGGGATTAGGGCACTCAGAGAAATAGTGCTGAGGATGGTACTGTATTTAGGACCCTGTTTGAACCCTATCTGGTTGAGTGCTTTTATATGAAGGAGAATTAAAAAAGAAAAAAAAAACAAAAACCTTCCAACAGAGTTTTAGAGTTGATCTTTATATACATTATGCTTTAGTTTCACATTTAGCAAACATACTGAAATCCTGTAAAAACACACTGACACTAAGTTTCACAATATAAAGATCGCTGTGGTGTTTGATGTCAATACCAACAGGTTTATATCTGATGTTCCATTTAAAGATATCCAGTTTTTATACAAAGCCCATTCCAGCTATTATTTTACTTGAGTAAAATATTTTAAAAACATTAATATATACTGACTAGAACACTCAAATAAAAACCAAATGATGGAAAATACTGATTTACCTCCCAAGTGATAACCAGCTCTGAACGCCCTCCACCTCCACCGCTCACTCGGGCAGGGGTCACCCTGGGTACTAACAGATCAAACAGAGTTACAAGAATTTCATAGTGTACCCAAGTTAAGTCAGGTCAGTCCTATAACAATTCAGTTCAATCCAGTTATTTCAGGACACTTTCTCATGAAAGAAAAGTGTCTGCTACTGAAAGTGTATGAAATATGAAATCATGTGAAATAAAAACTGTGGAGGATTCTGTTGATCACCGTTACATGGAGCTGCAGGGGATTGAGCATTTTCAATATAAAGGGAGTCGAAGCTTTCTTAAATTAAGGACCTCCTACTTCATTTACAAGAACTGCACTTCCATAAAAATGATTAAATTCAAGACAGATGAAGACAAAAATCAGTGCACCAAAACTAAATTATTGAATCCAGAATTTACTTATCTATTGTCAACAGCTTACACTTCACAACCCACAAGAATCAACCTGTAGATGTGGTATTGCTTTGTTTTCATGCCCATGATTTGCATGTATCTGTGTAAGTGCGCTTATCTATGCATTTATGTAACAGCAGAAATGAGTTGTGAATTAAAACTTTATTACTTATTCATTATTCCTTATTTTCACATTTAGATTTAGTAATTAAAGGCTCATACCACAACTGAGACCTTGTTTTCATCTACTTCTTTGATAAAATTTCATAGGTTTTGGTTCTAATCCAATCATGATGCATTTACTTGTGAAGTATTTTCCATGGACTGCCTGTCAGAGGACTCGTTTCTCCCTCCCAGTTGAGGCTGTCTAACTGAAGCTGCCAGCCATAAATACATTGGTAGTGAATTCAGTTCATTTATTTGTTTTGTGCTGGAAGGAAGCAGAGAAGTCTCTGAAAAGAACTGGTACAATAAAGTCTTTGAAGGGATCTAATTACTTTCCTGAAGTAGGATCACTTTGTGTATTATGTGCATAATTTGCAAACAGTTTGTGTCACCAGTAGCAGCAGAGAAAAATCTAAACAGCTTCTGATACGTACACATCTCCTTGGTGCGGGCCTTTTTGGAGGGTTTGCTGGGCTCTCCTGTTCCAATGCTGTTGGTTGCCAGGACTCTGAACTCATACTCCACCCAGGGACTCAAGTCAATGACAGTGGCTGACAGCTGCTTCCCCCCAAGCAGCTCAGGAACTGAAAGACATCACAGAAATAACCTTTCATCAAAGCCCTGTGAGATCTGTCACTGAACGTAAGCCATACCTGTGATGTGTTATTTACTGTTATTTTTTGTGTAGTGCTTGAAATGGATACAAGGGCTGCAGAGCTCTATCATTGTACCTACACTGTTAACCTCACATTAACATCGCCTACACACAGACCATAGAATACAAGCAGCCTACCTGTGGTGACAGCCTGCCAACCAAGAGAGAAGGGTGTTCTAGCCTGGATGGTGAAGCTGAGGATGGGGCTGTGGTTGTCCATTCCGGGCCCCCAGGACACAGAGGCGGTGGTCTCTGTCACATCAGTCACCTGACAGTCCACAGGTGGGCCTGGTGGACCTGGGAGGATATTTAGTCACAGGTTGATGTTAACTTAAGAGAGGAGTTTGGTGTAAAACCTTCCCATTCAGCAGATTGTAAGGATCACAAAACAAGAAGCAGGAAAGAAAGACATTCATGGGTACAATAACATGGCAAAAAAGGATAGAATTTAATTCATTTGCCTTTTTGTGAAGGATGTGATATTTTAGACTCTAAAAATAAAAAGAACGAGTTCAAGTACAAATTAAGTAAGGGTCAATCATATTTAAAAAAAAAAAAAAAAACTTTTTGATCAGGACTGATCAGTTGGTATGTTTAGCTTTAGGGTTTAAAACTGCAAAGGTAAAGATGGGATCTTACTAGATTGGTTATTATATGGATATGTGGATATGATGTATTGTTCTGTTATCACATTAGGACTGCAGATTATGTGTACTGTGATCCCCATTTGTTTCAGATCACATGTTCAGATCACATATTTATATTGCATTTTTCAGCTGGTGAAAAACAAACACACACACACACACACACACACACACACACACACACACGTTTGATGTTATTTTGTGTGTGTGTTTGTGTGTGTGCGCACACTGATTCACAACGTGGATAATGTATTGCATCCTTAATTACCTCTTATACACTTCATACAAGAAATACAGGGATTGTAAAAATCAGGGTCATCCCTAAATGCTTATCATGATAATTCATTTAAGAGCTGATTTGTATGACTTTGCGTTGCTTTCTTTGGAATACATTGAGTTTTTTTTTTTCGAATGATCTGATATCTTTAAACGGTTGCTAGTAGTTACCAGTAGATCCTTTTTGACCATCCTCTGTAAGTTCCTTGTAATATGCAGATGAAACATTTCCTTCAACCTGCACATTACGGATCTTTGTCTGAGACAGTGTCGTACTCCCACATTACCAGTGTTTTCCTTCACATTTGACCATGGGAAAAAACCACAGATCGTACAACGAGTAACTCCTTCAGGCATCTAAAAGCCCCTGTCTTTGAAACAGCAGTTGAGCATGAAGTTGGTTTTACAAAGATATAGACAATGAGTGGTGATAAACTGATGGACAGTGGCTCCTGACATCAGTCGATGGCATGTTACTTGCCAATAGGCCAGTGTCTGTCAACAGGGCAAATATACTTATGTTCAACTGATTCATCTACACGTTCCTGTTACACATTACTACAACTCCAATACTAAATACAAAAATGCTTAAAAAACCTGAGTACAACAGTTTGTGAAATAAGAATCAGCATCACTTCAGTAATGGAAAAAGGTATCAACGTTTCAAACTGTGTTTGCTGTCTTTTACAAAAACTTTTATTTTCTTATATGAGATTTGACAATGTTTAACACATGGTGTTCAACATACACTCATTTATCAGACCTTTGTGTATCTTTCTGGCTGTTGCTGCAGTGCATGTTGTGTAATTTAGATACAACAACAGAGAAGGAACATTTGGGGACGACTACAGCTTAACTAACATCCCTACAGGAACACAGCCCTGCATCATAGACTTTATGTTAAATGGCCAGCTTCACAAATACTGACCACAGAAGGCTGAGAGAAAAGGTTAGTAATGTTAAGCAGCTAATTGTTGCCCTCAGGTGTTACTTGCAGGCAATAAGCACAGCCACACTGGGAGCGAGAGGAGTAAAGTTGAGGATTGTTTGACACAAAGTAGCCATACAACAGGAAATATGCCTGATTGCCCTGATTTGGACCAGGTGGGGGGAGCTCATATATACTCTTGAGCTTCAGCTCCCAGTACTGACTCACTGTCGGATCAGCAGAGATAGTGAGAGGTTGTGTGAATGTTTCCAGTGACTCCGGCGCTTCCAGTGTTTAATGCCCATAAATTCTGAGTGGTCGTCTCTTGGCCTAGTTTCATAACCTAGCTCTGTGTTTTTAACTTACCTGACCTTTTTAGTAAATTCCTTTTTAGGGGGGGTCTCCTCTTTAGTTTCTGCCTTATTTTTTTGTTGCTCTTAGTGGTTATCCTTTCGGATAACTTTCAGAACCCCTACCCCTGTCGGAAAAGTGTCCGTCATTGTGTCAAAATCCCTCCCGTTGTCACATATTCAGCACATTTCCAGCACATCACTCCTTTCGATGAATAGTGTAAACTTAGTTGTTCATTTTTGTTTCAATGAAAAAACAAAAACTCAACGTTAAATGGCTGCAATGAACCTATTGGATATCCCTCCGACTGAACCTGTCATCTCATGGACCAATTAAATGAAGAACTGTGATTGGTCCAGTATATCTGACATCATGCAGAAATCCTTGAGGATGGCTGCAGTTTCAAATTCCCCCGTTAGTGAAAATGAATATGAGCTGGCTGGTGGGCCTGGTGACACCAGACTTGATGGTGCCAAAACTCGTGACTGCGTTCTTTTCCCCGAGACTCTGCACCGGTATTTATTAGCAGCAAAATTAGTATTATTACCGCAATGATAATATGTGTATCAGTTTGTTGATCAGGAGTTCCAAACCAAAGGAAAAGTGATGTTCAGATCAACTGTGATCTGCTGCACCACTAAATCACATAATCACATTACTTAATGATAAGGTCTAGAAGTGTGAATTAAATAGTATGACAGTACAGTTGGCTCTAATTCTTCTGTTGACATTAATGCATTTACTGTAAGACAGGGGAATTCTCTGCTAACACAGAGTTCATGAGAGTATTTTCCTGAGACTTCCATAGCTGCTGTGGTCCTGCTGTGATTCATTTTTGGGGAGGTGCACATCAGCTTCACTGCAGCTTCAGTGTCAGTGCGTGCACACCCTGTTGTCACGCTGTAACCTCTTATTTCAGAACAACAAATGTGGCAGGATTTTGGATTTATCATTATGTGGTGTGAGGGACATTCTTACCTCTAACAACCACATCAGTGGCAATAGACACGCTGTCCACCTTGGTCTGGACTGCACATGTATATTTCCCAGCATGTCTCAGTTGAATGTTCCTGATCATGATGTCACCCGCAGAGCGCTGTCAGTGTGGAAGTTGGGGAACAAAACAACAAAAAGGTTAAAAACACTTGTATGGTCGACTGAAGTTTCAAAATGAACTAAAAGGACTGCAAAAACAGGTGCGTTGACACAATGATTATGTTTGGCATTCAGTTTATTTGATACAAACTGAAGCCCAGGGACACACCAGTCACTGGGTGAAGTTTTCATGATCACTTATTGAGGTGGTTCTTTGTGAGGAAGTGAAAAAGCTGCTTTCAGCTCTATCCCTTTATTCACTCTGATTCCATGTACTTTACAGACAACCACTCAATGCCAAATCCATTATTAGCTTTGAACTTTAAAGTAAGAGCTAATGTTAAGTTAATGTCTTATCTATGAAGGGAAGGGGACTATGAAACAGGATGAGACTGGATAATTACTTTGATGTATAATCAGGGTCATTTTATAGAGATAAAAATTCAGTTGCTGCTAGTCATTCAGTCTTTGAAACTCCCTGCCATCATTAAAATATTATAACTGAAGAAGGAATGCGTCACAGATCTCTTACTCCTGCAAAATTCTATATACAGCAAAAAAAAAAAAAAGACCTCCAAGCTTGCTTATTAAATCAATTCTCTGTGGAAGTCCTTGGAAATTCAGTCATCATGTTCTGTGCCCTTTGAACACGAATTACAATGTAACTGACAATCTTTGTCTGGAGCCTAATTTTGAGAGAAAAAAAAAGCCATTGACTTTCAGTACACAACTGATAAAGGTTAAAACTGACAGCTTATAGTTTATGGCTGTAAGGAAATGAAAAACAAACAAAACCTATCAAAGTGTCAAACTTACATGAAAAGATAAGTACAATGATGCGATCAATGATTTAGTTTGAAAAATACTCTGGTCAATATATTTATTTTTTTTATATTGTAGTGATATCCCATTCTTTAAAATCTCTTGATGTTGTTGTGTTTGAATTGTTCTTCATTTTCAGTCAAACATTTTTTTTGGGGGGGAGAAAGAAATGACACTTTCAGTCACTGCAGCTCTGGCATTACTTTTCCTAAACATGTAATCAGCAGCATGTCTCTGTCTGAAACAGCACAATTAACCAAAAACTAACAAAGAAGTCAGATCTAGATAAGAGTAATGCTGGTGATGTGACTCTAGTCTGTCAGGTTACAATATGTCTTCAACCAGCAGACACCAGTGATGATTTAATTGAGATGTTTCATAATAACTCAGTAAAACTTCATTATACTAAAGCTGAAGTTTTGTTTGTTATTCCGTTTCTTTTTCTTTAATTCCTCACCTATAAAAAGCTGCTTGATGTTTTCTACAAGTAAAAAAAAACTAAAATAATAAAGAGTTACTACTTCCTTTAACTACTGTTTGGATCAGCTGTTCTGCATTATATTCTAAGAAGCTGATTCAGCCGTTATTGATCTGGAGAGTTTAACCATTGTGACCACCACTTTCACCATGTCAACAGTTGAATAGTTTCTTCACCACAACATAGAAGTGGTGCGTGGGAGTTAAATGTGTAATTGAACTGCAGGGCTGCATGCAATTATAGAGCTCTCGCTAACGACAATACTGAATGAAAATAAAGAAATAACAAGAGGTGATAAAGATGCCAAGAGCTCATTATTGCTTTTCCTAATTAAAGAGAAAGAAATTTGGCAATAGATGATTAAATGTAAACCCTGAGCAGCACTGCATAATGTATTCTTTGGTTTCTGCTTTTGTCAATGTGGGAGACAGGTAAACACAGAAGCCTTGTGTTCAGGCTGAAAATAAATTAAACCTGCACGATATGAACAAATGTTATTTGACACGTTTCTTTTTATAACAAGAAGCTTCAATTAATCTGCAGAGAAATATGACTCAAATATGTCAGCTGCTATTGTGGAGTTGAAGTGGTTGATTTGTTTAAAGTCCTTTTAAAAACAACTGTGTACATGTGAGATTTCTTCCATTAAACAAAGTGAGTAAAAAGAGAAGTTCTGAGTGTTGGTAGGAGTGGATCCACTCACTTGTGGCGAAGCTTTCAGCCTACTTTTAAATGCTTGAACCTTTCCTAAGTGATAAATCATAAGCACAGAGGCACTATGTTCAAGTGGAAGCATGCAGACTGTCGAGAGGATCCATAAGAGCTTGTTTTTTTATTTCAGGAAAGTAACAAGGCAAGAATGAGGTTGTGCAAACATACTCTGTGTCAGGGAAGAGTTCAAAGGTGATCATAAACTCTCAAACTTATGTATACAGTCTCTACAGCACACAGCTCTGAATGTGAAAAACTAAATGTTAGTGTAAGACTCTTTAAGCTATGATATTCAAACTTCCTTCTGGTCTTACTGTGGTGATGCAGAAACACAGACAATCTGCAGATATGACAGCACTCACCCCACCAACTTTTTCAAAATATGCCCAGTGGCTCCCGAAGTGGATGAGCTGCTCATTAAAAAACCAGGTGAACTTGAGGTCCAGCGTCTGGTCATGTGATACCTGGCAGGGGAGCACAATACTCTCCCCCACTGTCACGTCCAGATGACCTGCTGGGCTTGTGATCACAGTGGGCTCTGTAAACAAGGAGGGTCATGTTAACAGGGTAACTGTCCTCTTTCAGAGTAGAGCAAAGCAGTCAATGTCTTTCGGATTGATTTTTTTTTTTATTTCTTTGATTTCTGAACACTGAAAAATAATTTCAAAAACATGTCACTCTTCAAAAATGTGCTTATATCACATCCCTTTCAGATGTCTAACACACTGTAACAAAACACCTGCCAATGACAAAGAGGAAGTACGATAGACAAACAAAGAAAAACTCAACCATTAGGGCAGGTCATAACCAGGTCTATAATTTGGCTCTGTTTGTGCAGAGACAAAAAGCCATCCTATTTCATCCTCAGCATGGTGGCATCAACATAATCTTTGGTCTGTCTCGCCTGGGTGTTGCATTCAACAGCACTGCTGCGCAAAGAATATAGCAGAGTCTGAGAGGCACATACACTAGTCCACTGTGAATTATGCATGCATGTCATAAGCATCTAATGGACGGGCAAGCGAATGCAGCATGTCAGGGGGAGTAAAGGTCTATATTCAGCCCTGTCAAAACAAGCCAGCTTGTTTATCTCACACCCCCTAAGGAGAACCGACTGGCCATGGCGGTGCATTCCAGGTGAGTGTAGGGAAAGTTCGGCAACAGATGCAAAATGAGTATGGTAAAACTTTCTGCCTTCGATTGCAAAGCTGTCACACTCATTTCCTGTTATGACTGGGAGGAAAATCACAAATTGGCTCCCTCGTTCCCTACAGTGTACTCTGTGTATGCAGTTCTCATTCTGTAGACCGAGAAGAGTGTATATCAAACGGCCACACAGAGCTGGTTTTATTGTAAGGATACACGCTGGATTTTAATCTTAACATCTGAATTATAGAAAGAGCTGCTGTGAAGGGTTTTTGTGCTCTCACGTCTGCAGTTTTGAAAAGTAAAAATTTGACTAGTAGAGTTGTGGTTCAGTTATGTCTTATTAAAAATAGCCCACGTGTAAAGGGTAGCTGACCTACGGTGAATTTAATTGTAGATAAAGCAATGTACTGTAATAACATGAAAAGTATCACCTCGGGCTCTTAGTAATGTGGTGTCACTGTTAAAACAGAGCGCCTCATTTTCTTGTGAAAATGAATTTGGATATTTCCAGAAAAACAAAGTAATATTTCAATCTCAGGATAAATTAACAGTTCATATTCATTGTCACTACAATTGATGTCTTCCTTTTTAAAACAAGCTGATTTCATTTAAACCTCCATAACTACGATGCAGTGCACGGACCATTCATTAAGATGCAGAACAATTTCATTCAGTTTGATAATGTTTGAAGCTTGTTGATAATTTAATCCTCCAAAATGTTACCCAAGACAACAGAGAAAAATGAAAGACAGTGTTTTCCAAAAAGCATGTCCTTGATTTTTTAATTTTCCAACAGACAAAAGACTAGACCCAACTTACTGTGCAAGCCAAAATATGACAATAAAAAACTGCAGTCTTTTATGCCCAGGTGTCTCACTATGACAGGTGGTTGGGTGGAGAAATAGGAAATTTTGTTATAACTACATCAAAATGTGAAAATTTGGCAAAACTAACTCAAAACCTTGGCTATTCTTGAACATCTACTTTCACTGACTTTAATAATAAACCTGCAAGCACTCTGTTGGAATTGCTGATTTTCCCTATGAGTTAAAAAGTAAAGCCAAAAGTAAAAGTGGATGAAAAAAATAATATATGTACGATAGAGCCTATTGTGTCATTTTAGGTAGGAAAGCAATCTTATGTTAGAAATGTAATCATGAAAACAATTCAAGACATTGTGTTCTTTCTCTAAATGATTCCTGTGTAATTCTCATACCAATGTGACCTCAATGCATCAGCTGTTCATACCACTTGCTCTTCATTTCAAATTTCATGTTTAACTTCATTTGGAATTTGAGAATTATCTCCGTCACACTGGTTTTAAGTTGTCTGCTCAGTATCTCAACATGGATTTGATGAATAAAGCTGTTACGAAGCCTTTACTCCACACACCACAGCAAGGACGTAAACCTTAGAAAAGAGCTCTGGCAGTTGTGCTAACCATAGACTGCCTTAGCAAAGGGTGGAAAGAGTGAAAGGGGAAGCTGAAGCTGCTGCTCACTAATGCTAGCATCGTAATACAGGCAAGAGTCCACATGGCTTGATGTCTTGATTGGAGTATTAATTTTTTAAAACACATTTTGCAGCTGTCTGACAGTTTTGTAAATTCAATTCACAGAATAAGAATGGTAAATGGACTGTGTTTCTGACTGTGCTTCTGTCACATTCACCCATTCACACCACGTCCACACATTGATGACAGAGGCTGCGATGTAAAGCACCCATCAGTTCTAACTGATCTCATTTGCACACCACTGGAGTGTAGCCAGAAGGGTGCAGTTTAGGGGGTCAAGAGTCTTGCCCAAGAACCTTTTGGCATGTTGACAGTAGTACCTGGGATTAAACCTCCAATCTTCTGAAGTGACAACTGACACAACCACTGAGCCTCCGCCACCCCCGTCATCATGGTGATACCAGATCAAAGTGCAGTCAATAAATATATGAATGCTGTGCGTTACCTTTTTCGGAATATTTTGTACTCTACATCAGGTATAAGGTATACAATTGTCTTGTGCTGTGTTGCGAAATTATTGGGCCAAAGTATCAAGTATTGTTTTATACTGTGCTGTGTTGTATCTTGTGTTGTACCTGTGATTCCCCGTCCTATTTTTGAACCTAAACTGCCAGAGCCTATTCTTTTGGAATGCTTCATGTTTATTACCCTATCTGAAAAGCCTTTTGCTTCCATGAATATAAAATTTATTCAACAACTCTGAAAAACATTATAAAACCACACACATACTGTATATATATACAGTACATAGTATAACAGCTCTATTGGCACATGTAAAGAGGCTGGGGGGAGGAAAAGACAGCAAAAATTGGGCTTCAATGCGTGCTCATTTGCAATTCAAAAACTTGTAAAGAGGAATCACCAAAAGGCATTTTAATAGAGCACTGTTGTTGACTCTGCTCTTTAGAAAGACCTAGAAAATCCATTGCACTGCAGAAGTGTGTAATTTAAATGGGATGAAATCTTAAACAAACCAGGCATGGCTATGAGCCACGGTGCAAAAAAAGTATGAATTAAACATTGAGGCGCATGAATGCAATGAGCCTCATGTCTTGCTTCCTGCAGCTTTTGCCAATCAATTAATTGGATGGTGTCAGTCAGGTAAGAGGAGGGTCGTCTATATTGAAACTCTGCTTCACTGTTTGTTCATCAAGTGTGCAGTGAAGGTCAGTGTCGGTTAATTTTAAATGCAGCACTGGTCGGTTGTGTCTCTCAGTTCTTGTGCACAGAGCTGGATCATTTGTTTTGTGTTCCTCCAAAACACTGACAACCAGAAATGATCTGTTAGTTTATTACGAGGGCTGAATAAAACTCCCTGCGGGAAGCCAAATGTTCAAATGGACAAAAAAAAAAGATAAAACACACATATACCTTCATTATATTACATAAACACATCATTTCAAAAAATACAGAAGTCCAACAAGCTGTTATTGATTAAAATTGTGTTTTCTGTACTGGTCTGAATTTTCTTTTTTACTGTTACAGTAGCCATTAGCCATTTACCATATGAACAGTGTTGGGCCACTGGTTGCCAAGGAAACAGCTAATGGGCCACAATAAGACAAAATCTCCAACTGGCACAACAGTAAACATACCAGGGCTGCTGTCTGAAACCCAGTCAAGAAAATAATATCTCACCTTTAACCAGAAGGCTGCCGGCGCTACTCGCTACTCCAAACTGGTTTCTGGCCACACACGTGTAGAGCCCAGCATCAGATTTACTAACATTGGAAATCCGAAGGCTTCCATTATCCAACACAGTGACTCTGTGGGTAAAAAGTACAATCATTTATATTTATATGGCAATGTTAGTGTCATTGATAATACATCTGTGCTAAGTTAACTGAGTAAGTTGAAACAGAGCTTTACTAAGGAAGGCCTATGTGATTGTGCATCTCTCTCTCTCTCCCTCTGTCTATCTATCTATCTATCTATCTATCTATATATCTATATATATATATATATATATATATATATATATATACATATATATAAATATATAAATATATATATATATATAGATATATCTATATATATAGATATATATAAATATATATATATATATATATATATATATATATATACATATATCTATATATATACACTGTATCTTCGAAGTGCATAAGAACTTCTTCTAAATGAGCGAGTCCACTGTCCTTAAGCATTTCAACTTTGGCCTGGAGTTTATCTCAGTGAATTTTAATTGGCTTCCTGTGCTTTAGGGTGACATCAGGGAAGCACAGTGTAAAGAGTAACAGTTTGATTTAGCAGCAATGAGATGACAGGAACACTGCAGATCACTTCATTGGAGGGGAGTCTCATTTAATGTTGAAGCAGGAATCTAAATAACCAGACTTTATGGATCCACTCATATTGTATAAGCATATCATCAGTGTTATGGGACTCCTGTGTCAGACGCCATAAATTTACCAAAATGTAATGGGACCATGATTTCCCATGTAATGTGTTTAAGAAACTCCAGTTGTCACATTTACTGAGCTATATGTGTCTTAAGTGTTCACTTTAATGCAGTAAATCTATCACCTCCTGTCTATCACCCATAATGCGCTATTAAAAAGGGAGGCTAATGCAGCATGATGCAGAGAAACAGAGCCTAAAATAACATTTAACAGCTCTTCAGTGCTAAATTAGTCATTGAAACCCTATTTTAGAGAAGAACTCATACCATTTAGCTTCTAGTATTGCACCTCCACTCCCTTAACTGAGTTTTCTAAATAAATCTGGGGTAAGCAGTGAATGTTCGCAGACCAATTCAACCTGCCTGTTTGTGTGGTATTAAAACGATGCTGAGCCTCCACGACAGATTGCACACGCAAGTCCAAATTACAAAGACCCTCGTTTCATCTGTTGCTGTCATCAGTCAAGCCTGACAGATTTCCTCTGACAGAGAGAGCGTACTGCTGATACTTCACCAGTCAACAAGGTGGTGAGTGACGCAAAGCCAAATATGGAGGGATAGGTCACAAACACAGCACTGCTTCATTTATGGGCATATGTTTCCAGCTCATCAGTCCATGTACCAGTAACCTTTAGTATGAGGATTTATCAAAGAGCTGCTGTTTTTTTTTGTTGTTGTTGTTTTGTCTGTCTCACTTCTGTCACTTGCCGATGCTACACTATCAAAAAGTAAAAAAAAAAAAAAACTTGACTTGAACATTATTTTTGTGCAGCAACTACATTTTCAGCTTTAACACAGATGGATACAAGGGATCAACCTCCCAACCTTAAAAGAAATCTAAAAATGTTGAGTGTTGAAAATATTTGTATGAGAACAGGTCCTTAAAAGCCTCCCTGAGTCAACAAGGCCTTGAGTACAGCGTGCTCAGAAACATGGACAAAGAGCTTTAAAGGCAACATACCTAATTGCATTCATTTTGCTCCGTTTTTAGTGCATTTTTGACAGAGTCAAGGGTAGAAGACAAAAGACCGGAAAAATAACGTGTGATTTGTTTTTTTGTAATGCAGGCATGTCTGGAACACTTCAACACTTATTGAAAATTAAATGAATGGAAGGGTCATAGGGGATTGAGACACAGAATAAATACAAAATTTGTTTGATTGGTTCTATTCACTGAGATATCAAAAGAGAATTCCTTGCTTTAGTCCAAAAATTGTCCACATACAGCGCAGAGTGCACAGAGTTAAAAGCTTAAAAGTTCTTTTAATATGTAATGAGTGAAAACTTAGCAAGACCACATCAGATATTTTTCATCAAATACTTAGGTATCATTCAGACCAGCTTGCCGTTATTCATCACTTAATTATGTATTTTTAATACCTACTGTTCAGGTTTGATTCTTTTGTCTATCATGTTATCCAAGCCTCTCAGCTGGTTTGAAAAACACAATTTTCCTGCTCTCTCTTCTTTGATCTTGGTAATTACAGGAGGTAATCTACCGCATCCTTTTACAGTGGGACCAACGTTTTTTACCTGCTTCATGTGATCTCCTTATGTTCACAGTCTTCCAGAGCTTCCATCATGAAAGAGGACACAGTTAATGTGGTTTTCCACTTATCTGGTTTTTCAAAGACAACAGCCTGATATTAATACGGTTTGAACAAGAAGGTCCTAAAAATATAAAAGAGTTTGTTTTATAAGTCTTAAGTGAGGTAGATATTCTAATTGGACTTATCCATTTCATCTTATCTGCCGCAGATGATCCTTATGTAATCAAAGACAATTTTTACTTTTTGTTTATTCATTATAGACCCACTCTGATGACAATTTTCTTGTTGTCTACATATTCATATGGCATTTTTCTGATGCTACAGGACATATCAGGAGAAAAATAAGTGCAAAATTGCATTTCTTAGTATTTCTGCATTCAAATCGCTGTGAATCCCTGGCAGACCCAAACAGCAGGTTAAGACACAGTAGCCCTCATTTATCAAGCTTGCGTACGGCAGAAAACTTGCGTACACCTTGTATATGACAATTTTGACGTGAGGATCGGCATTTATCAATATGCTACGACCAACTCTCACGACAGGTCTGACATCGTGTACGCAAGTTTGAGTCAGTGTGGATCTGCGGTGCAGCAAATGTCTGTCTCAAATTAATTGATAAACACACCTCAAACCTGTCATTAAGCACAATCAGCCAGATTTCATTAAAGATTAAGACGAAAATAAAATAAAATAAATAAATTGTTATGTCCTTAGTGAATAGGTCTATTTGATAACTGCCCAGAAAACACTGCCACAGAGCAGGAGTGCCGTTTCAACATTATGCACACACACACACACACGCCACTGTGGAGCGCTGCGTTTGACTCCTAAAAGGCAGGTGTCTCTGTCTTGGCTCAGCAGCGGGGACGTTGTTGTACACTCCTGAAAGGGTGTGGGACATCATTTGGGCCTGTACAGTTTAGCACAATGTTGCACTGGCGAATGGAGTGCCGTTCGCTGTGCCGGTGCAACGGGAGGACCCGATGCCCGGAGAACAATAACGAGGAGAGACTCCACAAATGTACTGAACTGAGGAGACAGGACCTTATCGATGGATTCTGACATGTGAAGTATACGTTTAGAAAGTGCTCTTGCTCTTTAATCAGTGATAAAAATCCAATAGAAATCCATAAAAATGTGCCTCAGGGGCAGCAACACACCGTTTGGTGACGTTAATAATTATTTTTGTTCAGCCTCTGTCAGACTCTCCAGTCTGCTCTACATTACAAAGACACAACAAATTAAAACTAATTACTTTCAATAATAGGAGCAACGTTCCCTATGTCATAGCAATAAACAAATATGAAGCATGTATGAGATATTAATTTAGATATTAATTTATCATCATGAGCAACTTATTGACTAATGATTTATTCAAACTTCAACCACTGTCCGCTATTCCACAGCAGCGCTGTTCACCGCCTCCATAATCCTGCTCCAGACAGGAGTTTTCTGGACTGCTGTTATACCAGTTTTGATGCTTCCAAAGAGAAAATCCTTGTTAGTTTCCACCACAGATGTGAGGATATCCACTTTCAGCTCGGAAAAGTTTCTAATTTTTCTAATATTTCTCCTCTGTCATGTTTGACCTCAGTGGGCAAGGCTTCTGAACCACGAATATTTAAGGGCGTGACATGTTAAGTTACACTTTAAGTAGAAAAAAAAAAAGATCAGAGTGGGACTTAAAGAGTTTTGTGTTTGATCAATGGACAAACTAGACAAGCTTGAGTAAAACACTCCCTGTTATTTGATTTCACTTCTTGAGATGTTGATATAAATGTCTGCAATGTGTCCTAATTTAATATTTTCTAACATTCTGTCTGATACAAATGGGCAAAACAGGTTGACACAGATAAGGCAAAGAAAACTTTACTTCTTTTTCAGTAGCAGTATCAAATCTTAAAAAGCAGTAAACAACAACTGTGATAGATATACAGTATGTTACCTTGAAAAAAGAGGAGTAAAGCTAGTCGTACGCTTACAGCAGTGCTCTAACAAAACACTGGAGAAAACAACAAAGCCAGTGAAGGGTCAGTCCTCCATACTGATCACCACTCAATATCTGTTTTTCTTCTCTGGAGAATAGAAATAATAATAATAGGGCAGGTTTGTGGTCCCAGAGCCCATCCATCAGTTGTCACACAGAAAGTCAAGAATATGCCTTGCTGAGATGTCCTTAAGCAACACTAAGTCGCTACCAGCTCTGATCTCCCCAGAGGGGGCTGGCAAGACTAAAAAATCCCTACAGGGATCAATGAAATATCACACTGTTAAAAATGAATCCCCCTGAGGCCAACAAGACAGCCGCGGCTTGTTGACCTGATGCTTCATTAAGCCTGGTGTTATTAAAGTCGCTGAAAACAGGTAATAATAGTAAAGCCTTGAATACACAGATTCATCTGTACTTGTGAAACACTGATCTCCTGATGCTACAGCTTGACAGACAAAAGGAGGGCAGTGTTGTCATGATCACTGCCATATGTTGGAATTAGTGTCTTGAAGAGTCATTTGTCAGGAAAAGAAACAGCAATGTGGGGTTACTATTCAATGCTTGAGAAGGAAATGTGTTATTGATTATTACTTTTGATGGATGTAACACAGAAAAAGCTTTCAACTTCACCTCTTTTGAAATCCAGTTAATTCCTTCAGTCAGACAAGTCATGCCAACTCAGTCAAATTATTTTTCAGTATCTTTACAGCCTTTCAATTCTGACTGTAGAACAATTTGCTGACCACATTTTAGCCCTTGGAAATTAATTACACTATTGATAAGTGCCGTGCCCTCCAAATCCTCACACGGAGTCCTCATCTTATCTTCTAAGCGGCTCTGCAGTGTAATGGGGTTGAGCCTGTGTTTCAACATGTAACTGGTTGGAAAGAAGAACTTCAATACTCCTTTCTAAAAGATCCCTTAAAGGCAGTCTGGACCACCCAAAACGATCAAAAATGACCCCTATTGCCTGAAAGGCTAGAGGAATTAAAATACATTAGCCTCTTCTGCTGTGGCCGTTCCCTGTGGAGCTGGAGGTATTCTCCTAACTGAACCGAGGGCTTCCTTTGTAATGGACTATAACAAAGAGTTATGGATATGAGATGTCACAGGGATAAGACTTGCCATTAAACTGTATAGTAGTCTATGTCAGGTTTTCTCCTCACCAGAGCTACAAAGCAACAGTGCAGGATAAAAATATAAGGAGCATTAGCCGTCTGAAAAGCTCCCCCTTTGTTCTCGTTTCTCTCCAAGGTTGCCCTGGAGCAATTAAGGTATTGGGGAAATTTGTGGGGTACATAAAACTTGAGCAGTGTGATATAGTAAACAGGCACTTTACCTCAACCTTATTGGCCGGTGTTAAAGTGAGCTACTGTCTGTAATCTAAAAGCCTTCTGTGCCTCTCCATGGTGTAACAAAAAACTAAGAGGCTGTAAATGAAAAACATTATTTTAAACCGCTAAAGAAGGATTGCATAATTAACTCTGTATATTGCTTGGGACTTGCAGTATTCTCGAGTTTATTTCAATGTACATTCTGTATTGGCAACACTTCCAAAAAGCTCTTGCTGTTTTAATGGCAGGAGTATAAAATGACTCACATTGCATGATGAAGCAATATATATCGTTTAGCCTAACAATCTTAAACACAGTGGTTCAATCTAAAGGTAATATTCCTAAGAGCTATTTCCTATATCCGTTTTACAGTCGCTGGCAGTGGTCAGCAGTGAAATTAAATTAGGGTAAGCACTTTATCGTTAACCTCGTAGCTCCCTGCATAAGTGCACAGCGACCCTGTTACATGGCTGTTACATATCCAGGGATATGAGCTGATATAGGTATCACCAATGCCTAATTTCATTAACTAATCAAATCCTGCCTTGTTCTTAGTTGATTTGTTTTCCCCTGCTCCAGATCCTTGAAAACATTATCCCTGGAAGATTAGAAGGAATTATGGGTATTTTAGTTGAGCCAGTGGGATGGATTAGTGTTGTAGTACAGCTATAATAGCACTGGTAGCAGCCCTATTTCAATATGGAAGAAACGTAAATGCTAACAAGGCCAGGAACAGGGAAGAAGGTTTGTGAGAAATGCTGCAATAATGTCAAAGCTTAACATCTTGTATGCAGCTCACCTACTTCAGGGTAAGGCTGTAACGTTAAATCTCAAATGGGAAATCTCACTTTTATGGGCGCGATTGATATCGCGCATTGCAGCATGGATGCATTTTCCTTTCAAAACTTAAGAGGATGATAAATCTGCAAGCTTGGTGCAACATTTAGCAGCCGTTTGCAGCACTAAATGTTCAGCGATACTCCAACCGCCCCTCAAATACAACATCTCACCCCTGTTATAAAGACGTCTCGGCCCAACATCAGTATTAACAACCAGCTCACACCTTAGCTCTCCCTAACATGCTGTCTTACAGGGGGAGGGGAGACATGAATAAAACCTGCTGCTCTCCCACTGCGGTGAGGATGAATATCCCAGAGGTTAGGTGTGGAAAAGCTGCTGAGCCAGTTGAACAATTAATCCCAAATCAAATGAGAAATCTGGACCCCCACTCCGTCACTGCATGTGCTGGCGGGGGGGCTTTACCTCCTGCTGGTATTTTCCAGCATGAAATCAAGATGTTATCAAATAGGAAGTGGAAAAGCATTATCAAGTGATCCCGGTTTTTAATTTTGTAAGAACTTATAAAGCACTCCAACGCTTAATGGTTTCCAAAGAAAATATCACAGTCAGTACATTTCCAGCCGGAGCAGCAATTACAGAACACCAAACTGCAATAGGGACTTGCTGTTATATTTTCCCTGTGATTGCCTGTTCTCACAAGACATTATGCATTTAAAACAGAGGAAATGTACAGGCGCTCCATCTTCAGAATATCCAACAATATTAAAGTCAGGGTGTTTAAAGCAGTTGTCTTCATATCTGCACATCTCTCTGATTGCTGCCACAAGAGAAGAAATAATATGAGTCCTGATCAATCACTGACTACACATCCTGCTGTGACCTCTACCAGCTTTATGTCTTCAGGGGGGGAATTGGTTTCTCAGGTCTTATTAACATCTGTTTTTTTTCTCCTCCTTCTTCTCCTCTCCAGCACACAGAGGTATTGCATTGATCTGCACTTAACCTGATTTCTAATAAAACAAGGTGTCCAGCTAGTTCCCCAGGTGTCACCGCCACTATGGCATAAGAGCGTGTGTTGTTCAGAGGCTGGCCATTGATCTGTCCTTTTGGGGATTTCACCTACTTCTTCTATGTCTTGATGGTAGCCTGGATCATCGTCTGCCTTGTGCTCTAATGACCCTCCAGGCCTTACATGCTGCTAATGAGCTGATGGATCAGTGCATCGATCCGAGTGCCGCAGTCTACGAACGGCCAATTACCTCAAGTAAACAGTGCAGAAACCAGCTCTGAGCACTGCCAGGAGAGCAGAGTACAATGGAGTTCAGGGAAGAAATGTAGATAGCAGGGGGAAAGTGGTGGAGTGCGGGACGTGTTATGCAATTTAAATTGTATTGTGTCATGCTGGTTCTGTTCTTTGCAGTTTGTCACCATGAATATCAAGTAGGGCAAAATAAAATAACAAGTCGATGAAATGGTATTCTAAAAGTAGAGCGCACAAACTAAACAATGGTCCTGTACACAGTACATTTACTGCTCCAAACAAAGGAACCTGTTACCTGTGGCTCTCGCGCAGTGCTTCTTTTCCCTTTCTCCATGAAATCACACCCCGAGGAGACATTTTGGGCTTGCATTCGATCAGGACATCGCCACCCTGTCGAGCCAGAGTTTGGGCCTTCAGCAAGTTTTGTGAAAAGTCTGGAGCAATGGCTAATGGGAAAAGTGGAAAGAGAGGGATGTAAGTTTTTTGAATGAGAAGTTAGGTGAAGAAAAAACAGAACAAACAGTATAAAGTAATTGAGGAAATGAGAGCAGAGGAACATCCTTCAAACATGCAGGTCGCTCCATCCATTAGGCAGGTCAGCCCTCACATCCTCTTCATTCTGCTCATGTGTTCTTGTTCGCATACAGATACACACTCATACATACAAACATACATAAAAACACAGATTGGACATGGTGCATCACTTTTAAGAGGACATTTACTTGAAGTAGGTGGGTTTTCCATTTCCCTGAATTTTCCTTAGGAGACATTATGCATTAAGAATGAAGCTGTGGGGCTTCGAAGCAAAATGAGTGAATGTAAAATGAGAGGGAGGCTTTGTTGCTGCTCCTTTAGGCCTTAATTACTAAGGCGCCGTCGTCTGGAGCTATTTTGTATGCGCACAGACTCAGCAGAAAGCTCTTCAAAGTGAACACACAGCCTGGCGCCAGTTACATGGCTAAGCACCTGCCAACACATGCCGGTGCATGAGCATACAATACACACAAAGATGAACATGTGTTCATACACACACCACACCTTAGACCTATTCCTCAACACTTTCAGTAAAATGCCAGCATTCCCTTTATGAAGGCGTTTGACATTTGCTATACATGTGTTTATGCAACACATGGGTTGGAGTTATTAGAACTCAAAGCTTTTTGTTTGAGGAGTCACAGTTCAATAAAAATCTGCTCTGTTATCATACAGTATATACAGTACAAGAAATGAATGTAGTGATGTGCTCTGAATTAGACTGGGTCACAGAGACTTTATGAACAAAGTTAAAAGTAATAGTCATATATTCTGTTCAAGGTTGAGTTTTTTAAATGCTGCATAAAAACACAACCCTATTTGAGAAGGGGTTCAAATCTCTAACCTCGGAATAAGAAAAATGAGAACTCCTTTGACAAATGAGAAGGAACACTTCAAAAAGACATATTCTGTGAGCAGGTTCTGTCTCTGTGGGCACAAAAGCTAGTTGGAACAACATTATGCGAAGAAAGAAAACTTAAGAAACACACTGAAAATTGTCCTGAAGTTTGACCAGTCAAAATTTGATATGCTGTAAATGCTGCTTCTCCCCAAGCGTGAGAGAAGAGGCTTGTTATCAGTAGACATCTCAAAAGCCGGCATCTTTTATGCAGTGGTGTTGCATCAATATACATGGCATGGGTAACCTGCATATTTTTGAAAGCACACCTAATGCAGAACAATATATCAAGGTAGTACACAACATTATTTTCTTGGAAGTCTTCCATATTTCAATGAAGCAACACCAACCACTACACAAACTGTATACTGACAGCCCCCACTTGTCACCAGTTTGAAATAATTTGTGCATTATATAACAAAAGATGTTGTAAGCAGACTCCAAACTGCTGAAGTCCTACTCCAACAAAAATAGGAAAACAGTCCAGTTTCAAAATGACAACACAGTTGGTCTCCTCAGCTTCCCCCAATTCTTACAGCATGTTGTTAAAGGGAGGAGCAATGAAACAGAGAGGTAAACATGAACCTGTCCTGTCTTTCTTAAAACACATTTCCAGGAATCAAGTTCATTACAAGCAAAGTTTTCCAGAGACATCAAAACTTCTCATTTTCAACCTGATTATTTGATATTGTCAGGATTTTAAAGTTTCGCATCTTGTTTTTTTCTAAAGTTTATTCAGTGTTCAAACATTTGTTGTTAACAGTGAAAACAATTTAGCATTTTATTCCGTGGGGTGAGACTATGGAATGGAATGGGTGAGGAGTTAAACCAATGTCCAAACATAAAACAGTTTAAAACAAAATATAAAGAATATGTTTTCACGGGATACAGGGATGTACATTCATAGTAACTATTATCATTATCATCATTGTTTTGTTGTTGTTTGTTATTTTCACTGTGGTGTTTTATTTTTTTTTATTGCTATTATTACGATGATGAATGATATTATTATATAATGATATATATGGTATATATTTAAACCATCAGTGTAGATAAGGGGTGGGATAAGATAAGTCTCGACTTCTTCCCACTCCTTTTTGAACTCAAATAACTTTTGCTATTTGTTGTTGTATTCTTTACTTTTTAATTATTTCTTTTTTATATGTTCAAATAAACTTCAATCAATCAATCAATCAATCAATCAATCAAAACAATAAAAAATTGTGCAGAAAAAAATTTCAAAACACTGTCAATCATAGTTATTTGAAAACTCAATATTACATTTGATATACAACAGCTGACATCATATTAAACAACTGATGTTTGACTCATGGAATATTCAGGAAAGTGTCTGCATCCTACTTACAAAATAAATATTTGCTGTTGACACAATATGGATCTGAGTTTAAACTATGATAAGCAAACACAGTGTGAGTGGAAATGTTTTCTCTTTTTTATTTTCAGATATACTGTCAAATGTCCCAGGATTTATTACACAGAACAGGATACCAACATGAGGAAGCTCACTTTAAGTAAACCATAGGTATCAGAGCAGTTCATTCCAATACAATGGTGATAAAAAATAGTGCAGTTAGTCTCAAGTATTTGAGGGGTATGGGCTGTTTTGATGCCATGCTCACTGATTTGTTCCAATCCCACACAACTTCAGCACAGTCATTAAAAGCTGCCAACATTTATGCATTTATTTTGTGTCGTGGTGCCAGACAGCATTATACAGTATATGCCTCAAACAAAAGCTTGCTGCTGTGTCAGGAAATGAAGCTGCTTTGACAGACTCTTAATCATTAATTTACATATGCCATTGTGTCTAACAGTGAAAGCAAGGTGTGGGAGCTTAAACAGGAATGCTTTATGAATATGCTTGTTTTTTAGAATTACCAATACCATGAAATATTTCTAAAATAGCTTGCAAGAACAAATCTATTTGCACCTAATTTATGGAATAGTACTTGGCACCTACAGAATCCATGCACAAAAGAGTTTAAAGCCTTAAATGTATGTCTGACAACCAGCTATTGACAAATCACATGGCCAATTGTGTGTCCAGAATCACCATAATTTAGTCAAACTTCCTACTTCTTGTAGAACTAGTGCAAATTGTTTTGGCATGTAACACATGTGTCTATGTTATTTTTCCACTCAATATTTTTACACCTATTGGATCAACAGCAAATAAGTTTATGAGTGCCCATAGGTGTGTGGGTCTAGAAATGAAGTGCAGTCAGGGTCAAAGGTGTCATGTTACTACCTTAAGGATGCAGGAAGCATCTATACTTTAGACCAACGAAAACCTGGTCTTCAGTCTGTAGCCCATGGTGCAGAATTTTCCTGCTAATCAGCACCATGGTTAGATGGCATTGTTCACAATTCACATTATCTAGTTGTTAATACATACTGAGGGCTGCACAGCTGTGCTCCCAATCACAATATACATATATATTTTTTTTCTTAATTTTTTAATATGGTAAAAATGTGTGTTTATGTGACAAAGACCTTAAAGAAGTCAGTATTTCCCCCTCATCATCACACATCATGATACAGTATGGGGCAAATCTCATGATGTCTGAAGATGAGGACACCTTCATCCCTCTCATTACACCTGCTTCCCTTCAACCCTGCACAGATCCAGACGGTCCCAGAGTTCACAAATTGCTTACTCTTGAGAGCAAACAGAAGCAGATAAATACTGACACACTCTCACTCAGTTTTTTTTTTCTTTTTACAATCCTCATAACTGTTAAATAAAAACTATTGATCATCGTGACACAGATATAAACAGAAACTCAACTGTTTAATTCTTGAGCTTACTGTAGATATGACAGCTGTGTGGTCGAGCAGCAAAAATGAGTAATGAAAGATTAAACGCCTATCTTTCTTCAGTGGTCATCATTAGACCCTATCTGATACTGTTGGCGTGTCCCAAGTTTTAAATAACTTATGAAAATCATGCTGCTGTGCCTTGTGTGTAAAGGTGTCCGTGTCTGTTTGACGTTTGGAAGGTCATTTGGATTTCTGCTGTTCAGAGGGATTGTTTCAGTGGGTTAAACATCAGAACATGCATTAACATAACTCATACAGTGATCTGAGTGTTCTCTGCATTTTAGAGGCGCACTCAACGGAGAGTAGGTATAAAAAAATAAAAAAAAAATAAAAAAAAACTGCCTCAGGCCGGCCTATCTAAGTAGGCACATCAGACTCTTACAGGGAATGAGAGCAGATGCACTGTTTAGTTTAATTCTTTCCTTTCATGCCCAAACCAAACCTTTGAATAACAGAAGGCCTCATTGTGCCCTGCATCACACAGGGTGCTGAGATTATCTTTATATCTATATTTATAGATATATTTTTCAACTAACCGTTGTAATTTCCTATTTATTCTTATTCGTTCCTATTTTTCATCTCCTCTATAAATATTTGTATTTTTAAGAGCAAGTGTAATGCTATAATGACTAAATTTCCTCCCCTTGGCGGTAAATAAAGTATTCTGGTTCTGATATACCTCTTAATGCATTAAAAGGGGCCATACATGCCCTTATTCACAGTGCATCATACACTTGCGACCATGTATTTTAGCTCAATTAATCAGAGCCTTGTATCAGTTATTAAAAACAAACCACCTGGTCAAGCTTTTATAATGACTTTTTTTTCCACATTCAGTCATCACAGGAAAATGCCATAACCTTCAGAAGAAGCAAAGACAAAAAAATAAATTAATAGATAAGAACAACTTCCAAAGACAAAATTAATGAATGGACTTCCTTCCAACACAGTCAGCTGATATCAAACTATGCCTCCAGTCACAACAAAAAAATAAGTGTATGAAAGTAGTCTCTCTGATTTATAAAGAGAAAATCACATTTTTTTGTGAAAGCTATGTATTAAGTATACACATGTAAGTATGTATGTGCGTGTGTGCATCGGTGTGGAATATATTTCTACGGATGTTTAAGTAGCATATTTATATTATGTCTATATCTATATTTCTGTTAGATACATATGTGTATATAAATATATGTATATGACAATATATATGTTTATATATATAATAAATTTTGTTGTGTATATATAGATAAATATATTTATATAGATTATATGTTTTGTAGTATGCCTATGTATAATATATTGCATTGATAGCAGAATATATTTTTTTTTATAAAACCCATGAGGAACAGTATTAAGGGGTAGGAATTTAAAAAGTATTTACTTCTTCCTACTCTTTTTTGAACCAGTAAAATTATTTCTTTTTTTTTCTTTGTATGTAAATTGCAAAATTCTATTTACTTTATTTCTTTGCATACATGTTCGAATAACATAAATTCATTTATTCATTCATTATATGTGATACTGGGCAAAAGAGCGCTGGAGGAACAATAAAGGAAACTTATTTTAAACAATCAATAAATTAATGACAAAAAAGTGAAATATCCATCTCTGGTTGTTCAAAGTGAAAACAACAGCTCATCACCCAGAAAGCACATCATTCTCGCTTCACCAGCTGAGGGCTGACCACCATGCAATGCGGTTGCTTAATTATGTGAGCAGAACTGGGAAAATCTCAGGGCAAGCCATGGGCAAAATTACTGCTGTCACATTTCTATTTCCACACTGGCAAGTAAGAAAAAAGTTTCTTATATGCTCAGTTTTGGTATGAATACACTGAGGAAGTTAAATTCATCCTTCAGATGTGTTTACATACCCTTTGCAACGCGCTATTGATAAAAGAAACAGGAAAACTCACAAAAACAAAATTCAAAAAAGGGAGGAAATGATTCAGTGAAATAGTTTTTCTGATTCAGATCTCAGGAATGTGTAACAAAATGACCTTTGCTGGGGCACACAGCCTTAAATGTGAGTGTTGACCAAAAAAACATGGCCAGGCTGATGCAATCATATTTATTTTGCATTTTTTTAACAGTTACCATCTCACCATCTGTCTATCATGAAATCATCTAACAGCAAACTCAGAAATGGAATGAGAATAACCACACTGAATGTATTTACATGTATTAACAGTCTCAGTTGTGTTGGCTCTTACCTATAACACGGAGCTCTGCGTTGGTGAAGATTCGGCCATGCTTGTTCTCGGCCACACACTGGTACATACCAATGTCGGCCAGATTCAAGCTGCTGATCGTCAGAACTCCATTATTCACCTGGACTCTGTCCTGCTTAAAACACACACAAACACACATATTTAGCATGTGATTCAAAATAGGCTGCTGTGATCACTTGACGACAAGCAGTGAACAGGTTTAGACGAGGTAAACAATCAGCAGGTTGCTGAAGTTGAAGCCTGTGATACAAAAGTAAGACTTAGACCGAACATCCAATCAGGACCTCTCATGTTCCAAACTGTGTTAAGGTCCCTGTCTGTATCTGAGCTGTCTCTGGGTGGGCCGTGTACAGAAGTTTATAATTCCCAACCCTTTTTTGAACTAAAGTGACCTCTTTTACATTAGTAAAGCTATTTGAGCCATTGTTAATATAAAAAATATCGATTAGTGGAGCCATAAGATAAGTATAATAAGCCCCTCGGGAAAGAAGGATAAAACCCTCACAGCAACCAAACAGCCTGTTAACAGGTTACAGTAACTGACCTTGGATTCACATGAGCTACCCTGGCCCTTAAAAAGCTTTCAGAGACACCACAGTGGATGATCCTTAAGAAAATCTGACATTAATCCTCAAAAAGACTGACACTTGTTTAGATCAAAATCACGCTATAGAAACCAAACAAACAGAACAACAACTCTGGATTATCGTTTTCTGTTTAACAGGAGCATTTCAAGCAATTTAAAATATCTTTACCTCCAATAGCATTTCTTTTCAAAGCCCAGCAATTTTATAACCATGTTAATGCCATGAACCAACCATTCAGCCATTGATATGTGTGCTCAGTTGTTGCTTTTATGCTCTAAGGATAATATTTCTCTATTCCAACCCATTACAGTTGTGATGCTTGGGTGGCATGTTTTGCACTGGCTCTTTGTTCAAGTGTGCCTCACAAAAAAATCCTTTCTACCACCATTATATTTTAAGACACTGTCCATCTCTACTCACCCTGCAGAATATCATTAGTGTGATTTTCTATATGCTTCATAGTCTTGAGCATTCCCTCTTCTTTTGCAGTGTTCTGAGTGTCAGCTGATTGAAACAGATAAAGGACAACAGATCCAAAGTGCATCATCTTTGTTGTCTACAAACTCTGTGGATGGTGTACAAGTTTTTATCCATTTGAAGACTAATGTTTAACTAAATATATTCAGTGCTTTCAAGATCTGATGCAAGCAAAACTTACAAACAGTCCAATTAGTGCCATTAAAGTATAGTACTAGGTGTTAGTATGATAATGCCAGGCAAAAGAGTCTTTAAACAGGGTAATTAGGGCGTTCTACGGACATTTAAGTGCCATGATACCAACTGTGTCCGTTCTGTCTGATCTAATTCAAGATGTAGCCACACTTTTTCTCTCCTCAGGGGGCTTGATAATTGAAACACTGCTAATTTTCTGTGGTCTTAATAGGCCCACAGTGACTAGATGTAACCCCCCTCTGCTTAACATAGCGCTGAGACGTTATCAAACTGTGGTTGAAATCAAACCTCAAAGGAGTACGCTTGGAATAAGCTGCAGCATGGAGGCTTTTTTGTACTTCTTTAAGAACCATAGTGTTCAACGGCAGAGAAAAAAATGAAATACTTTGTAATTTATTGTTTCAAATTGAACTCAATTTTGAAAAGGCAATTTCAAAGTACAGATAGTGATAACAACACCTGAGCAAAGTTAGCCTCTCCCCACTGCTCCTTTTGACCTTTACAAGGCTGGGCACTACTTTCTGCTCCCTTTTTATAGTTGTGTCACTTTAAGTGTGGCAGCACTCATTGTTCTTGCCCTTGATCTTTCCCATTGAGTGTAGCTGGACCTTTTAATGTCACTGACAAAGTAGTCCAGCGGGTCCTGCCGCCAGTCTGTCTGTCGTCTGCAATCATTACAGCACAAGCACTTGAAAAGACAAGGACTGTCCCTTAACATCAGTCAGTGACACTGCTGAGGTTCTTCAAATGGGGCTCTTTCTGAGCTGCAGTGGCTCAATGGACACATAGCTGACCTGGCGCCACCTCCACCGCCAGAGGGGGTCCTGGGTAAGGGTGGATGCATCAGATTCCAAGTGGAACACAAAAGTCCGTGGGTTTTTGGACAGGACTGGGTGCTTATATGTGTGTTCAAGGAGAAAAGGATGATAGAAAAGAGGAGAGAGGAACACAAAGAGAGAAAGCAGGAGAGAGCCATGGCGACTTTGAATGGATGATAGATGGTCCTTTTTTGGTTACACAGAGCAAGGGCCTAGGGGTATGAAAGGGATAAAAGGGATCAGTGTAAGTGCATGGGTTGGTGCCACAGTACTCTATTCTGTACCCACTGCCCTGTTAAAAACCCTCTGAGACTCCGCAGTGGCTCTATCACAATCTCTTTAGCGCTGAAGACAAATGGTGGCATTCTTTTGCTTTGTAGCTATCATTAATTTTGCTCGACTCTTCTCTGATATCAGCACTGTTTCAAGTTGAGCTGTGAAAGGCAAATCATGGAGGCTCTGTTGTATGCTGGTCATGTAATGATCTAACTCCTGATTGCAGTCACTTCAAATGAATGGATGTTAAAACAAGAGCAACTTTTCAGGGGCCAAGGGTTTGACTTTGGAGGTTAAAGGTAAAACAATCTGCAAAACACTCACTGATGAATGTAACTAAGAGGGGATCTGGCAGTGGAGTGGAAAACTACAGGCGTGAGTGGGTCCTTGTTTCACCCGGGTGACATTTTGAAGTGACAGCCCTCCTCTGCGCCATTTAAATCCCTTGGAGGGGTCCAAATATGAGGTGGAGAGAGAGGGGGGGGTAGAAAGATAAAGGCTTGAAAGGAGGCAGAAGAAAGTGAAAGAAAGCGGCAGAGATTCTGAGATAAAGTGAGGAAGAGAGGGAGAGGAGGACTGATCCATTCTAATGAGGAATAACAAATGGCCCCCTTGGCCTTCCTCCCCTTCCCCCTCTTTCTCTACATCGCTGACCTTTGGGTTTGGAAATTGATTTACTGTTGCCGCTGTTGACGGTGGCATTTTGAAAATGGTAACACCCCACCTCATTAATATAGCCACATGTACAGAGAATATGTTACCTTGGCCACCTGCCAAAGGAATTTTTACAATGTTATTTACAAATCAATGGTGGAGATGCACCAGTGGACAGATGAGGGCTTCCTGTGGTTAAGGATGTGTGGGTAGAAAACTGAGGAAGTGACCTTTGTGAGCTTTTCGAAATTAACAAATAACTCGACAAAAACAACTGGAAGAGAGAGGAAATATTCATGACAGTGAGGCTTTTTGATTCCGATTTGAGTTTGACTCTGCATTTACAAGCATTGTAGACAACTACCCCTGTGTCACAATAGCAACCACTTATGGGTTTAAAACTCTGCAATCTTTTTCACTGCGTGTGGATTGTGATTCAGCTCTCCAATTAAAGTGCTCCAGATTTCAGATATTATCTCAGCTCTCAATTCCAGTTAAAGGAAACTAAAGCCACCTGACCCCTTTAAAGACAAAACAGCAACAATCTGGTTTTGGGCTCATTACCCAATCCAAACACTGACACTATCAGTGACTGTGATTCACTGAAGCTGTTTCTTTTTAGACTGAGAGCACACTTACTCCGGCAGCACAATAACACAAAACAAGGCAAATTGCCTAAATGTGAAATGTATTTTGAATAAAAAAGCGTTTTTCACCCTCCCCAGAGAGAGGAGACTTAATGATAAAATTGAGAGAAGCAGATAGTAGAGATTGAGCTCTAAATGTTGACAGAGTCTCTGGTTGATGACAGGCAGAAAATGGCATCACTTTGGCTTCTTTGCAAAACACATACAAACACCCTCCCTCGGCGCACACACACATACTTTGGATGCCAGCTTGAGTTCCCAGGCAAATACAAGCATTTCAAAGGGATAGGATGTTGCCAAGCACAAGCCCGTGAGTCAGAGTCGTTATTCTCTTTAAAGAAAAATGAATCCCAAGACGTGTTTGGTGACATTCATCATATATAAAGTCAGGAAAACAAACAGGTTGAAGAACATGCATTATTAACCAACTCACCAAAAACTCAGGGGGACTGCAACTTTAAAATGAAAAATTTAAAGTGTGTAGATTGACTGGCTGGTGACCAGATTTCATTCTGTAGCCTCTCTCACACACACCAGCTAAGTAGACTTAAAGAAACATCATCCAACTTCAGGAATAACAAAGACTGTTTCATGACACAACAATTGTGTTCATTTAATATTGTGTCCTACCCAACTATAACACTCTGAACCTGTGAAGGTCTGGCTCATCTGAGACAGCCGTCACTGTGTGTCAATGTGATCCCAGACTCCAGACTGCAGTGTGCTTCTTTCACTCCACTGGCAACACGAAGAGTCTATAGAGCTACTCCAAGTTCATCATCAAATGACCATTTTTTGTTGCATGTTCGCACTGTTTATATTTACATGTTCCCTCCCTCATCCTCTTTCTCCTGCTCTCCAGGGTTGGGGGAGCAGAGAACACAAACATATTATTTAATCAACAGTCCCTAAATTTTTCTTTGGATATGGTTAGTCTCTGAAATGACAAAAACCAAGTATGGCATTAAAAAGTTTGACCTGCTGTGAGATGCTGTAAGATTTTTCTCTCAATACTGATGCATATTGAAATTGAACAAACACAAATCAGGGTAAAAACTCTTTCAAACTCTCTCATTCACTCATGCAACAAGAGAGAAACTTTCAACAGATAAGAGACTACAAGTAATATCCTAATGGTGCAGTCACCAGAGAACTTGATTTGCTGGGTTATTTGGGGTCAAAGAGACTGCAGCTGTGATGGGTAAAGCGGTAAACCTCTCTGTGAGTTACATTAAACAACTGAGGACCAAAGACAGTACCTACGCTTAATATGAAGAAACATCCACCATGAATCCTCACACAAAAATACACAACAGAAAACAGAAAACAAAGGTAGTAATACTCTGAGTTGTCTGTAAACAGTAAACTTTACAATTTAGTTCATAGTAATGTCAAAACACTAACTAACTTGTAATCATGATGTAACAAAATATAAAAAGGTGTAGAAAATGTTTGACCTATCATTTTTTGTGTCTCTGTCTCTGTTGTTCCGACAAAGGGTGTGTGGTGTATGGCTGGAGAACCGTCTGTCTTTCTAATTTTCATTTTGTATAGATTTCTTTTTTATTTATAATTTTTTCCTAAAACAAAAACAACAAACTCAGGGAACAGAAAATCCTTACCTCCATTGGGTCCAGAGGCTCACCGTTCTTCAGCCAGCGGTAAGAGGGTTTGGGTTTCGCACTGGCTTTGCATTCCCACACAAGAGTGTCATCGATGGTCTTCTGCACATCCTGAGGCTTCTCAGTCAAGTGAGGTGCAGCTGTGAATTCACATGTCACACTTTGTTAATGAACCCTTCAATGCTTCAGATATACTTCAGCATTACCAGTATGCAGCACTTTTAGAAAAAATCAATGAACCAACCAAGCAGGCAATTAGTTCATTAAAGGAGCATCCAAGGGCAAAACTCATAAATCCCCTTCCAATTAACCCAAAGGTAACCTCAACTTCAAAATATATATAAATAAAAACAATTGTATTAGCTTAACACAAGAAAAGATCAATGCTGAATGATTTGATCTTTTTACAGTGGGGTTAAATGCTAAAAGGTGTTTGGTATTGGATTTGCAATATACCGATGCAGATCTCGACATGAATCAGGTTTAGTGAGTAATTTATATTTCATGGGATTTTTGCAACACAGAGGTCATTTTTTTATTTTTCATTTTCGGAAGAAAGCAGAATCTACTCCTATTTCTTCTTCCAGAACATCTTAAATCCAGAGAGAAACTGCTTTTATTTCTGTTTATTGTGACCCTTGTGTTACAGTAATTACTGGCATGTTGTCTGTCGTGACAGTGTGAGAAGATTTATGGTCATTGTCAAGCACTTGCATGAATACAGGTTACTGAGGTCAAGGGGAATCAAACAGTTGGGTGAGTCTGTCCAGCTGTGTTGCTTTGAAAATGTGATAAATATGACAATAATACAATTAATCTTAGTTGAAATAGCCTTTTATGTAACCTCTCCCCATGGACATGGGAGTACAGTTTGGGCTGGAACACTATCACCGGTACATTCAGTGTCAAGGACTCTGTAGATGTGCAAATTCTCACCCACACACAGGATGTTAAAGCAAATGATTTTCACACAAAATACAGACTCCTGTTATGAGGTCATGATGTGGCTATTACTGAATGTATAAATCTGATGAATAAGGTTGCTGTTATGTTTTCAAGGCCCAGAAGAGGATCAAAGTTTGTTACGGTAGAAAAAAGACTCGTATCCGATCCTGAACAGTTGGTGTTGAGTAACTGTCTGTCAACATAAAACCATAAGATAAACAAACAAAAATCTCAGGAAGTGTAAGAACAACAACAGCAGTGTGTTCCAAAGGAATGAAGGTGTTTCTCGCTGATTACTTCTCTTTGTATTTCAAATCTTCAGTAACTGTGCCATGCATTGCCCGAAGTGCAGTTTACTTGGTAAAAACAGATTTTAAATCATTTAAGCAACATTTGAAAACACTAACATTGAGGAAGCATTTGGAGGCCCCAGATTGGGAAGTAAGATTTTATTGTACGACCAAAAAAATAAGCCCTCTTCCTACTTTTTCTACCACATGAAACTGGATATCACAAATATACTTAGAAACAAGCAAGCAGTATCGGACTGAAGATAGATTTGGGTAGAGAAACAAATACTACATGACACCCTCTTACAGAAAAATACAAATTAAACTGTCAGGGATAACATAATGAGAGGAAAAACATGATGCAAGCGGTTCTTTCCAGGGCCAATCTGATGGTGTGTGAGCCCATTCAAATGCAGTCAACTGCTAAACCATGATCTAATTTCATAAATCCCCTGGAACTACAGAAGGACAATTAAGTGGGAAATGGAAAGAGAGGCCACCCGTTATTGTTCTGTGCACGCATTGGTTGGGTGTCGCAAACACCACATCCCCGTATTGATTCTCCTTTTCTTCTATAGAGTTGATGGATGTCCCACAAGCCCCTGTCTATGGGAGTTTAAAATGAGATTACAGATTTTTATCACCTGGCGGCCGGCCAGTCTGCAAGGCTTTGAGATGAGACAGGACTTAAATCTTACAAGGAGAAACATGACTTCCACAATACCACTGTAAAGAAAATGTGCAGAGGCCATGGCACATTGAACTACATAGGACAGTGATCGCTGCGGGCTGTCTGAAGTTATGGCTTTGTTTACAAATGACCATACAATTACGGTATCTTTTCCACTGTTTTAAGACCTCTTTGTTTTTCCAGTGAGGTACAATACAACTCTCTGATAAGGCAAGTCTATTCAAAGTCATTATTTAAAGTTAAGCTATCAATCCTCAGTCTGCCTACAGGTACAGTAAGCATTTCAAGTAACCCACAGGTGCTGCAAAAAGCTGCATTATCATATCAAAAGTATCCTCCTTCACAGCCAAGAAAAATCTGGATTTGATGATTTTAGTCAAGTCTATATCTACAGGGCCTTCTGGGCAGACATCATAAATGCAAAAACTGCAAAATAATGGAGAGAGAAACCATAAAAGTCCTTCATCAAGGACCATTAAAAGCTTTCCCAGAATATGAGCAATAAGTCCAGTGTTGGTGAGGGAAAAATCACCTCTCCCTGAAAGGTAGTATAAATCTGTGCAGGCTGCAGCCCCATGTTAGCCTCTGGCACAATAAAGAGCTTGTCAGAAATGAACTACTGGTAATAGGTTAATTTATTACCACATTCCACTATATGATGCAGTTATATATGAGATCTAATAAAAGCCACAGATTGCAGGACAACAAATTAAAGTTTTTGTGGGACTCACCAAAGCTACACTTTTATTCTGCAAGAGTTTCAATCAGACTCTGAACCTATGAGGCCATGAATCAATGGGTAGAGGATTCAGTAAAAGTCTGTCAAGTCCATAAATGTACAAGTTATGTTGGGTAAAAGATTGACAGGTTGAAAGGGATGAGATTTTTTTTTTGTCTCCAAGACAGCTTGTGTGAAGAAAGGTACATTTTGGATCAAAGTCAGCGAAACAATCCTCCTACTCACCGTAGAAAGACAGCTTTCCTTTCACCGAGTTTTTCCCTCTGCTGTTTTCAGCCACACATTCATATATCCCCGCATCCTCCTGCTGGAAGTAAGGGATCTCTAGAACTCCGCTGGCTTTATTTATGTCCACCTTCCTGCCAAAAGAGGCTCCATCAACTCTTCTCCAGCTGATAGTTGGCACTGGGCTAAAGGCATGAGAAATATAACACAGAGCAAGGTCACGAAATGAAAAATACTCCAGAGGACTGTTTTATCTCCAAATCCTGTTTGGCAGAAAAACAGGCTGAAGATGATACCTATTACTACAGTGAAAAATACACAGATAAATCATGTCAGTGTCTAATTAATGTTTCATACTAACAGACAGTGTGTCTCTTCTCTCTGTATTTGGTGTGTATAGCACACAATGGGGTCATTAAAATGTGAAATGTTCTGCTCTCAGAATAACACAGTTCTCACACATTACCATTTGGCTCAGATTAGTACAGTGAACATTTAATGGTCTGGTTGTGACTGTGATATAATAATACTCAGTGGGACGTACTTTCCAAGTGCAAAACATTCGAGTTTGACAGTTGAGCTCTTAGCGACAGGCACAACTTCAGGGAACTGCACTTCGATCTTTGGCTCGTATTCACCCATCACACCTGGAGTTACAAAGAGAAACAGAAATGATGCAACGCATGTCTTCAGGGAATTCTATTGGCTCAAGGCTTGAAAAGGTCACACTGAAATCAAAACAAAGTTAAGGTCACAACTGTGTTAGCTGAAAAAAAGAACTCAATTTCTTTGATCACTGCACCGGGTCCACGGGCTGATGGAAAAGTATCTTATTGTGCTGTTCTAACATCCAACAGGAAAACGATTTAAAATGCAATTATTTTAAATAAATGACACTTCATATCATCAAAATACTGCTAATCATAATAAAAAACTCTATCTTCTCTCAACATCAAAAGAGGAGGATGGGATGATGCAGTGGGTTTTTGTCTGGAAAATCAACTTCAAAGAAAACTTGAATTATGTGACTGGATGGATTGTTTAAGAGACTCGCCGCTCATCTCTTGACACACTGAGCAGCAAAGTACTGAATTTTATAACTACACCAAGAAGTGTTGTTTTTCCTAAAGCCTCAATAATCTGAAAGTTAAAGCATTGTGAGCAAACTAACTCCAGTTTTATATTCCGCAAGAACCGATGGACAAATATGACCTGAAGACGATTGTACTTATTTTGCTGAAGTTAGCCTGTAGCTAGAAAAATCAATGATCACTAGTCAAAACTTCCTCTTCTTCAAACTTGTCAACTTCCCCGGCTATTGATTATATAAGTCGCCTACAGTTTGAAAGTAACATGGCCACATTTTTCAACTTTGTAACAAAAATGACTTCATTACTCTGTCCAAACTTGTAATTCTTGTTTTTCAGTAAGTACGGAGAAAACCTCTCCTACCATCGACCCGCAGCACCAGAGGAGTCAGAGGTCCTTGAACGCTGCTCTTGGTGACGGTGTTTGTAACTACACAAGTGTAGTTTCCCACATCAGAGGGTTCCACTTTGGCAATGTAGAGGTTGCCCGTCTTCTGGGACACAAACCGCCGCGTGTCCTGGATGACAAACGATGGGTACTCATTGAAGATCCACGTGAAGGTGAGTTCTGTGAAGAAAGTCAAGGATGTTAGTTTCACAGATCACAAGGTCAAGACATCTGTTATACTTTGACTATATACGACTATCTATACCCCTGTTCAGGTAATTTGTACTTAATCAGCAGTTCCATCTCTTCACTGTGAGTGGGTGCCTTTGGGGAAAAAGCAATTAGTGATTTGGACTGAGTGCCAACCTTCCATGATTAAAATCACAATTCATAATTGAAGAGCAATTACTCTCGCTCACTGTTGGATAAATGCACTTAATACAGTTAAAGTTTCATGGTTCACTATGCTGAAGAGACGATGCTCCAAGTGTTGGAGAGTACGTTTTTTTGACAGGGGAGATATTTGCATCCAAAGCAGGAGTGCTGAGGTCATTTCTGTTGTAACCTGCTGGATTTAAAGGTTAGGTGGGGAAAAAAAGTGATTTAATGACAAGTACTCATCTTTTTCTTCAAAGACAACAAAAAGCAAAGAAAGAACCCAATAAGCAAGGCATACACCCCAAGTATCATCCACCCCACTGGCATTACTGTGTAGCACTGGAAAGCTGCTTTCACTGGGACACCTGCCTGGTGTCAAAATCAACCTGTTTGTCCAAAAACAACCAGAGGGGACTTCAGCAAAAACTGTGTAAAGCTGTTGAGAACAACAGCCTACCGAGTTGTGTTGAACAACTATGAAAATGAATGCATGAGGAAGAAAATGTAGCCATAACTTTCAAGAGTGGTCTAAGTCTTATCACTTCTCAGTGTTTCGACTTCTGGTAAGCCTTCAAACACATTGGCGTGAAGTACAAACGAGCCTTCTTGGATCATCTTTCATCGCGGTACCTGAAGCAGCACGCCTCCACAGAGGACTTTTTTTTTTTTTTGGCTATTTTTTAACATGGAGCTGGTTTTGGTGCGGCAGTAGAAAAGGGATGTAGATGTTCTGGCAGAATATCCATGAAAGTGAGAGGAGTGTTACATTTGTACAAAGCAGACTCACCATCTGTGAATTAAACTTATTATAACCTGGGCCTGCAGTTGTATTACCATTGTATCATTCAGTTATGTAGTCTTGTTCCATTTCATATCCTTTTATGTGGCCTTCTTTCTTTTTTATACCTCTTCTTGGGATTTAATTCTTAATAAAAATGTGTTTAAAAATACAGAGACGGTGGTGATACACAAACAAAAACGAGCATGTCCCTCTGTGGTCGTCATGCAGCAGCAGCAGACATTAAATCAACCCCTAAGCTGCAGGTCCTGCATAGAAAACCTGTACAAGGCCCCATAAACTCTGTGTATGACAGATCATGTCATTCAGAACTGTAGCACTGAGTCCACTATTTATTATTCCTGATAACAAGCTTTGGGGAAAGACCCCCTGTGCTTTCAACCAAATGGAGTGGAGTCAGAGAGACTTTGCACTAACAATCAGCAACATTATAAAAAGGAATGATGGTGTTTTGACATATTGACACAAGGATAGATTGCTCTGGACCATATTGCATCCCTGTCCCAAAAGCAATCTTGGCCGTTGGTAAAAACTTGTCTAAGCGATGACTCGGCACTACAGTACAGGGAATAATTGAGACGTGAGTTGGACACTCATCTACTGACTCAGTATTCTTCATTTCTGCTCTTCGGGGGGCAGGAGGATGTGTGGGCTGTGACATATTTCTGCAAACCTTGCAAATCACAACCTGACATAGAATCTCCAGAACTTGTGAGGTTGATGTGAGGAACCTTTTTTTATTACCAAGCACAGAGTGGGTGTTTTCATGTGGACTCACAGAGAGAAACTGACCTTGTGATCATCCTGACAACACTACTGAGACAGAATTTTGGACTACACAGGGTATGCAAATATGTCTGTATATTCTGTGCCCATATCCTCCTGACGAATGATGACTTCTACATTTAACTGTGTTTGTGGACCTTCATTTTTATGAACTAAATAATAACAAATCCTGTTGTTACAGTCATACATATGCTCACAACTTTATGAGGAATAAATAGATATTTTAGTAGCTACAACTTTCTGCAGTGTTGCAGATAGTAAGATAGAAGAGTAATACTATTTCTATATCTACCAGGCAACATTTCTGTTGTATGTCTTGTGTAGGGATTCCAATTATACACCAGGTTTAGAAGTCAACTTGAGTACAGGTTATATTTATTCAACACATAGATGTAGTCTATTTAATCTTAACACCGCATGCAGAAAAGAACAAGTTCAGCATCAACAAGCTAACAATGAGAATAAAAATGGCATCGCCTGTGTGGATGTTTTTACTGTTTCAGGGGAAAATAACATGTTAGCATCTTGAAAATGTGCTGGTAGGAGAGGGAAAGTTATGGAAGCAAATTTGTATGATAATTAAAATGAAAACAGAATAACAGAAATGCAATTGCGTTTTCAGAGTGTACCTGCATTTCTTGACCCATAAATAAAATTAAGAATAAATAAATAAACTGCAATAACGTTTTCTTTTTCAAAACTGATCATTCTGTAATCTAATTCAAATGTTAAGGAAAAATCCATTTGAGATTTCATTTTCAAAATATTCCCCATCAAATATGTAATAAAATTCAATTCAAAATGTCAAATCTGAAATTTAAAATAGATTTGCTGTATGGCTTTCAAAGTCAAAACTGCATAATTTGACTTAGAAATAAAATAAAGACTAAATAATACAAACTGCATTTTCATTTTCTTATCTGAGCTGTACATTTTGTAACACAATTCCAAAGAGAAACAAAACAGGCCATTGCTTTTTCATTTTCATGTCCGCCCGCAAAAAATGTTTCAAAACTCAATTCTGCTTCGCAATCCCAAGCGGCGCAGACAAGTGACATCCGCTCTTCTTGTCCACACATGTGGTGTTTCCATGGAACTGCGTTGCTTTCTTTTCGAGCTCGATCAACAATACAATGGCTTTTCCTGAAACCATTGCTCGAGCTTTGATAGATGCGAGGAAATACTGCAGACCTTGGCTACATATTCTGCAATCACAGATAGCAGATAGCAGTGCATAGATGTGCATAAATGTTAAAGGTCTCTATACATTTAATCAATTTAAAACTACAGTTTTACTTCTACAAATATAAGGCTAAGGAGCTGAAAATGCAAATGCATTTCTGTTATTCTATTTTCATTTGAATTATGATGTAGATTTGCTTCCATAGAAACTGTCCTCAAGTTTTAACACAAACAACTTTTAAGTCACCCGTCATCACAATTAAGATGTGTTAAGAAATACAAAGCAGTACTAACTGCAACTAGCGTAAGCACTAATACAACAAGTGTCATGATGCAAATACAATTTTTACAGAACTTTCACGGTAGTAGATCAAGGAGTTTGTGGGCTAGTGGGTAGATTTAGAACAGTATCTTGAGTACTTGCCCTTCCTCATGTGACCTCTATACACATTTACTGTCTGATCAACGACAACATCAGTGGCATAAACACAGCCACAGACATATAAGCTTCTCTTGTTAATCCAGCGAGTATGCTTAGTTTGATGCTAGATGTAAACATAACACAAGAGCAAGTGTCACATTTCTCTTTTGTATTTGTATTTATGCTGGAAAAACAATTTTGGAATTTCCCCTGTGAGACTCATAAAGGTATATCTCATCTTATCTTATCTCTAAGAGTGCTCTTCTGGCAGTGCTCTGAGACAGAACTCTTTGTTATCTGTGTATTAACAAAATTGACTCTCGTGAGCAAGTACAAAAAAATGCACTGATATGTCCTTTCTAAATTATCAAACACCTTGCTTACAGCTCAGTGTGCATAAACTACAAGCTGTAAAATACAAATCTATACCAGTAATGTTTGGTACCCAAATTCAGGGACATGTTGCATGTTATCAGTTATTGGTATTGGTTATCAGTTTCGTTTCAAAAGCATCCACACAATCCCACGTCATGTTGGTCAGTTTATGTGAAAATCCAAAATAAAAAAAAGGCTTTGACAATTTTTTCTAGGGGTATCTGTTTGGATATCAGCTTGAAAAATTACTTCATGGAGTCTCGTAATTATCTCATCTCGGATCAGGGGAAACTCTCAATGTGATCCTTTTTAGAGTGTTTTTGTTGAAAGTTTAAAACAAGACAGGGCATGTCTGTTAATGTTTTCAAACTTCTGCAAAGTATGGGGTAAGCAGTTTTTCCCAAGTTCCGACTCATTCTGCAAGTTTTAGGTAACCCTCCCACGGTGTCAGCTCCATGTTTGCCAAATCAGCTGTATAAAAGAAAATAAGAGAAATATCCCTCCAAATCCATAACTCCTCGTTTACTGAATGTCATTGGCTGACTGAGGCGTATTTGAGTTTTTGCATGTTATATATTTTTGTCCCACAGTTGACTCCATCCTAGCCTTGGTGGCTTATACCAGCCTTGACTTCTCAGCCTGATCCAACCAGCCCACAGAGAGAACAGCTGTAATATCCTCTTTCCTCTAAATAAAACATCCCAACTCTCATGCAGACAAGATCATGTATATTTAATGTCTGTTTTTGAAACAATTTCTAACAAAGGTGCAGGGCATGGCAAACTGGAACAACAGCAAATAAAAGGTTACTAATTGGTTAGTTAAAGATTCATGGTGAGAAACTGGAAGCAGGAAATCGGAAGTGGAGAGCAGCAATGGTTGTATTTGATAATTTGACTTGAGAGCCTTCTGCGGATGGGCAGTAATGGAATAATGCAATCATGACTGACAGTGAGTGGCAGATTTTCATTGTGGTTCCATTTAGCCTCTGTATAATGAACAGGCAGCATCAATTCCCCCTTAATAATTTGAGAAGAGGGAAGAGAAATGGAACATGACAGACCAAGGACATGCTGAATCCAGAGTGGATTTTTGTACAAAGGGTGTAGTGTTCGAAAGCAAAACATAAGCACAGCTTGTATGCAAAACTTTATGATACAAACTTTGTACCCTGTACATTTGCAGCCATTAAAGGGATATTACGGCATAAATCTAAGTAAGGTCAAGGTAAATCTAATTAAGGTCAAACACACTGTAACACCGAGTTAGACGCCCCCCTTGAGAGATGAATGTTGCCGACTGCTTGCTTCTCTAGTTGTACCAACTTTAGTAACAACCGCAAGATAGCAATACACAGCGGTCTGCGTCTCCAGGCACAAACCTCAACCAAAAAGCCACTCTATAGCCACACATAACGCTCAGAACAGCACCTGTCTTCATCAACAGTACAGTGCATCCGGAAAGGATTCATACCACTTCACTTTTTCCACATTTTGTTATGATACAGCCTTATTCCAAAATGTATTAAACTCCCTTTTCCCTAAAAAAATCTACATAAAATACCTTATAATGACAAAGTGAAAAACTTTTTTAGAACATTTTGCAAATTTATTAAAAATAAAACACTCAAATGATGCATATACATAAGTAGTCACACCCTTTGCTATAAAACTCAAAATTTAGCTTAGGTGCAACCTGTTTCCACTGATCAGCCTTGAAATGTTCCTCCAACTTGATTGCAGTCCACCTGTGGCAAATTCAGCTGATTGGACATGATGATGGTGACGTATGCCGATACACCGCCGGTCTACCAAAATACCACTAGACCAGCTGCGCCCCACCTGCGCTGAAAGCTGACCAGGTTTGAATCGGCGAGCTTTCAGCACACTTTATACGCCACCGGTGAGCACGAAAATGTCACTGCGGCAGCTGATTCTGTCGACACCTCCCTCTGCCATGCCACCACGCCCAGCTTGGCGGACCTCGGTGTGTCTCACCGGCGGCCACGAAAATAGAGCCCATGGTGTTAACGTGTGTTTGACCATAACTTAAATTTACGCCGCAATATCCCTATAACTATAAGAGTTACCAATCTGAAGGCCTTATGAAATATGAATTTCTCTATTCTGCTATTCTATTTTGTTCCCAAATTCAACTTTTTCTATTTTTTTTTAAAAGTCTGTGTTTTACAATGTGACCAAATTTTGTTTTTTTTGAAAGATTTTAAAGGAAGATTTTAAAAGACTTACAAAAAAAACAAGAAAAATATCTTGAATCACTGAATTACAGTCACATTTTAGCTAACCCTATGATATTCTGTGTTTAACTAACAAATTCTTTGATTCTGACCATGTTTTCCACATTGCAGAAATCTTAAAGCCCTACTATCTGTATTCACAACACAAGTTCACTTTATGAAATGTCCTGGGTCACGCACATGAGAAAAATCCCTGCAAGCTATATGTGTTTTCAGTGGCCAGCAAGTAGTCTCTGTTCTGAGGTAGATGCACAGTATGGGGAGAACAAGTGATTTCAGCCTTGAGTAAATCTAAAAGGCTAGTTTCCATTAGTGAAAGGAGGTCAGATGCATTAGGTCCCGGTCTAACCACAGCCATTCAGACCCTCTCAAAGTGAAAAGAGACACAGACCAGCATCTAATGCAAATACAGTGCCATGCAGTGAAACTACTGCAGCAGCTCCCCTGGATATTTGACAATATTTTGGTCATTTTTTTAAAAGCTCTACTTCAATATGTCTTAGGAGTTTTAGAGCATCCTGCACACACCAAACAGATTCCTGCAGCTGTCTTGAGGGTTTTGAGGCATCGTTAAGATGAAATAATGGTCTCCTGAATCATGCATGGAATATTGAAATCCTTTAAGGGGGAGATGAGGCAGATTCTTGTCTATGGCTGTACAGTGCTGATCATGAATTATGTCCTGTCATCCTTTATGGGAGTATGGTTCCCACTTTTTCAGCACTGTGAAAGTCTATTTAAAAGCCAGTGGGGATCGTCTGTATTTCAGATGTGCAACAGTAGACTCATAGTGCTGTAAATAAAGTATTTTATTGTCTTTGTGAGCATATTTAAGCATTTTTCAGATGCTTGTAATGAATTCGTAAGTTTTTTATGTATGATGCATCTTGCAAAACCTTTCATAACTTTCTAATTAGTCTCTTAATGCATTTAGAAGATTCTGATTAAAACATCTCCTACCTGTCTTGTCGTTTCATTTTGTGTTTCTGTTACACAAAACCTAGTGAAATAAGTGAAGGTAGGATGTTGATCCCTTCTTTTAAAACATAATTTTAAGTATTTTTACTACTTATCATTGCCTTCCCATTAAACATCTATGCATCTCTCCTCAAGGATCTATTTATATACATATATATATATATATAAATGTGTGGATGAAGAAAAGTATGCGATTTAATAAACTCTCCAAAATAGCCTAAAAAGAGACGAGAAAGGGATCATGATGAACGAGTGTGTCTACGTTTATGTGTGTATATTTGAATCTGCGAGCATGTAACTGAAGCTAAATGGGGTGCATCATTACCATCACCTATACGTTCATGCTAGCCTTTCAACAGAGATGTTGGAAAATTGGAGATGATTCATCCTATAGCACATCTCAGCATCCTCAACATCTCCATCAATAGACATAATCTACGGTGACAGCAGCGGCAAATATTGTCAGAAAATGGATCATTCCAGGCAATGCGCTGGGTCTCCAGAGAACAGCTATGATCCATCACAACAAGAAAGAATGAATGGGCTGGAGGTGTAAATAAAAGAGGTCTGTGCATTACTGGTTGCTTGGACAAAAGCGTGCTCTGGCTGCATTTATTTGATAGGAGAGGAACAGCAGGGAAGCAAACTGACCCGGTTTGAATAAAATGGACTGAGGTTAGCAATTATTCACCATTCACCCAAATAAAATTACTGCTGAGAGCTAGTCAGAAAACACTGATATTGCATATGACCTATGAACTATGAACATTTATTTCAAACATCATTTTTCTTTTCTTCTTAAGACTACACCTCCTTTGTACTTGTCAGGGTCACATTGTTTTATCAAATAACTCAGTTTGTAAAATCCAATCTTATGTTATTTTTTAAACAAAACAAACAAAAAAAAAAACATGAACACACTCATTATATGTTCTTGTTAATTTATTTTTTTGCTGGCTTTGGTATTCAGTTATATTCTCTGTGTATTTTCCCTACTGTTTTTGTTCCCTAGTGTTCCTGTTCCCTGTGACCCTGTTTCCCTCCTGTTCTGAATGTTTTATTCTTTAGATCAGTTTTCAGTGTTTCCTGTTTTATTTTGTAGTAGTCCATCATTGAGTGTAGTCTTGTTTTCCGTCCTCAGCAATTGTGTCTTAGTGTCTCACCTGCCTCTCGTTGCTTGTTTCCCAGTGTGTGTTTATAGTCCCTGTCTCCCTCTCTTTCCTGGTTGGTTTATGGTATGTCTGTATGTCTCTGTTTGTCCCTGATCTCCTCATGATTTTAAAAGTGCGCTTTGTTAACTCAATTTTGGCTCCTTGTGTTTTTCCCTTTAGAATTTTCAGTTGGACATTTTTGAAGCAAGTTTTTGGTTGTTTTGGGCTAACTCTTTGTTTAATAAACTTTTCTCTTTTCAAGTTTGTATATGGGTCCTCCCTTTTATTTTGTTTCCCCAACATGACAAAAAGAGCATTTACCTCAGCAACATAAATGCTGACATTTCTTGGTCCTGTACATCCTCCTGGTAAGTGTTTATTTATACGTTTCAGGTATCTGTAGGTCATTTCTACAGTTGACACTGAGTCTGTTCACTCTGGATTACCTCAGCAGTATGAACCCAAGAGGAAAACCATTATTTGTCTTAGGTTTGATAAAATGACATCATGGTAAGAAAATCATAACAAATTGTTGTCATGTGTGTTCTCAAGAGGGGAAGAAATATGACTTTTAAAATGGTTGTTTGGATGGATCATTTCTGTCACATGACAAATAGTTGGGAAATCTAACTTCTGATGGCTTTTGCAGCTCAGTGTCATTCAGATCTGTGTCTCAGTTGATTTGTTTTGATGTAGAACTGATTGTTAGCTTAATTTGCAAGACGATATCTGCTCCTGAAAGCAAAACAATCATTTGATTACTGCCAATGTGAGTCAGGATGTCATTGAAACAGTGTGTGTTCCACTTACTTTTGCTCTTTATACACAGACTGTTTTTCCTGCATACACCAAAGCTTGTGAAACAGGATAAGTCAATATGACTCAGACTAATGGCAAAAAACAGAACACCTCACATGTTGAACTGAATATGTTTTTTAAATAGAATCTAAAAATCATTATGCTATTTTAAGTGTATAATGTGGTAGTATTCTTAGTAGTTCATGCAGAGTCTATTATTTTCATTATTCAGGCCGTCCCTGCTACCTTGGCTTGTGACACCACCCACCTCAGACTCAGCAGGAGACGGATTATAGCCATGAACTGACATGAAAACTGACTAGCAGAGCACTATAGATACACTAAAATGCTTGGGTCTACCATAATCTGCCAATTTTCAAATGTTAGTGGCCCATGGAAGTGAAGTCTGCCGCCCTTTTATGGGTGTTATTGGACAGTTTACCTTTGCAAATATCCTGGCATGACAAGTCGTTTGATAATTCATCAACGAACCCCGGCAGGCAAAAACAGACTTGACTGTTGGTGGACAACCCATGGACTCCATGTAGGATTTGCTTTTTTCCCATTCATTAAGTCAAAGAGAGAATGTACTAAAAATAAATAAATAAATAAATAAAAATCATTTTTGTTCGAGGCTCATTGTCCTTAAATGAATTGGCCAATATTCTAACACGGGTAGGACGGAAGGGAACTGAAGTAAACTAAGTAACTGAACACGCAGCAAGGGGAATTGTCAACCAATCTGCATAAAAATAATTCTGCAGAACACTTTTCAAATCAAATATCATAATGTAATATTTTATTGTAACATTAATGCCATTGATAATATGAGTTTATGTATAGCCCAGTGGCATCACAGTATTTTGCTTGGATTTGCTCTGCATCCAATACGATGATGATGGAAAAAAGGTAAGCAGCGCTTCAGATTATATGCTTGTGAGGCTGTGGTTATCATTCCCTTTTAAGAGCAGGTACAGGCTTCCTATCAGACTGGATGTGACAGATATGGGCCAGGTGCAATGCAAACCGAGTTGGTTACTGACAACATGCCCTGCAGGACTCGAGTCCCAAGTGATCATCGTCGTGTTTGAGAAAGTCCAAGGGGAGCTGAGAGTCTAAATAAAGGAAGTCAGTTTTAGAAACAAATGACAGACAAGATAAACATGAATTATTAAACAGAATTATTTAATAAGCCCCTCAAGATAAAAACATCGAGACCCAGATATTGCATCTCCAATGACATCTTCGTAAACATCTGCGACTTTGTCAAATATGCAAGATAGCAGTCAGAACTAAGCAGCTGGAGGTCTTGAGCAAAGAGCAGTATCAGAAGCCAGGGGATTCTCCTGAATGTTATGAGATGAGCGCGGAAAGAGAGATGTTACATATTTAATACTAGTTCAAATAAAATAGTCTCTTGGAATCATTTTATTGCACAGGGTAAAGCAACAAAAGATGACGAATGACACAATACCCTGCAGGATTTACCATCTGCTATTCTAAATGTAAAGCATCCCTTTTTATCAACAATGAAAGAAAATTTGATTTAAAAAGGAGATACGTTAAGATGTGAATAATCAGAGGAGGTGAGGCACAAACACTGTTAGATCCACAACAGGGGTGGCCACCCACCTGCTGTGACTTAGTAAAACTGAATTCATCATTCATTTTGTTTCTATACTTTCAAACGCAGGTGTGAAGTTCACTTTCTTTAAGAGTCATTTTACCCCCAGTCAAGGACATTCAACACTTCTAGTTCTTTTATGAATTGAGCAGCAGGGGTCCTGAATAATTCTAAAGCCTTGAAAGGTAAGTATAAGTAAAGACCTTAAGTCTAAACCTTCTTGGCCTTATCCTTCTTTGTTATACAAATCTTCCAAATCTAAAAACAAAATTTGTCTGGAAGTAGTCAGTTACCCTTGAGATATTTTTTACTTGTCACAAATAAATTTGATCATTGTGTCCACGTATGACTGACGTGTCAAAACATGTTTTTGCCGATTAAGTGATAAAAAAAAGTCCGCTCTGCAGCCTTTGCGTGGCACACACTGGGGAAATTATCTGCCAATTTCACAAGAAGTGACTTCACACAGTCGAAAAAGAAATGAACTAATGAATTAGAACTTGCTCTGAATACTCTAGAAATAGACACATTTATTGGAGACTTAAAATTCAGACTTTGTACAAGATGACCTTCAGTTTTCCTGCATTACTGAAATAGATCAAACATGCTGCCATAACCCCATACAGGGAATTTATCAGTTAACTAAGTATAGTACAAAGCCGATGTATGAATCTGGAAAGACTTGAGCTTTATCCATACAAACAGATTTTTTTTTTTTGACTCAGGGATTGTAATATAAATTGAACAATGTCAGCATAGTTCATAGTTAATAGAGATAAAAATATTTCTCCCTCTTCCATCAGCTTACACACCTGTGGCATGTTCATGCAGTGATGGCACATTTGGAGGGGGCATCATGATCTAAAACCTACATCAAGGTATTCTTCCACACATTTTGTGGAAACAGTATTATGTCAGAGTAACAAAAAATAAAAAAGGGGTCGCTAATGTAAACCCTTGTTCACTCGCTATAACCCTAATTTTATTAACCTTTGTGTCCAGTTCTTACTAGGGATGGCCCATCAGCCTTCTGTTCCCCATTCATTATTTGACTTTTTTATTCTTTTTTATATTTATATATGTAAATTTTTTCAAACGTGCGTGCAACACAAGAAATTAAGCTAAAACAAACAAACAAAACCAATGAGAATGTAAAAAACAACAATAACAATACTCAAAGCAATAAATAAATAAATAAATGAATGAATGAATGGATGAATACTACTAATAATAATGTGAACCCAACATGTCTGAAAAGGGGAAGGATGAAGCATGATGCTTGTTTAAACCTACCCCTCCTCCGCTACTCGGTTAACTGTCAGTTTCTCCAACATATTTACATTATATTTACAAAAAAATAGAGAATAAATAGAGTGAATAAACAGGAACATAAATCATTGATGAAAACACCTGGGACCTGTTCTACGAAGCAGGTTCAACCTAGCGAGGTAGCCTTGGAGCTACCTCGCTCAACTTAGCGCGGTAGCCAGCGGTCTCGCTAAGCGGTTTTACGACGCTGGTTATCGACCTCATAAGTGGATCCAGCTCTGCTATGAGCGCGTGCACACATATAAGGCGGAGCCGGCCGCATCTGACCAATCGCGAACATGGATCAGTCTGGAGCGTCAGAGCAGGCTGGAGAGTGAAGGACCGCAGACTTTACAAACGAGGAACAGGAGACGATCATGAGAAAGTATGAAGAATTGAAAGCTATCACAAACCTCAAAAGCAACACTGTCGCCGCCGCAAAAGCACGGAGGGAATGCTGGCAGAAAAGTAATCTTTGATGTCATTATCACCCTGAAATAGAGCTGTTCAACATGCGCTTTTAACTAAGGTGACAGTCCCCGAATTGGATGATCTGTCCCCGGCTAAAGCTGTCCCCGAAAATGTCCCCGATTTAAGCGTTTCATGAATGAGAACAAAAATGTTGCATGTGGGCTAGAACAACGGTTATTACAGTAGGTAGGAAGCACAAGTAAGCAGTCCCGAACAACAGTATTTACGTGGTAATTATAAGGGGCATGCGCTGCTACTAAATAGTACCGAGATGTTGTCTGTGATCGCGCAGCCCCTGCAGCCCATGCCCATTCATTTCCCAGATGAATTCATTCATTTGTTCATTCCTATCGTGTTTACATGTTTTGTGTGATATGTCGGCCATATAAGCCTTTCATAAAGGTGGTCATCCGGAGAAAACTCTTCCTGTAAACTCTCGCCAGCCGGAGTGCTCCTCCTCGGACAATGCGAGCACCGAGGTCTACAGGATCCTCCGAGAACGGACAAGCCGTTTTTCAAGAGAGCTCATTGGTCAGTGGGCGGGGTTTTTATACTCGGTGAGTTCAATCTGGAACTTAACCTGCCCTGGAGCAGTTTAGCCGTTCAGCGTATGTTGCTATGGAGACTCGCCTCGCTAAGAGGTGAACCCGCGTCGTAGAACAGGAAACCCCGAACTTATCCTCAAAGTTACCTCGCTAAGCAGTAATCCTGCTTCGTAGAACAGGCCCCTGATGGCTAAAGCCCATTTTCCTCCCTGTACCTGGTGAGAACCATGTGTTTGTAGTCTACCGTTTTCTAAACTGGGTCATGCATGGACATTTCTTGAGCTCCACAACTAATCTGTTCCACAACCTTACTCCACAAACCGAAACACAAAAACTTTTTAATGTTGTATGTGCATGCTGATGCTTTAAGTTAAAGTCCCTCCTCTCCATATTGAGAGGTGTAAACACTTAAGTCAGCAATGTTTTGTTCAGTCAACAAAACCAAAACAAAAAGTCCTAAGCTTTTTCATTTCTTAGTCCAGCTAGAAGGGAGGGAATCTCACCCTAAAAAGAGGATCAAATTAAATTTAATTCAGTGATTTTTAATTCAATTCAACCCCTTAATGGCTATGATCTCGAGAAAAAAATGATTCAGTCTGTTTGGTTATTGCCCTTGCTTCTTTGTAAATTTATTATCATAATACAAGTTCATTCTCACTCAGTGTTTTTTAACTTTTCTAAGATGAAAAATTGGACATACAGTACAAACTCAAATAATTGCAAACACCAGCCACACTATGACAGTCAATAAAGTATTGATATTTGTAACTTACACATACTGTATATGTTGGCTTCCCTCCCCTTTTAAAACAAAGAGCTTAACTGTCAAATAAAAGAATAAAGCTGATTCAAACATGAAAAGGATCATAGCTTTTAAACCAGTCCAGGAAGCTGCAGACCAGTACACTCAGGTCTCAAACATCACAATCAATAAGGATTTCTCATCAGTTAGTCTTCATACCTCTACCAGCTAGCATGGTTGTTAAACTCAGACTGTTTTAAATGCTCTGCTGTATGAGAGTCACAAAACTGGTGAGCATTTAATACTGCACACTTAAACTCAAGGCAGTGCTGCTAAACGCAACTTTTACTAGATGGTGAGAATGTAAACATTGGACATTAGATCAGCTTTTTAGCATTATTTTTTTATCATTCCTTTTTTCACTCTTTTTAAATAGCCAGATTACAAAATCAACTAACCTCAATCAATTTATGGCAGGACATCCATCCATCTCTCCAAAAGATCCAAAAGACATTACAAATAAAAAGGTATTCTCTGCCACAGAAATGGGCTGGCTTTCCAAAGCAATAAATTTAAGCACCCTCCCTGTGATCTTTTTGGCCTTTTCATTCTTTTGAGGATATCTGTTATTCCTTTTTTGTCCTGAGTTTGTTGCTTTTGCACAGCAGCCTTCTCTTCCAGGGTTATTGTAAACTCAACCTGACAATCTTTGTAATGCAAAGTGCTTATTTTTAGTACATCATTAATATTTCATTTTTTTAAAGATATTTTGTCATGACTGGTATATAGTGACAGTTCTAGTTTGAACTAGTGATGACTATGTCTCGCAAAATCAACAATCATGGCAGAAATTGACACCTGTGACGGTGCTGAAACCAATACACCACCCACACCTGGTGCACATTGCATGTAATCTATCCAAGAGGAAATAGGTCAATGCTAGTTCACATCTAGCTTGCCTTTAAAATGCTACCTAACTATTGATCAATACACTCCCTGAAAATGCACTTCCATATTGCCCAGAACTTACCCATCCTCCTTCATGCATAGCCTCTCCGCAGTTCAAGCTTCTATAGTAACGTTTTGTTAATTAATGCCTATATATATGGTATTTCCCTTTAAATAACAGATGTTCTGCTGAATACAAACAAATAGGCTGTGGTAGAAGTGTCCTGACTGGGTCCAAAAAAAGCTATGGGCCTAACACTTGTAACACTGCTGCTGTTTTCTTTTTAGCCGGATGGATTGTGTGTTAGCATTTGGATACCATGCATCAGGGGAATTGTCTAAAAAAAACTGCACTACAAGGATGCCAAATGTAAACATATGGCTCATTGTTCCAGCTTTCCTTTTGAAGAAGAGGTGAGATGTCTCATTTTAACATATAGAAGCAAAGCATAACAAATGCAGGGCGACTGTGCGGTTTGTAAGTGGGATGAAAACACCTTATCCTGTTTTCACTACAGCAGCTCAACGACATGGTTTTGCACTGTAGCAGCTCGCAAATTAGTGGACCTGAGTTCACACAAAACAGCACAAGCCAATAGTTTGTGTTCAATATGTAAATAGCATTCAAATCCAGCTACTAAAGCTTACATGCTTCTGTCTTTAACTATCAGCATCTTACAGTATTTTATAGTGGATATAATAGAACTAATGATTTTACTTTTAAAAGTAACAATCAGCAACATGACACACACGACTTATTAATAACAACAGAGTTTGTGTTTTCATGCCAAATGTGTATAAAATTTAACATAGGGTGACCAGATTTCTGTAATGAAATCCGGGGACATTTGGTGCGGGGGGGGGGGGGGGTCACGGGGCTGCGTGATCACAGACAACATCTCGGGACTATTTAGTAGCAGCGCAGGCCCCTCGTAATAACCCCTGGTCATCCAATTCGGGGACTGTCCCCGGAAATCGGGGATGTCTGGTCACCTGAATTGTGACACAATTACATTGATCTTCCATTTTTACATTATTACTCCTGTTTATCTGCTTTTCCATTCAAATCAATTGAATATTCATTAGAGACCTGAACTGGAACCTCACTGCTTTATTTAACTGATTTGCAATACTAAAATACCCAACAGAAAGTTCCTGACTAAAAAGATTTTTTATTTGACTCATCTGCCCTCAACTTAAAGTCTCTACTGATGTAAAGGGCCAGTTACCTGTATTATTGTTTTTTTTTGTTTTTGTTTTTTTTAAACTGTTTTCCAGAGAAATACAAATGAATTTTACCACAAAACTAAACCAAAGAGTTAATGCGTTTAAGATGCTCTTCATAACTGACTTCAAACAAACATCCTCCCTCCCAATCTCAACCCCAACCCCACCGCCTGCTGTGTTCAGTATGTTGTAGTACATCCTTATTCTCCAACTGTGGATAATTACATCAAGCCTTGCTGGCTGCCAGAACAAAAAGCCCATCTCCAGACCCCTGTGTGGGAGTTAATAGCACTGGATGCTAACTCCCATTGATAGTGTCATGGATGCAAAGGGCTGATGAGAAGCAAACAAAGCACCTTCATAGAGAAGCTCTATTACTCAGCCTGGCAGGGCCCCAGCCACAGACAGCCTCTTCAGCTGGCATGCCAAAGTTTTTCCTCGCCCCCACTGAAAATCAGGCTGACAGGCCGGAGTGTCCCAAAGTAAAAATGACTCACTCCACTGACCTCAACAACACAAACAAACAGCCAGGAGATCTGAGGGGGTGAGCGCAAACATGACTTCCACTTTGTCCAGATAAACATGGAGTAGATAAGGGCTGAGAAAAGTGATAGTGCACTGTTGTGACCACATTACTGATTACTCACTTTCAATGAGTGTTCGCTGAGCTGCAGCATGAATAACTTCTCATCAAAACAGAATCTGATAATGCTGATTAAACACTAACAATAAGCCGTCTTACCTCCTGAGTGCTGGGGTGGGCCACACAGTAAGACCACTCCTTGACCTTCACGAACCCTCACTGGACTTCGTCTCTGGGTCTTGAAGTTCTCCAGGTCTGTTTGCCAAAACACAAAAGCAATAAAGCAAAATAATCAATTCATTTTCTCCAAAACCCAAAAGCACACGGGAACCACAGAGGTTATACTCGGCTGTTTACAGAGATAAAAATGCACTTGGAGTCATATCTATGGCTGCTCAATAATTTCATATCCTGGTATAACAAAGCTTCTGACTGGAGTTTGCCGCTGCCATGTGATGCAGAACTTCTGCATATTTTCCTGAAACATCCATGCTATGTGTGCATAAATGCAGACAAAATGCTGTAAAGTCCAAAACACTTCTGACTGGAGCAGAAAGCAATTCCTCAAGTATAAGTCACACATGAGTGAATTTAATTGGAACTGCGTATTGTTATCACTTTCTGTGTTTCATCCACTGCACACGGACCTGCAACAATTAAATGACTAAGACTGAAACATCATTTGTATGGAGACCGATTACTTGTTGACAACCTGCTGAGAGAAAGCAAATAGAGACAGCAATCCTCGAACACTCGGCTTTTCTTGCCTGCTGTGGCTCTTGGAGATATCACAGGCTTTGCAGCCAAATATGCGACTGCCATATAATGACATAATCAAGACTGAATTCAAAAACAGGGAGGAAGAATGCAAAACTGACACCTCCTGTGTACAACCACAGCAGGATCATTCTCAGCATAATAAATACAGTACATGATCTCTGCAGACCTTTTGAGTAATGGAAAATTGCATCTAGCAGAACTGTATAACATTATTACAACTGAAAGGGGCCTTATTTTTGGTTCACAAATGAAAGCTCTGCTATGACTTCACAAATTAATTAGAAGTTCATTTTGTTCTTTGGATATCTGCTGCAAACAGATTGTGTGTATGCTTCAGTAGCCAATTGTAAATCTATGGCTGATCCATGGATAACAATCGCATAAATCTTCACTGTGCATGAACAGATTCAGCACACATAGGCTCCCTCTGGACCAACAAGCCATATATAGATCCCTCTGGGTGAGAAAAGCTCCATAATGAATATGAGAGGTGTATTCATTTACCATTTCAATGCTGTATACGTCAGAAATGTGTGTAAAAGCAATTATTATAAAATATAGTTCATGCAGTTCAGTCTTGTTCTTGAATTTTACGTACATCACATCCTATGCAATAATGTAAGCTATCTGAAAATAATAGAAAATGCATAACCTGCCTAACCCTTACTAGACTGTGGCAGAATTATGAGTAAGTTAGAGAGATAATTAACGCTTTTGATATTGTGGGTCTGAAATTCTGCTTCTATGTTGTCTCTGACTTCTAGTGCAGTCACCCACTTTAGCAGGGGCTCTACCCCTCCTTAATGGCTACTGCCATATGCTATAATTGCTCGACTATCCAAATGTAGATGACACATGACATACTGTAGTGTGGCTTAGGTTAGCAGTATTCTGAGCTGATAAATGGAGATGAATTTGTAAGTAGGTAATATCTGGTTCAAGTAGTGGATAACCATGGGACTTAATTAACCGCTCGAGCAGAACAAGATGTAACCAGTACAGGCATGTTAACCTGCATGGAGGACTAAAGTCTGGTGCTGCTGTATCTGCTGTTTCCTACAACAGAACATAGATTGCTGTCAGACTCTGTGAGCCCATCTTTAGTAGACTTTGTTCAAATGTGACCCTTTATTTTACTTTAAACTATGGGTATTTAAACATTTTGTTCATGCCTGCCAATGTGAGTGTTGACTCTGGTTCCGTGGTTGGAACCCCGTTTTTTTTTTTTAGAGGAGGGTATGACGACCCTAAGGCCTAGTCAGGACTTGCTCCCTCTTCCTCACCAGAATCAGGGTTTTGTTTAGTTGGTTTTAGCCTCCTTCGGACTTTGGTTTTGTACCTGACAACATGCTGCACACACACATCTTCCACTCATCCAACAACAGATACACTGACTAACCGATGCTCACACCCTGGGACGCAGATAAGGGGGGAAAAAGGAGAAAGAATCTAGGGGCCCATGATTGAAAGGGGCCCAGAGAGGCCCCTAATAAAGTTACACTGAAAAAAAATAACATGACTCTTTGTTTTAACTAGGGATGCACGATATTTATCAGACCGATACAATATCGGCCGATTTGGGGGGAAATTACGTCATTTTTTATCGGTCCGATAGGTGCATTTTTCCGATAGAAAGATCCGATATATTAATGAAATTACGAGTAACGTTTGCAGGCGGAGTAGCCGCCCGTCCGAGACGCGCTGGTTACGTCATCTATCGCGCCTTACTCGCAGGTCCCAAGCCTGACCCCGTCACTACCTGACAGATAATAAAATGTCTTCACCAGCATGGTCGTTTCTCTCAGTGGCAGAAGATGACAACAGCATTGCTATATGCAAAACCTGTTCAGCGAGGATTCCGAGAGGAGGAAAGAAGACGTCAAGTATTAACACAGCGAATCTGATAGCTCATCTGAAAAGTCGCCATCGTGACGAAGCGGTAGTAAAAGAATATGAGACAGCCGCCGAAGCTGCTAGCGGTACTAAAGCTAAGACAACAACACTACAGAGGATCGATGTCCCCATTCAGCGGGCGTTTAAAAACTGCAAAAGCTTCTCAAGAGACAGCGAAAAGGCTAAAGCCATTAACGACAAAGTGATGGAGTTCATAGCGGTCGACGACCAGCCTTTTTATGTCGTTGAGAACCCGGGTTTTCGCAAGTTAATAGCACACTTTGAGCCACGTTACACTCTCCCAAGCCGCCGCTTCTTCTCGGATGTGTCTCTTCCTGCACTCTATGATATTGTCGCCACATAAATTCACAACCTGATCGACAAGAACGGACTACACGTGAGTTTTACCACAGACATATGGACGTCAGATGTTAGTCCGGTCAGCATGCTAAGCCTAACGTCTCATAATGGCTCCTTTACAGTTTACAGTTCTGTTGAACAGTTCAGGGGATCAAATGAAGTTCTGCTTTTTGCTCTGTTATTGTTATTTATAGCAAATGACCACATTTGAAGAGCCAAAAACTTTTGTTTGTTGTTCTAGATAGGCCAGAGCAACAAAAACATCAGTTTTCAATCGCTGCATTCTGCACAAACTGCAGATTATATGAAGATTATAATAAATGTAAAAATATGAATTTATCGGTTATCGGTATCGGTATCGGCCATGAGAAGAAGAAAATTATCGGTTATCGGTATCGGTTGAAATTTTTCATATCGTGCATCACTAGTTTTAACTAATGTTTAATCACAAACATTTTAAAAACAGCGTCCTGGTTACAATAACTTTATTTTTTGGAAACTTTAACAGCCGCTATATTACATAAAATCTCTATTTACATAAAATGGTTCAGTCCAATCGAATCCGCTGCCAGCAGCACAGCTGTATGTCACAGTCGCCGGCACCAGAGCGGCTAAGGGGCAGCAGATAAGACATTATGCCTAAAAAATCAGGCCGCCAAAATCACAAAGAAAGGAAACTAAGAGATGATAAAGAACTAAAGGGATTGACAGTATGTCACCCAGTATTTCACGAAGAAAGGTGGGTTTATGAGTGGTTATTATGTAATATTGACTTTGTCTTAGTATGTGGTTTGTAGGCTAGCTCGCTTTTCTTCCCATGTAAGCTCAAGAAAACTCTTAATATTTGTGTTTTACTGTTTTTTAGTTAAATAAGTAATGCAGTCCAACGTTTAGCAAGCTGGTTATATTCAATCAGTTGACCTCCCCTCTGTCAAAAAGATGAACAGAGTCAAGTGCACCAGAAGCAGCTGTCTGTCAGTCTCCAACTCCACCAGTCCCCCACCCAGCCCCAGTGCCCCCACATGAGGAAGAAGGTGAACAGCTGTGTGTGTTGGATTAATTATAATGTTATACTTTATCATAGTCTCAAAACATTACACACAAAAGATTAATCAGTTATCAAGTAAAATATTAAAATAAAAATAATTCTGAACAATTTTAATGGCTTAAAATGCATGACTATTTTCATTTTATTAAAATTCAGCTACCATTGAAATAGAATAAATGCAACGGGAACAGAAGAAAAAATATGTTGTGTGTGCAGCTGACTGGGGTGACTGCTCTCAATCCAATAAGAGAAGTTTGCATGTTCACTGGGGGAATGCTTGTGAGAATCTATTACAAAAAGTCATATCATAGGAAATACCATTTAATTATTTATGTCACCTACACTCTACAGAGCCAGGTCCAAGACCCTCTTCTGGTTTGTCAGGGAGGAATGTGGAGGAAGAGATGGAAGAGGGTACAGATGAAAGTGAGAGTGCAGAAACACAGGCGGCAGAGTGTGAGGACAAAGATGTTGAAAGGAATTCAGATGTGGAGGATGGACTAAATGAGTGTACAGAAAATAGTAACATAAAAATTCATAGTTTTATGTAAAAAAGTATCAAAAATTTGGCCATCTGTGTTGGGGGCCCCATATAAATTCTTTTCATGGAACCCAGAATCCAATAAATAACTAAAGTTTGAGTAGCAGGCTTTCTTTTATCTGACTTGTAAACCGGATGACAATATAAAAACTGATCTATTCAGTCTGGCTTTTGTTTAGTAATTTATATCATTACTTAAAAGTTACAAATTGTTTTTTATCTTGTTTGGTTTCATCTAGCTTTCATTCTTTATCTGTTATAATTTAACATGTGTGCCATATAATGTGTGCCATGCTTAATGTGAAACATATGTATATATATATATATATATATATATATATATATATATACATATGTTTCACATTGAGCATAAACCACAAAGCTGAAGGAAAAAGCACTTTGACACTTTGAATTACAGTTGATTTGTATGAAAGGTGCTCTCTGAATAAAGCTTGATTGATCAGATAATAGATGAGCTGCTTAGTTGAAATTTAGAGTTCAGTTTGAATAACTAAGAAATAAGGCACTTTCCTGGTAAAACAAACACAATCCTGGTAAAGTCAATCCTGCAGATAATTATCCAAGCAAAGAGGCTGAGGTAAAAAAAAGAAAATTAAATTTTTTGTTAGGTAACTGCAATATGTGACTTTTATCTTGTTATGTAAGCTTTAAGCTGGGTGCACACTCTGTAATCGGGCTGATTCTGGGCAAGACTCTCCTCTTCCAACCAGGAGGTTCAATTTTCTGATGGTTCTTCAAATTATCAGGCATGATAAGAGAGGTATTACTTCAGTCAATCTGCTTGGAAAACGATCACTGCTATTCTGAATTTGAAATTGTCAATATCAAACATGTTCAATATTTATGATCAGAAATCCTTTTGAGTGGGAGAACCCCTCGGGCGGCCATGCTTGCACTCAGTGGACTAGAAAAAAATGAATGCCAATAAGGAAGCGAGATGACCAAAGAAAACACAAATGCAAAGGATAATCTTGGAAGAGTGTCAGAAATAGAGAAACAAGTTGTGGATTTGTGGCAACACCATGAATGTTTATGCAATTTGTCTTGTAAAAGAAATCACAATCTAACTGACAAGGAAATGAGTCGAACATTGTTATTGCTTTTTGTGTGTGCTAACTATTGAATCTGTCATTATTTGTAGTCATTCTTGAAGTAGTGATTTGAACAATCTTTCAGTGTGTGTGCCAGGGTTTATTCAATATGTTGACTTACCCACTGATTAAAACAAGACACTGAAGCCATGGCTTTGTGGAACAGTGTTTAAGAGCTGTTTGATAAAAGCCAACAGCAAAATACAGGCCTGGTAACATTTTTATAATCTAATTGGTATCATAACATTTAAAGGTAAAGGTTTAGTGTGATCATAATTCTAATCTGGCACATTAGCCTGATGGCATTTGTCTGTTACAGCAAAATAAAACAAAGAACAGCAGAGGATGACGCACACTCATTAGGCCTCGGGGATATTTGGTCATCAACTAAAGTGCTGGACAAATCCATAAAGTGTGGCAGTGTAACAGTTAGCCAACATGCATGATACCAGGACCCTGATCCCCAACAGCTGAATGAACTCAGCCATCATTCAGTGAATCACTTAAACTGTTTTTTTCGGTCTGTGACATGTCAAAAACGCAGGCTGTAGAAAAACCTCACAAATGTCAACCTGTCAGTTGTGCTAGAGCAAGACAAAGAAGATCGACAAAGTGTGAAGGGTTCATCCTCTGGGAGCAGTGATTTTTCTTCAACATAAATTACATGACAATCCAGTCGATTTTTTTAAAAAGGCAACAGATCACTAAACATGACATTGCTGTAGAGCTATCCAAACAGCAAGGCTCAATCTGAGGTAGCCTTCTTTATATCAGGCTGCATTTTTTTACCAACCTAATACACTCTCTGAGTTTAGTGCGCAGGCTAAAGAGCTATCTGATAACATATTAAACTATGGCTGCTCCAGCAGGGAAAATACCTGCTGAGTCAGACGGTGCGTCCCGGCAGCTGCAGTAGCAATGATTCTGAATGGTTTTATGTAGTGAGTCGTTTGGTTAGAGAAAGTCTACAACAGACCATATGTTATTACAGATTTGCTGCAGGAAAGAGAGTCCACTGATAGTGCTTGCACAGACATGCAGGTCTGTGTATGTCTCGGTACTTTCCTATATCCCTACAATATTTCAATGCTTTATTTGCATTGCTTCAGGAGTCTGCTCCCTGGTTTACTCCAACACTGAATAACTCTGTTTTGTAAACGCCGTACTCTGAGAAACTAATTCTACTTCTCATACCTGTCAAGATCAGTGTTTTACCACAGAGGGTGGAAGATAATAAAGTGATCAGAGTTGAAACAAGGAAAAATGCACATCAAACCTTTACTGTACAAAATGGGCATAGAAATGTGGTATATGTGCATATCCACATAAATTTACACACACAAATGTTTTCAAGATTCAGAAACAGATTTGGGTGCAGGAGTGTTTCAAAGGAAAGCCTGCAGGAAGTAAGAATTGTACAAGTCTAAAGCTGTTATTACAGATCCACGAAACTCCAGGAAAAATGTCCTAAAAATCCAATTTGTGAGCAAAGAATATTAAGCTCCAGCTGAATCCAGACTTTTTCCTGCCAGCCTCCAAGCAAAACTTCAACAAGAAGTTAGAGTGAGCTACTGTGAAAATACAGGAGGAGTATTCCGGAAAGCTGACTCAATGAAGTGGGTGAGGATGATGACGTTTTTATGTGAGTGGCGCAAACCCAGAAAAGCAACGGTAACAGGAAGAACTCAAATATCCGAGTGTGAAGGAGGTTAAATATTTTCAAAATGGGAAGGTTAAAGATGTCTCAACGTCGGCCTATACATTTATCATCCAACATGTAGGCATTGCACTGTCTCTCTAGCAGTGTAATTCTGATATTCTGGGATTTACCAGCCAAATTATTTCTAGAAATGTATAATTGTGCATGTGTGAAAGAGCTATAACGTTATCTGGAGCAAGCTTATCTGTAGTAGAACAGTATTTCACTTGTAAAACACTAAATTCTGTATCTTAGTAATGCGATATTTTAAGTGAATATTGTCTTCCTCAAGGCTCTTTAAATTTCTAACTATATTTCTTTTTGATCATCTAAATTGAATCTTGCTGAAATGTAACTTTGTGTTATCTTATAAAAACACAAGTGAACCCTGTCCTCAGCTTCAAGAGAGAGAAAACATCTCACTCAAGTAAAGTAGTCAATAAAGAGCACCTGCACAAAACAAGTGCAGTGATGTGTAAGTCTGCTTGCTAGTCTAATTACATGAAATGGGTTTTGTGTGTAAAACATATAGGATCAGACTCAGCTCCTCTCTAGAGCTAGGCTCACATATTAGAAAATATCAGAGCAGTTGAACTCACAGAGACTGAAGCTCTCCTGATCAATATTCCTTTGGAGTATGGTGGGGTGTAAATGAGCTAGACACACTAAAAGCCAACAATGCCTGACAACCCAAGCTGTTCTGCACCCTGTGGATCATCTTATCAAGCCTATCACGGCTCTGCACCTCCATGTGCTTCTCCATGCCAGGGTTCAGGCTATTTTGAGTGCTTTCAGATCCATGAAATTGGATGGGAATTTGCATTTTTTGTGCAAGCTACATCAATGTGACCCATTGTAATGAATGAGAGGCAATTGTAGAGAAGAAAAATGGAAGCCATTCTGTAGGAGTATCAGCTTGAGGGCAATTTAGGATGCGGTAACATTTGTCACCTAACAACTGAACAAAAGGCATAAAGAGTTTGAAAAACTTTCCTAAAGGTCTATTATTTGAAGTTTTCCAACAATGCTATGATGGCTCTAGATGTATACAGATCAGAAAAAACATTATGAAAACTGATAGGTGATTATTGTGGAGCGATGACTTTGGCAAGTGCTTGTGAGCAGTTACTGATTTCCTTGTGTCTAAAACAAGAAAAACAGACAATAGTGATAATGTGGGTGACTTTGATAAGGGCCAAATAGGAATGGCTGAACAACTGGGTCAGTGCCAGTCCTGGGCAACGCTGTGTTACAAGATTACTGCCATAAAACAGTTATGTGTTACATTCCTGCACGTTACAGCACACTAACGTTACATTAGATGACAACCCTTTGAACCCCCAATTCACCACACACAGCAGTGGCTTTACCTCCTTCTGCTCTGTAGGTGCCTGCCATGAGTTAGTTGCAAAACAGCAAGATTATCAGAAATGTTTTGTGGTGACAAAAAAGGCTTTTTTCAGTAACATTTCAGCAAGATCACTTGAATAAAAAAAAGTAAATACTGTTTGTAATGGACTACTTTAATTACAGAGGTAAATTAATCCTTGTACTCAAACAAATTATTTAGTTACACTTTCCCCCCAACACTGGTCTGCCTATCTCCAAAACTGCAGCTCTTGTGGGCTGTTTTCTGTCTACAGTGGTCAGTACCTTTAAGGAAGGAAACCTGGTGAACCTGTGACAAGGTCATTGGCAACCAAGGCTCATTGAGTTGTGTGAGCAGCCAAGGCTGGCTAGTTTATATGGTCCAGTTCAACAGATGAGCTACTGGGGCTCAGATTGCTGAAAAACTTAATGCTTGTTCTGATAGAAAAGTTGTTGGAACACACACTTCTTCAAAGTTTGTCCTCCTGGTGCCCTCATGTCTGTAAAAAATGCCACTAGAGAGACTTCTTAGATACTCCTGAGGTAAATGAAACAAGTCTGACTGGAATTTTAAGATTTGTGCACGAAGTAACATTCTTTTTTATTTTTATTTTACACATTTCTTTTAAATTCCCACCACAAATTGTTGCATAAATATTCACCCAAGAACTAAAAATCTAGTGTTTCACCCCCAAAGCCCCCCTCTTATTATTTGTGACTTAGTATGTTGAACCCTTCACTGTGGGTATCAGGGGTAAGAAGACTGTTTCAATTCTATCACTTCCAAGCTGCTAGCTGTATAGTTCACAGTTTTTTTTATTACCAGCTCACCATTATTTATCTTCATAACGCTGTGAGACACAGATCTTCATCAACAACAACTTCCTGTGGGCTGGTGCCCTACATACAGGTGCTTCACTGTTTGCCCTCCTGGTGCAGGTGTCTTTTCAGCTCACCCCCAAAAAAGCCTGAGTACACCACTGCTCAAAGGACAATGAATGTCTGTTCCCACTGTTAGAGATTTAAATCGCAGGTTATGAGGTATTCTACTGTAGACTAAAGTAATGGAGTGGCAGGCTGAATAACAGACCATCCAATAGATAGATAAATCAAAGGTACCTCAACAACATGCTACAGGCCGTGAGCATGTTAGTGGGTGTTTCAAAGAGCTTCTTCTTCTTTCTCAAAGTCAGATCTTTTTTTAGAGCTCCAAAGTCAAAACGGCCAGAACTGTTGGTTAGCAGGCAGAGAAATAGTCACCGCCCACCAAGCTGTGGTCAGACAACAAAAGGGGAGAGTCTTGGAACCACTTTCAATCGGATGGCGTTTAAATTTTTTGCTTGTACCACCAGTACTATAACCATACATAACCCTGCTACATTTCTATTTATTTCCTATAACTTATATAGACAAAGGATAAAAGGTGTTTTCAGAATGCCATTTTAAAATAACTTAAGTTATTCAAAAGCATGAGATAGTTCAGCAACTTGGAATCTGACTCAAGGGTAAGTTGTGGACCCAGAAGCAGACTTGCAAACAAATGCAGGTAAGTTCAAAACTTTAACAGAAAACTCAAAATCTAAACAACTCAAAATCACTCTCAATGTGAGAAAATGATGAACTTAAAGGTGGGGTAGGCAGGAATCCGTTAAAGATTTTTTTTCGTGTATATACAAAAAAGCTTTTAATATCAGTCAATAGCTACTAGTTATTGGTGACGTTTGGGAATATCACGATATCACTGTATTCTCTTATATCTGTGTGGTCAACATTTAAAAATTTTTAAGCGCTCCGCTCATTCTGACAGTAAACAAAGCCATTCTCTGCCTCCCCCAACCTAATTGGTTGTGAGGCAGACGCTGCTCCCTCGTGTTGTGAGGCATGCTCCATGTCCTCCAATAACATGCACAAGCCCAAACAAAGTTAGCGGGCAACAATATTGGACAGTAGAAACCACCCAGAAAGTATTGAAATTTGTCTGAATCCTCCTTTGACCACGACTGCCAACACAAGCAAGAAAACTAAGTAAATACCAGAGACTCTGGCAGGATAACGGGCACTTAAAAAGTAGGAAGACCAGACAAGAGCTAAAAAGCCGAGTCAACGTCAATGAAGAATAAACGATCGGGGAGACTTTGGGATCTTGCGGACCCTATAACCTTTCTGCTGGACAGGTAAACCGCTTTAACAAAGTAAGCCAAGTGTCTGTAACAGAAGTGTTTCTTGTCGAATGGGACCTGCAACGTGTTGTAGTGCCTTTTAACTGTTTAGCTCGGGTCCTGGAGTATGTCACTTTATCCTAGTTGTAGAAGTCCTGCAAAGATTGTGTTTGCTGGTAGTCTGTTGGCATCTACAGTAGCACCAATGCTGTTTACTTTCACGTTGACTGAGCCCCATTTGTAATTCTCTGCATTACATCTGAATTTAATTGGAACGATACGGAAAAGCATGAGTGTCTGTTTTTAGGTAGGGCTTGCTGGAACAGAGTGGGAGGGAAGAGGAGGAGCTGAGAGAAAATTGGTTGGGAGGGGTAGTGTTTACATTCAAGATTTCTTCCTAAAACTGGCACTTCCTCAGATCCTGCCTACCCCTCCTTTAAAGGCTGAGAGGATGAAAGTCTCTAAATCTAATTCACAGGCCAGGCTAAGGATTACAACAGGGACTGCCTCTCAGGACAAAGAGCAATGATGTTCTGGCAGCATCCTGCCCTTAAAGATGGATTTTCTGCACTTTCTTCAGTAGAAATGTGCAAAACATCAGGAAGTATGATAACTGGGTACTACACTAAGGAGCATAAATAATTCATGAACAAAAATAAATGACTTGAATTAGCCTTGTAGTAATGCAGTTAGTTATATCCGTTGACTTGATGTTAGTATAACTTGTAATGGCTGTGAAGGGGGCAGCAGGCAGAGTCAGTAGATGTCCAGACTCTTCATGATGAAGCCAGCTGTAGTCCTCAGAGCTTTTTATTATACTTTTGAAAATAACTTTTGTGCAGTAAACCAAGGTTTACTAAAGGCCCTCTGTGACCTCTCCCTGAAAAATACAAAATGACTACAACTAATTCACTGAAAATTACAGTGAAAATTCCCATTAAAGTAAACATAACTCGGTAAGGTACAGCCAAATCTCCAGAGCAAAAGATGAAGGAGAAAGGATGTCTCTCAAGAGTAGTCTGTGGAATAGAACTGTTACCATGTTGATGGATGGGTGGCTAATTCAGAAAACTCTTTTCATTTTTTTTTATTTTTTATTAAAGTTGTTTCCTACAGCGACGGCTGTTGCAGTGAGGAAATTCCCCCTACAGCTGTACTTTTTGTCAATTTTTTGAAGCACGGAGTTGAAGCTTTTATCCCCACTGTGGAAAATGGCACCATCAACTCAAACAGATGCTGTAAAACAGCGCCTGTAAGGGGAATGTTTCTCAGAATCAGTGTTGCATTTAGCAACTCAAGCCAAAGCTTCATCAACTTCAAGCTGTTGGCTGGCATGAGCTGCTGCACAACTCAGTGCTAAAGAGGGCAACAGCTTTGCCTTGATGGCTGAATTGTAACTTGCTTGGTGAGACCTCAAATTCAATATGTCCTTGTTTCGCATGGATCTCTTGGGTGTAAATGTTTGCAAAGGAGCGATGTTTCATGGGTACACACTCACAGTTGCCTTTGATTCGATCTGAAGGTAAGTTGAGGTGGGGTGGTGTCATGTGGAGTTGTGGGTTAGCCTACCATGCTACCACACATGAAGTTATGCCTGTGAGCCAGTGTCATTTCCACCTATGTTGATTTTATACTTCCTCATGAAAAGGGTTGGGTACCGTTTGATTTTGAATTATTCTGGTTCCGATTCCTCGTTTTGATTCCGGTTCCTAACGATTCTCTATTCCGATTCTTTTAAAAGGCAGGATATAAAAAAAAAGAATCCATGGTTTAAATGAGGGTGCTCACAGGAGTTCTTCTTTTTGGATGAAATTTCTGAACTTCTCCATAAATTTTTAAATCATTCTAACTTTTTAAGAACTTCACTATGAATTTCTCACAGGGCTATTTTCAACCAACTATATAAATATCAATTTTTGTTTTCAGGTCATTTGTCTATGAAAAAGTACAAGGGCTAACATTAGTTGGATATTTAAGTTGACCCACCGTACACAGTGCAAATTGTTTGCCGCTTCTATGTTAGCAGAAGACAGAAGTAATTTATTGTTTCACTTATCTGATTCTGGCTGGTTAGCGGAAGACCGGCAGAAGATGGGGCACTCAGGTATTTCTCCTCCATGAATCCTGAGGTGTTTAATCATGTTGGTCGTTTACCCTCCTTTGCATGATATAACTGTGTTGCTCATGTTGCACTGAGACAAGAGTTCATTCTTCCTGCTAAAGTAAGCTAAACTTTTATCTGCAGCCGCTGTGGGTTGCAATGCACCCTCTCTCTCTCTGTGGCTTCGTCTTATACGCTTCGCCCTCGTTGGTGTTCGGCAACTTCTTCTTCATTGGTGTTTAGCGGCGTCTCCCTCATTGGTGGAAGACGGTTCAGGCAGAATCAGAATGTTAGTCCCGGTCCTCATTGATGCTCGAGACTTGATGCCCATCCCTACTCATAAATCACCTCACAGTCACCTGACACATTCTCAATTCAGTGGTCTATCAAAAAGCAGCAAGATTTCCAATCACTCCCCCTGCTTTGTAATTGAACTGGCTGTCCTGCACCAGAGATGCACTCACATTTTCAGCCCCACCAAGCTCTTCCACCAGAACTTTTGAGCTATTACTTGATCAGTCCTTTAAATTCTGTGTGTAACATAATTACAAAGAGTGTGTAAGTTAGAGCCTGGTTACCAAATACAAGACTGCTGCTGGGATCAACATTCAGACTGATTGAAATACATGTATTTCTGGTGCATGGTAAAAATTATTATTCATGTTTTTTTTTGTTTTTGTTTTTTTTTTCATATTTGTCTAATCTCACATTTTTCCGTATCCTCCTCTCCCCTCTCTTCTGTTCTCAGAGAAGCACCATGCAGGGAACCACTACCAATGAGTGGCACATGAAGTTTGAAGAGTGATAAATATCAAAGAGCCCTAATTATAACAGAGCACAGACAATCACAACACAGTGGAGAGGCACTGTGATCAGGAAATGCCTGCTAGCTTTGTCCTGAAGATCTTAAGCCAAAATACTACGATGCAACTCAGCGTCACATAATTGAAGCTGCATGTTATTGTCCTCTCCTTAAATGCACTCCAGCAAAAAGAAAAAAAAAAAAAACAGACTTATTTTCACCTAAAGCAAAAGCAATGAATAAAGAGTACCTAACTGATGGAAATGAGAGAAGTGAAAAAAGATAGAAATCTTGCAAAGTAATTACTCAGATAAGGCAGTTGGGTTCGACTCTTGCCAGGAAAAAATGCAAATTACGTGCAATAACAGGACCGAATTTGATAGAAGAAATTATGAGCACCAAGATACAAGGGAGTTGCATCCTGCATTGCTTTCATAAATACAGCTATTTCACCCTCCATTAAACACAGAGTTACCCTTGTGGCTCTATAAGCAGAACAGCATTGAGTCTATAGTATGTTCTGTCTTTGAGATGAGCTTCCAATGCACTCTGCCTGTATTGCAGACCTTGCAATCTCTTGTAAAACGTTGCATCTTGTATCAGTGAAAACCCTTTCACTTACACCAAAAATATCCCTAAGAGATTAGGAAACGCAATCTGGCTCAGTAACCGCTAGATTATTCCTTCCAGCACTCCCAGCAGGCCAGCAGAACCTTTTAAACATTTAAGTCTGTATTGTCAACAGGATCAAGAACCTTAATACAGTTAGAGGTTTAAGCCCTGCCAGATGGTAACAGACACTGTTATATCATCCGTCCTGAGGGGTATTAAAAATGTTGGCTATCATTATAAATGCCTGGCACATGCATGTAATACAAATTAGATTTTACGGTACTTCATTTATCTTTGCGAATCCAAGATACTGATCACAATCTCTGTGCAAGCAAGAACTTCTATGAATCAATCACAAAGTATAGATTGTACTGTTAGAGATGATAATAAGAACAAGAAAAACTCTATAGTACTGTGTATTAGAGGAATAATTAATATTCTGTGATCACTGATCAACATTTGATTTCTGCAGCACCTTGCTTTGGTTTGAGGCTGCCAGCCTTGATAGTATTACCTGCAGCACACATTGTAGATCCTTGTATTTTCTTATTAATAGCCTTTACCTTGGTCTGTGTTTCACAGAGTTATTACAAGACCATGGGAGGTGCCAGCCCCTTGGTGTTTGAGAGAGAATATTGAGCTACTCTGAGTCAGAGTCTGTTACAAATGACACGATACTGACTTTCATAACAGACTGCTCCTCTATGAATTATTCCCTTGACCTGAGGCCCACTCAATCATACAGCACACTTAATTAAGTTAAACCAAGAGCAATAAATAAGATGTATGACACATCAGCACTGATGCTTGTCCTCATCCGTTGACAAAAGCAGCTGGTCCCAGGTCAGGCTCAGGCAATGGATGAGACCAATCATGATGACATACAGTTCGAGTCAGGCGGCAAAATATTGATAGGAAATGTGAATATGATCCACAGCTTTCTGGCGACTCAGGGCACCAATTTACACTATATGCTAAAGATTTAATGCTGCTTTGTGACAAAGAAGCGCCAAATGTTGGCTAGATGGATACCTCTGGTGCTCTCTCTGCCAAGGATCATCTGTGCGTCTGCAATGGCACAGAAACAGACATCAGAATTCAATCTAGCTGCACCATCTGTTCACAGATATCAGGGCTGTCATTTGATATGAGCTGCCCATCAACGGTGGAGGTCTCAAGTTCACCTTGCCATCAGAGATGCCTCACACTCTGCTCTTATAAACTGTGATGGATGAAGGCTGTAAACCATCAACTATACGGGGTCTGTCAAGGCCCAACACACAATCATCACTGAGAAGTGAGGAGCTCAGAGCCACCAGTCAGAATAAACAGCAGCAGCAGCAGCAGCAGTAGAGCTTTAATCAGGGTTAAAGGAGGAATTCATAGCGTTAGAGAAACATGGCTGATTAATTTGCCTTTTCTCATTAATAACTTTAAACAGTTGCAGCCCACTATAAGAGTCTCTCGTCGCTGGTTGTTTGTTTGTCAGAGAAGATCAGGTCTGACAACAAACAATATCCAGAGAATCCTACTGGGTCATTATGATTTCAGTGAACCACAACGTCAGATGTTAAAAGAAACTTTCACTTTCCAAACAAAGGCTGAGCTCGACTGAAACAACACAAGTTGAATTCAGGTGAACCAAACTCATCTATGAGGGAAGTGAATGAATGAAACCATGATGAACACAAACGCTCAAGACAACAAAACTATTACATTCTTGCATTACTGAATTATTCGCTTTAAAGGGTTATTAGGAGTCACTTTAAAACATCATTTATATCAATACATTATGGACTTACATGCAATGTGCAGACTGGCTTCTCTGCTGACAATGGTGCCAAAAGAGTTTGATGCCAGACACTGATAGACGCCAACATCTCCCTCTTTGTTCAGATGGCTGATGTGTAAGTTTCCTCCCATGAGAGAGTAGCGGGACCCTGGTCTGGGCACGATGAAAGAGTCATTGAGTTTCCACCTGTAAACGTAAACAGGCGATAAAACAAAGCAGTAAATAAAGAGTCCTTAATAGAGAAAGTTTAGCTGCTTTGTGTTGTCATGCCCGTGTGCTTGGTGTCTAATTATCAATGCTGGTGAATTGTTTATACAGACTGCTGCTGATGCAGAAACACCCAGCCATATGGCTCAAAGCCTAATTTATGTAATATAGTGACAACCCAGCAGTCTAAACTGTGACCAAACAGCCCTTACCCTGAATAAAGCAGAAATTCAGAGAAATATCAGGGAGTTGCAGCACAACCAAAATGATAATGACTAAAATGAGAAGCAATCAGCAAAAGTAATTTCAAAAGACTGTTGAGTTCTATTCAGGCTTTCTCATTTCAGACACAACTCATTTTTACGAATCAAACGCTCTATATTCTTCTGACGTCTTCTCTTCTTTTTTTTTTGTCTTTTCAGCCTGTTTGTCATCTCCCCTTCCCCAGAAATCTAAACCCTCCTTTACAATCGCAGTCATTATCAGGAGCTATGGCCAAACACCAGGACTGCTAGAACAAAAGAGCTACATGCAGAGCACACCATAATGGTGTTTTTTGATTAAACCTCTTGTTTTGAATATTATGTTAAACCAGCAAGAGCGTATGCATGTAAGATGGGACAAAGAGACCAAGCAGCAGTTACCTCTTAACTGGAGGAATGTTTGTTTGGTTTGATTTAAGTTTGACAATAAATGTGGTTCACTTTTCAACAATTAAGGTACATGAGCTACTAAAAAAAGGACATGTTTATGATGAGGACAAATGTGGCATGTCACCATATTCTACACAGCAGGGTTTCATTTCTATTTGCTGTAAAACATGGCATGAAAAAGGATTTCAGTGATTTTACAGCGACATTCTTAACATAGTCAGATACATTTCATCAGTAGAATAGGCTGCTGAAACTGTCTCCATTATGCCGGGGAAAAGTTAGTGTGCAAATGGCACTTTCATTCTCAAAACCAAATTACATTCAAAGGGAAAGAAAATGAGAAAAAAAGAATAGGGTAAACACAGACTAACAAGAAAAGTGACACTTGCAGAAGGAGATTTTCAAGGAAGAGCTTTTCATCGAAGAAAAACGGCACAATTAGGTTGAATGTTAGCTCCTTGGTCCTGATTAGATTCTGCTGCTCCCTGAGAAAAAGAAGTCTGAGTTTATTTATCGCTGAATTTCCTCTTCCGTCTGCAGAGGTAAGGATTCAGGCAAAAAGACAGACAGAGTGAGAGGCAGGGTTGAAGAAGGGGGGACTGGGGAACACATGCAACAGAGCGGTGCTCAACAGCAGATTGGCTGATTAGATTGATTTAATGATTTGGTTTTTCCAGCTGGAACTGGTCCAAGAGCTCCAGATGAGACAAATCAAGGGGCCATGGTGACAACTTGGAGTGGGGCTTTATGTGGCAGCGGTCATTGGGTAGTCTTAGACAAATTAATTTGTCCTTGGCGCCCTGAAAAAGAACTGCCTTCATACTCAGCAGTGAAGAGTCACTCAGCATATGGTGTCCTGCTGCTGAACCTCAAAAGGGCCCAAAATGCTTCAAAACTAATTTTCAAAGCTGGCACAAGTGACCTTTGGTTGAAAAAAAAAAGGAGTAGATTGCAGCAGCAGTTACAGCACTGTGATGCATGCTGATTAAACTAACAAGGCGGCAATGTGTGCTTTTCAATATTAGACCAACAATAAAGAGGGATGAAAGTATGATATCAGAACAGCATGTTATCAATCAGGAAATCACATCTTAATATGGATTATCAGCTATCACAGTTGGTGACTCTTGCTGTAATTAAAGAGCTAATTAGAGCAAAATTTGATTTGATATGGAGCCGGGCATGCTCTCAGAACTTGAGCTTCGAGGGGCAAAAAACTCTGAGAGTTTGAACTTATAAAGTGATTTTCATTTTTTAAGGAGTAGGACTATCCAGACAGTAAAATAGCGACTGATTGCTTATTAAGTATTCCAGCCGATCCAAGTGATAAGATCTACATTCATTTTAATTTGTGCCCATTAAGCATAACACCAAGGATCTTCAAGCTACATTAACGGCCACATATGCTGATGTTATGAGGGATCGTTTCAACCTATTACACATTAAATGCTTGACTTTGCAATTTGCATTTAATTACACTGACAGGAGTACAACAGCTATGCGGTCCTATTTGATAGACTATGAATTAATAGCTTATGCGCTTGATGCACTTTAAAGTAAATCACTGTTTGTCATTTGTTCTCATTTGTCATCGTTTTAGCAGCAGTGCAACTGGGCACTTTTGAACAAGAACTGCAGAAGGAGCGCTCAACCTGGCAGACCAAGAGCAGCGTACAAGGACGAGAGGTAGCAACGCTTTTCCTGCACCTCAGTCCATAAAATGGTCTGAATGATGTTTATCATGTCGTGATAACCCCCAAATCAGATGCCCTGTAGCAGTGTCTGTGCAGCCTTGGGCAGTGATGCTGTACATAAAACTGTAGCAGGCTTAAGTCTGAGATAGGGAAAGACAACTCCTACAGAATCGTGTCTTGTATTTGAAATATACTCCACTAGAGTTCTTCAGCTGATTTCTGCAGTGGTAGCAGGAGGTTTCTAGAGCATGATTTTCTTGGGTCACTTGATCTTTTCGGCGATCACAGACACTGCTGACAGAAGCTCTCAAAATATATTCCACAGGGGATCAATGTAGTCTGACTGCTATGAAAATATAAAACAAGAACAACAACTGGGGCAAATTAACTCATCATTCAAAAATTTACCATGACTGACAGCAAAACTAAGCACTGCAGGCAGTTAGATGCAGTCAGCCGTAAGGTCCACAAATCCCCAGATTTCCCAAGGCAACAAAATCAGTCTCACATGGGCGTTCAGACAAATGTTGCTCTTGAAAGCTTCAGCAGAGTCTTTGCACCTGTGTAATAAAAAGCCAAACTGTATGCACAAAGCAATGCCATCAAGTGTTACCTGTAGAAGGGTGGTGGGTGTCCCTGGGCCTCGCAGCTAAACACCACCTCTCTGCGATTCTCGCCAGATTGAAGGGGGAACACTACACTGCCAGGTTGTTTGGTGAACACAGGCCTCAGAAGGACTCCGCTTCCTGGGTGGAGAAGATTCAACAGAAGAGCATCAACTTTGAAATCTTTTTGAGTTTGAAATAATAAATTCCACAGTTTATTTTTCAAAAATACTTGCTGGCGTTATGAAGATACAACCACTGAAGTTCATGATGACAACAGTTAAGTGGTGAATGTGGAAAATAAAGGCTGACAGAGTTTGAACGGTACAGCTATGAAAATGGAACAGTGCACTTCACTCTGAAGCATTAGGGACTGAGGCTACTAACTTTTCAAAGTTAGCTGCACCAGTGCTACCAAATGAAAAAGTTCATTTCCAGCCCTGGTTGGTCATGCCTGCAGAAGCTGTTAGTATTTCTCACAGTGCTTGATCCTTGGGTACTGAATAATCAGCTTGTAACCTTAATAAAACTTTAATGCAAGTACCTGAATGTACAGGTTTGTCAAATACATGCTGTAATGCTACCCTGCTACAGTAAAATTTTATTGCAACCCTTCAAACTTATTACCTCATCCCCAGGGGATCTCATGCAATAAGAAATTTCAAATCAAATGCCACAGCAAACACTGGGAGCAAATTGCTCTGGTTTTAAATCGGCCCCTTTCATTGAGCCATCAAGGTTGTGCCCTTTGTGATTCAGTCAAAGAAAAAAGCCAGTAATTTCCACAGTTGGGGGAGAAAAATATTCTGAGTTGTTTTCTTTCTGAAATACAGAATCAAAACATATTATTGTGCTTTTTCTGAATAGTTTGTTTTTTTTGTACTGAGAAAGTGAAAGAAGAAAATATTATTTCCTTTGAATTGTAGCTAAAATACCTCTTATTATTTTTGATGCAAGCTCCCCAAGATAAAAGAAATCATCAGTGCTGCTTTCAGATCTTGTTGACTTATACTTCTCGGCATTTTTGCATTCTGTGAGTTATCCTTGTTGTGTTTAAGACAAGATCTCAAGATCGTCTTTGAAAGGTCTTGGCCACATATCTGAATGGATTTTTTGGAATTGTCTCAGACTCATTAAAAGAGACTACAGATTTTATTTCAAAAACAGTCGAGGTGTTACTGTGAGTATATCACTAATTACCTGTATACTACTGATATACCGTCACAACTATTGCTGGATTTATAAAGTCCTATCTACAATCCTAATATGCATTTGTTTGTTTTTTTCAAATGTGGACCTTTTAGTTTAATTCAAGAACTTTCTTGGTTTGCATGATCTATCATTTATACTTAGTGCAATTCATCCTTATATTGTGGATCTGGCACTGCTCATGGTCTTAACACAGTCTCACTCTGCTTATGTTTTGATCCCGACTGTGAACTCTTTCCTCGGTCTTGTCTCTGTCTTGATACACCTTAGTCTTGGTGATGCCCTAGCCTCAGAGCTGATTGTCTTGACTACAACACGGCACCCTGGCTATTATTATTAGTGTTTGTCCTGACCCGCAAGCTAGAAATACTTTTTTAAAGCACACAATCTCACAGCAAATTAATTAAAACAGAAACTCTAAATCCCCCTGGTAATATAATAACATTGTTGATTCACCATGTTTGAAAGAACAAAAAAAAACAAAAACAACAAAGACAGCAGCAGGTCTAGTGTGACACACATTCCCTTGTTAATTACAAAGGTACAATAGTGAATGCGTGTTGTTTTGGCAAAGCCCACATTTACAGTGACCCATGGGGTAGTCAGTCAACACTTCATTGGAATAAACATTTCTATCTGCTAGGGAAGGAGAATTCTTTTGGATTTGTCAGAATACATTTGCATATTTGTAATGGCACCAAAATGGGAAGACTTTGCAGGTAGGTAACTAATTTGTATGAGAGGCAGGTATCCCTTTCATGTCTCTGGCACCATGGGAGAACAGGTTTATCCTCCAGACTCAAAATAACTCTCTGAGAGGGTGGAGATGCTTGACAAGGGACCTTGTACACTGATTGTTCCTCTCCACAAGGATAAACCTCTCAGAAAGTTACACAGAATGAAAGGGTGCCTAATTATAATCTTTGTTAGATGAAGCGTGTCCCTTCAAGCAGCGATGAGAGATGATTGATTACCAGAAGACACTTCTTGTACAGTCCATATCCAACACAAATCCCCACACTTGTTGGGCACAAAGTAGGAAGGATAATAAGGCCTGTGGTAAACATGAGAGGGATCACCGTGTCTTATTAAATTGATGAATGATTCTAGTTATCAATTCACTAACATTTATACTTTTGAAAAATGATTTAAGCTGGCAGCCCCAAAACCTAATCCAGCCCTTCAGATATTAATTAGCAATTTGACTGGGAGCGATTCAAAGCTGCCAAACTCAAAGATAAATCATGAGATAATAAAAATAACACCATTTTGGGGGCTACAGAGTTTCATGTCTAAAAAGCAAACTGTTATATGGTGTGTTTTTCCCCCAAGATGTATGTTTGATGGTCTTTCATGATGTATGTTTTTTGTTGATTTTTAATCCTGCACACTTTATTTAGGTTATTGGGGGGCTGACATGGTGGTCACTTGACAAGCCATCGAACAAAGCCAAGCTGCTTGAGTTGTTGCATCAAGAATGACTTAACATCACCCAACAGTAAATGAAAAAGACTGGTGGGGAGCATGCAGAGATGCATGAAGGCTCAAGCTGTTATAAAAAAAAAAAAAATCAGCAAACGTCGATTTCTTACTGAACTCAAATATTAGCATTCTGTTGCTTCAAAAGTGACATAAACTTGATTTTTCTTGGCATGATTTGCAAACCCACAGATACAAACCAGTGGTTATTTTCTGTATCTGAAAAGACCTGAATGAGTTCAATTTATTTTGAAGCTGGGAAGTTGGGAGAAATGTTAAACGCAAAAAACACAAATATTTATTAAACCTCAAACACAAACCTACTGATAGTTTCAAAGAATACCATGTTATCGCAGGGACGTCTCTCCTTCCTGCTTCCTGTGTGCGTCTCTGCTCTGTCCTCCGTCACAGTCACTACACCACTAACTCCTCTCCCTCTCTCTCTCAGGGTTGCAATTACCGGCATTTGTTGGGTCATATTAGCATCTAATAAAAACACACTATAAATGTGATGTCAGTTTAAACAGACTGAGGCAGTGACATCACCTGGGCCAGCACAGCCTCCACCTCATAGTAAAACAGGTAATAGCATTTACTAGGAGGCACAGCAATCAAGTAAGGGTTTCATTACATGTTTAATGTTGGCAAAAAATAGCACTGCTGGGATTTGTATCTCCATTAAAACACATCGACCTGCTTGTGAGTGTATTTTAACTGATGATTCGGTTGTCTTGAATCCAAAAAGATGAAACATGTGGACTGTGACTGTTGCTGATAATCATCATAACTTTGCAATCACTCAGTTAATTCAATGATAAACACTTTTCATCTCTGAAAAACCCTGCTGGATTGTTTGGTTGAAGAAATACTTTCAGTCTAGCTCTCTCAGGAAATGGCATTTTGACATTAATAACTTCACACAAAACAATACAAACAGGGAAGCAGAGCGGGAATAAAAATTCATATCACAGATATTTAGTAATAAACTACAATGTACTGAAGAAAACAGCAGTTTATAACATCTTCTTTCCCTAGTCTTAGGCACAGACGAGTTGAGTCAATGTACAACAGGTTCATTAAAGGGGGAGAGGGGGTCGCAGCAGGTAAATATAGGTTTACGTGCAAGATCCCTTAACATTGTCTGATATAATACTGTCACCAAAAGAAAAATTACAAATAAAAAAACAAACAAACAAAAAAAAGGAAAAACATCCTGTTGTATTTTTTTTATCACTATTCACAGCATGCCAAATGTTGGTCTGTTTTTTAATGATCTTTCCAGTACAGCACAATGTGCTGACTGATAGTCAAATATAAGATGGATTTCAAAAACCTGTTACATTACTGTGGTATCCAAGCAGGAATCGACATTTTCTAATTTTTACTAGTACTGTGTTAATTTAGATTCTGCTGTTACAACTCTAGTGGTAAGAGTAACGAGGAAAGAGTTTGCTCCGTTGTTCAGTGGTAGGAGAAAAGGTAAGGAGAGGAGAAAAGATAAAGTGTTCTGAGTAGGGATGCACGATATTTATCGGACCGATAAAATATCGGCCGATTTGGGGGGAAATTACGTCATTTTTTATCGGTCCGATAGGTGCATTTTTCCGATAGAAAGATCCGATATATTAATGAAATTAGGAGTAAGGTTTGCAGGCGGAGTAGCCGCCCGTCCGAGACGCGCTGGTTACGTCATCTATCGCGCCTTACTCGCAGGTCCCAAGCCTGACCCTGTCACTACCTGACTGATAATAAAATGTCTTCACCAGCATGGTCGTTTCTCTCAGTGGCAGAAGATGACAACAGCATTGCTATACGCAAAACCTGTTCAGCGAGGATTCCGAGAGGAGGAAAGAAGACGTCAAGTTTTAACACAACGAATCTGATAGCTCATCTGAAAAGTCGCCATCGCGGTGAAGCGGTAGTAAAAGAATATGAGACAGCCGCCGAAGCTGCTAGCGATACTAAAGCTAAGACAACAACACTACGGAGGATCGATGTCCCCATTCAGCGGGCGTTTAAAAACTGCAAAAGCTTCTCAAGAGACAGCGAAAAGGCTAAAGCCATTAACGACAAAGTGATGGAGTTCATAGCGGTCGACGACCAGCCTTTTTCCGTCGTTGAGAACCCGGGTTTACGTAAGTTAATAGCACACTTGGAGCCACGTTACACTCTCCCAAGCCGCCGCTTCTTCTCGGATGTGTCTCTTCCTGCACTCTATGATATTGTCGCCACATACATTCACAACCTGATCGACAAGAACGGACTACACGTGAGTTTTACCACAGACATATGGACGTCAGATGTTAGTCCGGTCAGCATGCTAAGCCTAACGGCTCATAATAGCTCCTTTACAGTTTACAGTTCTGTTGAACAGTTCAGGGGATCAGATGAAGTTCTGCTTTTTGCTCTGTTATTGTTATTTATAGCAAATGACCATATTTGAAGAGCCAAAAACTTTTGTTTGTTGTTCTAGATAGGCCAGAGCAACAAAAATATCAGTTTTCAATCGCTGCATCCTGCACAAACTGCAGATTTTATGAAGATTATAATAAATGTAAAAATATTAATTTATCGGTTATCGGTATCGGTATCGGCCATGAGAAGAAGAAAATTATCGGTTATCGGTATCGGTTGAAATTTTTCATATCGTGCATCACTAGTTCTGAGGAAAATGATTTTAAGGTGAAAGATGGAACATGTGAAGTAGAGAAAGATCCTACAATGTGGCTTTAACTTTAGGCTATTGAGTTTACAGTTTTCTCAGTCGCTTTGGTGCATTTCTTAGGTCAGAATGAAAGTTCTATTAGTTCAACCTCTGCAACACTGAGTCATTTGTGCACATCATCGTAGCAGTTTCTCATTCCTTTGAACAAACTGCAAATGCTCTTGGACATGTATCACTTACTTAAATACAGTTCTCTGCTGCTTTATAACATTATCATTTGCTTCTGTCATGTCAGTCAAAATGAACTATACTTTTGAATGCTGAATAGTCATTCCCTTTAAAACTAGTCCTCATTTCATTGCTTGAGTCATTACATACAAAATTGTCAAACTGGTTCTCAAAATCTGTGAAGACAGTTAACTAAATTTCTTCATCATTTTTTTTTCCTGAAAATGTCTCCTAGAATGAACAATTGCTCTCAGGTGAACCTCAGCTCTAACTTATGAGAAGGTGTGTGAGGCATTAGTTGTAACCAATGACAAGCCACTTGTCCACAGTCACTCAGAGCTGAATCCCATGAACCCTCACTTGGCAAGCAAACCAGCAGGACATAGTGTGTACCATTTCTACAATTCTGTGACACAAAAATGAAAGGTTATCGTCGTGAAGGAGGGGTGAGAATGCAGGGAGGAAGGGGAAGGGGACAAACAGAGGCAGAGGAAGATAAGGTGAAGTACACAGGCAAATCCCTGATGAAGTTAGGGCTACACTTGTGGACCATGTTGTCAATCACGGCCTCATTATGGCTGAGGCTGGTCGACGTGTGCAACCAAATGTAGGAAGAACCACTGTGAATGTCCAGCAATACTTCATGTTCAGTTTACAGTAATATGAACAGTTACATTGTTTATAATTGTGCACAATAGTATTTCTTATGTTTGTTCTGAATAAGTGACTGTGATTTTTTTTTTTTTTTACACAATTATGTAGAATTGCAGCAAATGCAGTAAACATGTGAAACATACATGCGTCTAGTATTCAGTTACCTCACTAAATACAGTAATGTGCAACTTTACTGTAGGTTTCAAATGGCTGTACAGGTAGTGTATAGTGCTGTCTTGAACAGTTTTAGGTAGTGTCACCAAGGTCTGACTTTTTTTGCACTGGAAAACAGAGAGAGTAAACTGTCATAATGAAAACACAACAAAGCCATTTGATTGTCATGTTCATAAACAATGACGTTGGGACTGATTATTTTGATGACACAGACAGTTTCATTGACATGAATACTTGCTTTTGAGGAATCAACTATTAATTTTGAGCAAGTGACGCGCTTTTGCTGGTTATCCACTAGGTTTTGCAGTTTGTACTAATTGTTCTGAGACATGCACTAACTGTTGTGCAAATGTTAATAGTGATGTGAGAAATGCACCAAAGCAATTGAGAAAAACTGTTAAACAGCAGATACTTAAAGACGAGGTGTCAAACATGCCTTTGCTTCAAACACTCTCACATTACTGATGAGCTTCTACGATATGTGAGGTCTACTTTTTATATTTGGTCAGAAAACCTTTTCTATGCAGCAATGAGGATGAAATGCTGTCAGACTTTGTTAATTTACTGTCACTCCTCATCACTATTTTCTGATCACAAGGTTGTGTCTGCTGACAGCGCAGAAACATGCCTGAGGATGTAACTGAGTAATAATTCACAATTAAATCTGTCGGTAACTTTTTTGGATTTGTGTCATTAGATCATACTAGATAGATAGATAGAGAGAGAGATACATACATACATACATACATACATACATACATACATACATCGTCATGTTACTGCATGAAAAAGACATTCAAAAATGTACCCTTCAAATCCACTCCTTTAGCCGTATAACAACTTTCCCCGGGACCTCATAAAGAATGGAGGAAAGTGAGCACGGTCAGTGATTCATGGTGCTTATTTAACGTGTTGTACCTCGCCCTTATCACTTGCGCCCTAATGTTGCTATGCTCAAAGCACAAACAATGGCTTAAACACTTAGCATTACCCCTATTGCACACGAGCAAACATCCTTATCTCATTGAACCATGTCTGTCCCAACATTTTAGCATAACTTGGTGTATGTTGCACTCTCCATCAACCCCTGTAATCACCATAAAGCACAAACCTTACTCAATACTCAATTAATGGGAAATTAATCCACACAGTACGTAGTAACAACTTCTACTGGTGGGTAACTGGCAAGATCTTTGACAGCACCATGGCAACAGCTATTACAATGGTGAATACATGTCAGAATAATGAGAAGAGGTTGAGATCTGGGGGCTGTGCCTGAAGGCTTAGTTCAAACTGATGCAAACTCCCTGAAACTCTTCTGTTGCCCTATCAGGAATAGATGTAACATGTGGTGGGGGAGAGCAGAATCATTTTCAGGCTCGCTTTCTGGTAATCAATCATTGAGGGGCTACAAACCACACCAATTCCAATTCAGTGGGATTTTTTATCTTTTCCAGGAGTGTCATATTTTGGTGACATGCTTGTTAGCCTTACCAGACAGTTGATGTGTACTAGAATTACATCAGGCGGTAAAGTTCAAATCAACACTGACACTTGAGTTGGCACCTTTTATTTTGTTGAAAATCTAAGAAAGAGTCAAAAATCATGCTGGGACCAGAGCAAAAAAAAAAATGTTACGGGCTTTATCAGAGAAGTGCACAGATTCAGAATTTGAAAAGAAAGTTGACTCCACATCGCTGCAGCTAGAAGATGAAGGTCATTATGAAAGGGGTCTTTTGGAAAAATAACAGGGGCTGCCCCCCACTCCTTTCTGTCACCTGCTGCCAGATGGTGATATGTGCAGCCGTTTTTGAAGGCCTCTCAGACAACACAAGACTCAGCATCGAAGCGCAAGTGGAAGGCAGAGGGAGCTGTTTAGGGGGCTGAAATAAAAACTAATCTCAAATTCAATACGAGCTGACAGCAAATGAATTCCTCCAGCTTACCTCAGCATGAATAAACAGGCACATGGGGAGTCGGCTGTGGGGGAGGTATTGGTCGTTTGTGAGGTCCCAAATCCATTCGTTTCAGCTCAGGGTTTTATGCATCAAATAAAAAAAAGCCAATCTTGCTTTTTAAAGCATCTTTCCCCTCTGTCCAGGCCGATAAGGTACACCTTTAAGGTCTCTCATTCAGGGGCAGCAAATGTTACTTATGAGAAAAGGCAGTTTGGGTTGTTTTGAGCAAGGTAAAATTTTGATTGCATTTGGTTTAAGTATTTGAAATATCTGCCGAACCCTCTATCCAAGGTCCCTGAAAAATAGAAACACTGAAGTATAAATAATGAAAAATATTAATGACTTAGTATTTAGCCAGTCAAATAGTAGAGGAGAAGACAGTGAAAGGAGATTGCGACATTTTTCCCCTCAGATTTTAGTATCAAAAGAATGCAAAAAAAAGAAATATTAGAAACACATAAAAAGATATTACCCACGAGTCAGACTAATAGAAAATGTTCCATGGCCATTTTTTACTGCTATGACTATCAGCTAGGGTGTACTGTACTCTGCTGCACACTCTCGTTAATTAAGTTAAACACATTTTCAGTGGCTCAGTCTGTAAAGAGAGAAATGTGGCCAACCTTTTTCAAACCAATATCTAGACATGTCAGCCCATTTTCTCGCTAATCAAAGCTACTGCATCTGGAATTCAATAACAGCCCTTGAATGCAGGGGATCCAATGCCATGTTCACCAGGGAAACACAGAATTGATTGGGTCCAAGTCCACATGTGGAAATGGCAAATTAAAGCAATTTTTTGTTGTTGTTGTTCTCTCTATTGAATGTCTACATAGGGCAGGGAACACATTGCTCCTGAGAATGCTATTTGTCATGTAATTGTTGTAATATCCCCACCTTTTCCTCCTCAAGATTGGTTAGAAGGTTATTTGTCACTTACCAGGTCCTATGCACTACACTAATGGAAACATTTATCATACTTTATTCTGTAGCATAATGATTCCAACCAAACTACCTTACAAATTGCTTGATTGGCCCTTTAGTGGTTTATGTATTTTTTTTAACATTGCAACATGCTGCCATGATTTCTTTGAAAATGTAGCCCCAATCTGATACTGTTTGTAAGCTGTGAAAAACACCCAAAGGACTATATTTGTGTAACAAGACAAGATATGGGCTAAAAAAAATGTATCACAATAAAATTTCCCATTCTGCAATAATGATATTATAATTCCAAGCTATATTTTTGATTCATTTTGTCTTGAGAGCACCAGTTGGAGTAGTCAAATAAGATACTTAAGCCAAGTTTGAGTGGTAGGTTATGGAGAAAACTAGTGACATCAGAAAGTCTCAAATGTGAAAACATTTTCAACATTTGTTAAAAAAACTCTTATTGCAGAGTGAACAGCAGCAGATTCACTGTCCGATTTCAGGGATACCTGATTGAACTCATCTAAGCCCTAATCTTGAAGGAAATCCCTCATGTCGAGCCTCATTCAGTAACAAGCTGCTAAGACACGTCTTCTTCATTACCTTAAGCCATGTTTGTTTGTTTTATGCTCTGTGTGGGCTATGGCTGCGAGTCCATCGTTAGCTCTTACGTCATCAACTTGCATTTTTCGTATTTATCATGAGATGGCAAATATTTATCATGGAGGATTTTTCTGACGATATATTGTGAAAGATAATTTATCGCCCATCCCTAGTTACTAGTTTTTAAAAAAAAGTTTGTCATGCCAGTGCAGAGATCAGTAAAAATTCAATCAAATTATAAAATCAATGTTTAGATATCTTATGCCACATTTACATTTTTTGAACCATTTCAGATAAAGCAGTGCACCACTTCTGGTCCAGACATACCGAATATTCCTGTCTAATTGATGGTGAAGTCTTGTCAAGCATTAAAACACAGCACAGATAAATTATTATCTATTACCAATCGACACTATGCTCACAAACACATTTAAACAGGATGACTTTTTCTATCCTAGATGAGGCAAAAACACAGCCAGCTATGGGAGTAGAAGATTCACTGGGGAATATTCCACCTCCTCACAGAACTTCAAAGACGCAATAAAATCCTTGCTTAAGGATTCCTAAAAGGCTCCAGCATGTTCTGATGAATCAATGAGTTAAGTCAATATTTGAAACTCCACTCGTCTCTGATTCACACAGGGGAGATAAAGAGCAAAGTAAAAGTAGTTCTAGGAGATTAAAATGCCGGCCAGAAGCAGCCTTTTATTTTTACTAGCATCTCAAAGACATGAACCATCTTTAAATGAGCAGAGGTGACGGTAAAATTAATCTTGTGAGTATTTGTTTAGAGTGGCTGCAGGCTGTTATATTAAAGGAATAGGTTGGCGTCATATTAAGTCAGTCACAGAACAAATATTCTAAGTACAAGAGCATGTCAGTATTATATAAAAATAATGTTATTTGTGACCCCATCCTTTCAGCTGCAAAACCACAAACTCAACATTCATGAAACCAACACACGCCACGATGGTAATACACTACTTCAGCAAGGCACAATAAAATGCCCTTATATCTTTTCCAGATACTTGAGGCTGGTTGGCCAACAAACATAGTTTGTGGTTATTGATTTTTTTCTACATCCAATCATATCACTCCAGTATTAACAAGTCCACAAGAGTTTGTTGATTTTTCATCCACTTAAATATCAAAACCTTGTGCCAAAAATGAACTGCTTGTCTGAAACTGCAGGCACTCACTCAACTGAACACGAACACTTTTCCTGATGTTAATTTAGATCACTCTGAGAGCACCAAACATTTGATTGCTAGTTAGAGACTCAGCAGCAGTCATCTTAGTTTTTAAAAACATGTCTGGTTCCTATTATTTCTGCTAAATTGTCGCCCTCTGATGCCAACTACAGATGTTTCTATAATTGTGCTCCTGCTAATTATTTTCAGGCAATACTTGAAAGTTATTGAACTCGTAGTAAAATGATTGTAAATTTATATTTTGCATCAAATTATTGATGATTTTGGCAAGCAGGGAAATAAACAGCAAGATCTGCCATAGGGCCTTATTTTCCCTGATGAACAGATGCTGTATGCTATCTCTGGGACTCTTTTCTGTGTGTCTTAAATATTGTACAATGTTAATTGAACAGAAACTCATACTCCTCTCTCCAGTCCAGATAATGAGTTGCTTACTTTAAAAAAGGAAACTTTCTCAGTATTACAGCACTAAGAGCATGCTCCAAAGACTTGATACAGTCCTGGAAGTGTCTCGCTGTGTTACTGTGTGAAGGTTAGTTGTTTCTGAGTGGGGGAAAACTGCACCCTGCTGTACCTCAACGCCTCCTCCCTGCCCCCTTGCTCACTCATACGCACTTACACACATACTGTATACGCCTCTGCCTTAGGCCATTCAAACCTTTGCAAAAGATCGGGGGGAGAGCTGGTTAACTTCTGATGAACTCTCTATGGGAGTGACTCCCCCTTGGCCCCATTGCTCTCCCACACATCCATGCCCTCTGTTATAAAAAACTACTCCCAAGTCTGGATAAATAACCTGGCAGCACCTATCTAACACCCTCACACTGTGTTCTCTCTACCCAGCAGTGCTCGTCTGCATACTAAAATGCTTATCATGTCTTTCTCAGAACACACTGAGGCTTTGGAGGTCTATCGTTGTATTGCGCCATACTTGTCTTGCAAGCAGCGCATATGTAATGTAACTCCATACTGAATATTAATGCTAGGTTACTCTCTGTTACCAACTGTGAGTGTGAGCCTCAAGAGTGAGGCAAGGGCTGTGCAACACAATGCTTTTCACAGAGTGTTTTGCGCTCTGCTTCTTTGTTCGGCACTAATTTGCTCTGAGGAGAAACTTTGAATGTCTTTTCTACACCTTGTGGTCGTGGTGATTGTGGTGCACTGGGATCACTTTCTTGATGGAAGATTTTTGTCTTCTTGAATATTCAAACCAAGGGTCAAAACTCTATTAGGTTTGTGGCAGAGTTTCCACTGGTGTTTAAGACATGCACTCGTCCGAATGCTCAAGTAGGACATAATATGTGCTCCAGACTGGTGGTGAATATCCTAATCCCATAGTGAGTCACAGTTCCCTGAGGAAAGCCTCATTAGACATCCACTGATGTGTATTGGATTTAGTGATAAGTGGTGCTAATTGCGATGTAGGCAAATTTAGGTTCTGATGTGCTGTTGTGATTGCGTAAAGGGACGCACATGCACAAACAAATACACACAGTGACAGTAACAAGCACGTACACACATGCGCTCACACTAATTATTTTAGGTCCCAGCTGTGAGGAGGGGCTGTTGATTTAGAGCAAGGCAACATGAAAGATTACTCATTCTTGAAGTTACTGTGCACAGACGACAAAGCCCTTATTCATCTTGTTCTCAGCTTCACTCTAAAGAGAACTAGCATTTGACCCTGAACATTTTGTAAGGGAAGAAAATTAAGTCTCTCATTAAAAGCAAGATCAATGACAAGATTTCTGTACTACCACCAGTGCAATCTCAATTAGGCTAACAATTGAGGGCCTCTTTAAAAAGAATGACTGGAACTAGACAGAAGCTGTCTTTCAGAGAGAGAAACATGGGTTATTTTTTTTCTTTTGATTCAGTGCTTGGAAAAAAAAAGAGATGGCTGCTCAGCACAACTAAAGGAATGTTGATTCGCTGCCTTGAGCTGCCAGTGAAAAGACATCAAGGTGAACCTTCCCTACCATTTGTAAAATTGGTGGAGAGCTTTGGGTGCTTTTTGCCATAAAACCTCTCAGTATTTTATTTTTCTTTTAAGTGGCATCTGTTCTGTTTGCCAAGGAGCCATCACAAAAATCTATAAATAACAATACATAGCGCTATAATAACACCACAAAAAGTGAGGGTTTTGGATGCCTACCTGCCAGACACTCCACCAATGACAGCAGCAGTAAAAGTTTCCATGGCAACTCCATTTTAATGGTCTCAGGTCAATACAGGCTCACATCCAATCACAGGTGTGTAGAATCCCGGCTTTGTCCTTTCCAGCACTTTCCCCGTTCTTCTGTCAAATGAAAGAAAAGGAGAGGGAAGCCATTAGACATTCAAAAGCACTGGTCATTGGTTTCATCAGACAGGGTTATTTCACAGGGACAGTAATTGTTCATGTTGGCTCAGCAATGACTTTAATGATATAAAACACAAAAGGACGGTGGATGTCATCGTCTGAAAAGCCATTCTTTACCAACACTCTCAGCTTTAAGTGGCAGTTAATAGGGGCTCTGTTTTGAATTAAAGATCCTGTGATAGTCTGGGTATATCTGCAAAGATGATCTTGATACTGCTCTGTCTTGTGCAAGCACAGAGGATGATTTGTCCCGGCAAAGCACTTACAAATACTGCTGTTAGAGAGTTTTCTTAAGTGTGCTTAACGTTGCATAATAGGGATCATGTCGGCAAGAGCGACATAAAAAAAGACTGCTGGTACAAGTGCTCAAACCTGCTGGGACAAAACAAAACACAAGTCAGTCGTCAAAAACATCCCTCGTATGTCATGAAGCACTGTCCTGCCTCCTCAATTTTGTCCGGGCTGGAGGGATAATGTAATTCTGACATGAAGAGATGACAGTACACTAGGCAAAACCATTTTTGATCTCCAGGGAGCTTCACAAAATTGATTTTCTCAAGGACTTAACAGTAAAATCCCTGCTTGGACTCAAAGGTAGTTTCAAAAAAGTTCTGAGATGATAATGAGACATATTCTGTGAAACATGGAAAAAGAGCTATGTATTTATTAGTCATAATACTCCAAACACAACATGTAGAGATCCCATCTGATAAAGCAGCAGATAAATGTAAGTGTACGACAGGCCGGTTATGGAGTGAGACAGGATGAAGAGAGGAAATTAGCCATTGTCGTTGCTCAAACTGCGTCTCTCCGGTACATTTAACTGACTGATGACACCGTTTCATCTGACTACACACACCACCCAGCATGCTGAAATAAATGAGAGGAAAAAATTAATAGAACGTACAGTATAGTCTATCAAGAGAAAAGTACCAAAAAAGCAGAGACAACTGTAGGATTACACATTCATAGTTTCTGTTATCTGCACCTCTCTTATCTTTGCACCACTGAAAGGCATGACAGAGCATACTGATGCTTATGTGAATATATCAACTGCGTCCCTGACACGTTCGCCTACACTGCTCTTCCTTCTGTGTGTGCTAAACCACTGAAGGCAACACTTTCCCCCCATAAATCTCATTATGATGATTGGGTTTATGGTGTCATCTTAGTTCCAACATATCTCCCAGTTATTAGGATGCAAATGTCATGAGTAAGTGTTAGCTTTTAATAATAAAACTGAGAGATTTCACATCCTTTCTTGTGCTCCTGGATATTTTTGTAGTACTCCTCCTTTCAGAGAATAATTGTAGGAGATGCACTGAATAAATTACATCATAATTTTGAGGAGTGGGAGAAAGAATTGATATAGCATAGTATCACGATATTTTGTCTGGTGATATATCATATCGTCTCATTTACCGAGTATCGATTTTTTCAAATTAATTGTTAATATGAAGTCAAATCTATGATAATGGAAAAATAAAATCAACTGTTTGTCCAGTGAGTTTTGCAGAGGTGACATCATAGAGCAGGAGAAAGTTAGTACAACGAATAAATATAAGGTTTGCAAGATGTGCAACATGAAAATAAAATACAGCATAAATAAGACAAAGATAAAGAAAAGATGAAATGCTAAATCAGCTAAACAGTTGAAAAAAATTGTATAAATTGCAATTTATGGTATCGCAATACTTACTGTATTGCAAAATGTTAAAAATCGCAATCGTGGCCCAAGTACAGTGATACTTTCGTAGTGTGGGGCCACTGGTGATTCCCACCCCTAATGTTTTTAAAAGAAAGCTCAGAATTTTAGCAAAAAGTTATCTCTTAACTTCACGGCTCTAAAGCAAAAAATCAATTTATATCTAATATATATCTTATATCATATCTAATTTGAAACACTGAAGCACACCGTAACTAAATCAACCACCATTATCACTAAAAGTTGATATTTGCAGACTTGTGACACTGTTAACCATTTTTTTAAAAAATATTCTAGTTATTGTTGTGCCGTTTACTTAAATGTTTGAGACCCTGGTCCTCCAGAATTAATTCATCCTTCCTTGACAGCATCACAACCTTACACGACCAGAACATGTCATCTACTGAGTGGCTCTATTCACAAAGGCAGGTATCTGTTGGCCTCTGACTGCGATCTCTTGATCTCTATTACTCAGCAGGCCCTGAGACACGAGACATCACAGAGAAGGGTTACAGCGGGAGGCGGGGGGCTAAAAGACAGCCTTTTGATCCAGAGAAGCTCGGCACTAAGATGATGGCTCGGGGAGACGGGGAGTGTCCATGGCAGCATTTGACTTCCTCCTCAGTACAAATTAATTACCCTTGTGACCTTAAGTAGTAGTGACAAGGCCAATGACTCACTTTCATCCCAAATCGATTCTCTCGTTTGTTTGCTGTATGAAATGAAAGTTAATGATACAGAAGGCTTTCAAACTTTGCCTTTCAAGTTCCACCCCCTTTCATGTTTCTGGAAAAAGCCAATGGCTGAAAAATTGAAATGATCAAGGCTGGAATGACAGTCCTGGCCTTAACATTTCCCGACCCAATTTGCACAAACCCAACTGCATTTGAATGGATCACAATTACTTACTTCACAAATGTCGAGGACATAAACAGAGAATTAAATACAAAATGGCAATGCAATAAATAGCATACACACACAGATTACCTTCTTCTCTTTTTAGCCAGTGATGGCTTTGTGATTGGCAGGCTGCATAGCAACATCCCTTTCTCACAGAGGGTAACATTTCTTACTATGACTCTGACAACTGAGTTCAGGGTCTCACACAAACTTGTCCGTTTTTTAGGAGTGATAAAAATGCTGTTTACAAAATCAAAAGCTTTGAATTAAGTTTGCCAAAAGTGTGCTGAACTGCTGCTGATTGATGTTAGGAGAGCAAAACATTTAATTAGCAGATGATGAGAGGTTTCCTGCAAAATGTCAGGTGCAGCGCACTGATTTCTATCTGACTCAATGATCTGTGGGTAAAACAGCCCGTCAATATTTCCTCTTTGAGAGAAAATTGTGTAAAATGCCCAAATGTCATGCTATCATAATAATCAATATCATCTCAAATGTTGCCCAGTCAAATAAGATTTTGACAATGATTTCATTTTAAACTTACCAAGAGAGCGATTTATCAAACATTTAAAGGTGCAGGGTCTAGTATTCAACTGCGTTTAGATTAGACTTAGTACTGATGGAACACAGTATTGATAGGTTTGTTTGAACTAGTGTATGGCCACCAGAATATATAGATAGTGTTTGTTAACATGGAATAAAATCTACACAAGAAATGGGTCCCTCTCCACAGAGGCTGCCATCTTGCTCCACCATGGTTTTACAATGGCAGAGAAGTAACGGCCACACATGTTTTTGTGACTGGTGAGCAGTCACAAAAAAAGCCAAAGTTTAAGGGCAGAGGAAAGGAAGCAAAAGGAGAGTTGTTGTTGTTGCTGCGGCGTGCAAATGAATTGTATTGACATGATGTTTTGATGGAAAAAATTTGGCAAATGGAGAATCAAACTTATCAAGCATGACAGGAGCTTTTTGTCCTCGAAGGCCACCGCCACTCACCAACACGAGGGGCGAGCTAGGGAGCACTTCAAAATTTGACGGGTAAATACTGCTAAAAAAAATCCTCATTTCTAAACACGGTGAACCTGTACAATGTAAGACAGTGACCAATTATTGTTTCCTTTTGTGACAATTGCACATGTAACAAATATTTAAATTCCAATATTACTTTTTGCATTGTGTTCTTTAATATTTCATTAACTTGACATTTTATTGATCATCAGCTCAACATTGACTGCGCTGTGTTTAAGACTCAGCTGTCAGGCTTCATTCCCCAGTGTGGTACTCCTAAAACTTCATCAAATCACATGGAATCAACGTCACATGTTGCAATGGCTGTAAGCTTTGCCTGTAAAACTGAGTGCTTTATTTTATTTGACTTTTAAGGAAATGCAGCTGCTTTAAGAGAAGTGTCAAATTTGTGGAGACAAAGCGCTCCTCCACATTTCAGTGTTGTCAAAGTGACACCTCTTTTCCTCTTCCTCTCTGACAGCACCAGCTGGAGTTGATAAACCACAGATTGTAGTTCAGTCAGCCACTGAGGCTGACAGTGATGGCAGTAGATTCGACCCTCACCACTACACCCAATCTCTCTGCTGCCATCAATTTTTCAGCGCTCAAAAATGTATTAATAGAAGGGTACTCCACGTCCCGTTGGGTTGAAGAGTCCAGATGAAGATAAAATTTACACTAAAATGCATGAGCAACCCACACACACTCAAACACACCCACACCCCCCGAGCTCTGAATCATGAATGAGACCAGACTCCCACACTCTGCAGGAACGAGACAAGATGAGGAAAAACGGCATACAATACTGCATCTTTAATCACCTGAGCTGTGACTTCACTTGATCTGCAGACACCAGCTCGATCAGTGTTTTCCTGCATGGGAGGTTCATCTCACGGCTCTGAGTGCCTCCAGTCATTTAAAATTCATTTTCTACCGGTGCTTGAGTTGAGACTAGTAGTAGTAGGAAACGTGAAATTTCTCCCTAATCCTGCATACTTTCATTCACTGCACACATGAATCAAAGAATTACCATGCAGCTCTGTGCAGCTCAAGCGTGGCAGTGATAATGATATCAAATCCTAATTAGATGATAGTATTTTACAGTTATGAAGGTTCTTTGACACCAACATATTCAATTATTCAACCAAATATTCACAGTCATCAGACAGCAATCAGGATTTTCTATTTTGGTTGTCTTTTTTTTTTTTTTTTACCATTAGAGCTATTTATATTCTGACACGGACTATAATGCTTTTCTTTTCTGGCTTTGAAGGCTTGCTTGCAAATATTTTTCTTTGTCATCATCAAACTGACGTTGTCCTTGCTGTGTGTTAGTAGGTATCCAGTTTGTTTACCTCACAAATATATTTGTACAATTCGAACAAGAAGAGATTGACAGTACAAAAGGTATTTTGGAAGTGCTTAGAAAGTTGCACAAGCATGAAAAAAAGCCACAAAACTCCTGAACCTCTTGCTCTTCAAGAATCTTTGCACATATAAGCAAAAGGCTGAAAACTTTCTTCAGCTGAAGCTTTTCTAGTGCCAAACTCGTTTTTTTTTTTCCTCCTCGCAAATGGCACACCATGGGAGTCAAGGAAGTGCCAACGTATTCCCTAGCCAAGATTCTACCTCAAACAGTGGCACAAGACAAAGAGACTAATGGTGTTTTGATCTAACCACACAAGCCGCAGGCATGACATAACACATGCCAGCTTTCTCATTTCTTCAGACCACACCAGGGGCGCTCCATGAGAGTACTCATCCCAACGTCCCCTGTGACAACTGCAACCACGTATGTTGAAAGGCTCTTCCTGCTTGCACACATGCTCCAAGTCCAACTTTTAACATAATGAGCATGGTATATGATAATGATGTACACACCACTATAAAGCTTGCACTCCATTCCCAGAGTATTTCTGAATAAACTTTACAGAAGTATCAAATGTTCAAACTGTGACCAAAACAACCATTGTACCCTTAAAAAGTAATAGATGTTAATGAATGATGAATCATTATTACTTTTTAATTGATTTGAAATCACTTGAATAAGAATGGATGGCCTAGATTTGAATCGCTCTAATTAGACACCTGCAGCAAACATACTGTGTTATTTATTTTACTGATGCTAGCTGTGACTGAATGTGTTTTTAGGCACAAGTGATTGAGCTTCCAGTGCACCAGCCTTCACTAAGGTACTAATTAAGACTCCCATTAGGATTTAAAAGCCTGCCAATTAATAGCTTCTCAAATACACCGTTTTAAGTCTTTGGTGGAACACTTTGATGGAGCTCAGCAGTTATCATGGACGGCAGTTTTGAGCCCGACATGGAGAAAAGGTAAGCGCTAATCACTGTAAAATTCTGTAAGCACCACAGCTTACAGGGATTCGGGAAGCTTACAAAAAATCTGTCAGACGGTATGGCAAAAAAAACAAATAAACCGTGGCCCTATTCAAAATGATTTACATGGATTGATGTGAATACTACAGGAGTAAATACATTTTAGGTCTGCATTTAGTTCCTTTAACGATATAATACACTCAGTACATTTTTTAAACAGCTTATTGAAAAGTGAAAGTGGTGAAAAGCAAAAAGATCATGATTAAAGAATGTCTGAGTGCACCTTAATGTTTCCTGTGTTTGGTGTGAAGGTTATCTTTACCTGATTTCATATTCATTTTACACTACATATTCAGGATAAAATGAAAATATGATATGTAATTTCTATAGAAGGGAAAAGCATCAGTTTAGAAGCAGTCATACAGGTGGCTGTGTATCTTATCTACCTTTTTGTGGAGTTTAAGATCTAACCCCAAAAAACTACAAAGAAACGGCACACCCGTAACTTGGACATTTCTCCCAATGTCTGATATCCGATTATTTGGCTAAAACTAAAAAGATAATGACGTTCACAAAAAGATGTGATCATTTTTCTGGGTACAAAGCTGTCCATAGATGTGTCTTCAGGGATAATATGACTCACACCGACGAGGACTGAACATAAACTTTACGGTACCCCACTGAGGAGGTGTGGACGACAAATGAAAAAAAAAAAAAAACACATGTAGCATTGGATAGACGGAATGTGAAATGATCTGCACTCAGGCTGTCATCCGGTGGGTAGTTGACTTTCAAACATTATTAAACAAAACATTAGAAATCTCTCACATGGTTTCAGTTTCCTATTTCATACTATAGAATTACAGTTAAGACTGGTGAAAACATTGTGTAAAATTGAGTTTTGAATAAAAGACAAACAGCACACATCACCAATCTGCAGGTAAGCTGCCGGCAGTCTGTTGCAGAAGAAGGAACAGCACAGATAGAGAAAAAGTGAATGGATTTCTGAGGAAACCATGTGGATCATCGCACTATCTTAGCTTACCTGATGTTTTAAAATGAGAGAAAAAATGACAAACCCTAACCTACTTGCACTATCAGAATACACATCATTTTTGTCGCCCACATCAAGCTGTTTCCATTTCTCATGCAGACTGGGCTCTGCTCAGTGGGGTACTATGAACTTCATGTTCCACCCTCCTCCTCTTTCTGAGCCAGTGACATCATCAGAAACGTGTCCAGCCATAAGCACATTTCCCCAAGGAGATGTGGAGTAGCTCCACTTTCCAACCACCAAAGGTAGGAAAAGTGACTGCTCACAGGAGTGGCATTTATGTTGGGAATTAAACCACAGATTTCGGCTGTAACTGCTATGCCCACGACACACCCATCTGGAATTTTATAAAGATTAAACAAAAGAGAGCAAACAATGAGGGGGGGTGTGAGTCAAACTATATAATTAAGCACAGAGAGGAGTGTACTGTTTTAAAAACATCAGATGCTGCCACCACTAATTTTCTTAATAGCAGAATCATGATGAGCAAGGCAGCTCCCTCTCAAACATATGGACACTTGATTTCACGAGGATAACTATTTCCAACTGAGTGGCACGCTAGAGGACTTCAGACAATCTGAACGGCAATCAAGCTCGGAGCTGGGTGCAATCAAAGAGAGGGAGGGGGAGATGATGAGAGTGGACTGAGTCCAATCCCTTGTTGATCACTGACGATAAATGAGTTCTGCCAGAGGATTGAAATGAGGAAGAAGTGATAGCTTGATTTGTGCCCTGCTATGGAAAGGATGCACGGTATAAATGCTGTCTACGGCAATTACAGGACAAAGAGTGTGTGTGTGTATGTGTGTGTGCATTACGCGTAAATGATCAATAGGGACTTGAAAAGTATAATTTAAAACCAGTTAGCTTTTATTATATGCTGCCGTTAATGCTTTGTCACAAAACATGCCTTGACATGTGTATTTACGATGAATAGCCCGTCTGGAAGGCTAATATTTGTCTGCCTCGTGCCTATAAGACAAATGAAAACAGCCATCGGCCATGAAACAGAACTGCACACATATTTAGCGGTTTTTCTCTTTCGTTTAATTTCTTTACAATAATACACAGTAAGCTTAATTACCACAGACATCAGGAGTTGAAGTTTGTGGAAGAGACTGGCGATCAGAAATAAAATAACACTGACCTAAAATAAGCAAATAAGGGGCTTGGTTTGTTGAAATTTGAAGTTAACACGTGTTATGCAGTGAAGCATACAGTGTAAAGTATTTACCTGAGTTCGCTCTCCGCAGTGTTTGCTGATGTTTATCCCTTCTCGGAGATCCATGTTACACCGCGCATCTCTTCACTGCCTCAGCCCAGCAGCTCCCAGCATCGAGTCGACGGCGACAGTGAAGTTGGTCTCCTCAAAGTGCTGTTGTTGCTCCTGCAGAAATGGTAAAACTGTCCTTTCCCGTCTTCTGAAGCTTAATGCAGACGTCCACACGTTCCTCCCGTAGTGTCTCCACTGTTTTCAGACTCAGAGTACTTACTACAGTAGCAGCCTGGTCCTCTGCTCTCCACACTCCAGTCTCCGGCACATCGTTTAGGGCTGCGCCGGCAATCCAGCCCGCACTCCCCACCAGGCAGACAGGCTATGAACTCCACCCGCAGCGGTGGCTTCTAATAAGACGGTCTGCTGTGCGGAGGTTGTTAAATGTCGCCGTGCGGGTTCATTTTGGGAGAAGAAAGTGTTCCCGGTGAGGTTGACGTCGTAGTTCAGTCTAAGCGTCCGGCTCGTGCACAAAATGAGGACTGTAGTCGTGCGCGGCGGCAGTGGCACATGGGACAAGGTGTATGTTGAGGCTACAGTGGATTGTGTTTTCGCTCTCAATATCCTCGCGCGCATGGCTTTTTCAAAGGTGATTGAGATGACTGGGGTAGTTGTGTGGTTGTTTCACTTTTTACCCAATCTAGGAAGAAATGTATAAGCTTATTTTCTTTGTGTTTGGTGGATGTTTTTTTATAAAGAAACAGCATCACAACAATATTAGAACAGCCATACTTTGGTTTAACTAACTACCATAATTAAAGGAGAGACTTTCAGTAACATATAAACGTTTTTGTTTTTCATCCAGTGTTAGTATAAGGGACGTTTTAATAGACTATTGTAATTGACTGTTGTAAACTCGCTCCTTTTATAGTCTATACTGATTGATAACAGGGGCATGTCTGAAAGGTTGGACGGGGTGGCATTGCCCTCTTAAGACATCTTAAGACATCCATGCATACTTCTTATATTTACGATGGAGTATTAGGGCCACATTAAGAAAAAAGAAAATTTAAGACTTCATAATTACTTACTAGAATAAAGTCGTAGTAAAGTAATTACTTACGAGAATAAAGTCGTAGGAAAATCATTACTTACGAGAATAAAGTCGTAGGAAAATCATTATTTACGAGAATAAAGTCGTAATAAAATCATTATTTACGAGAATAAAGACATAATAAAATCATTTCTTACGAGAATAAAGTCGTCAAGTAAATTATGTCTCAAAGCTGCTTTAGTGGAGAGGGAAATGGCTGGAACTTGGTCAACTGCAGAGTTATCTGTGGCCGCATCAGTGGGCCATCAGATGGCTTTTGTGGTTTCTCAAGAAACAATAAAACTGATGATCAATATTTGCAATTCGCACCATGTCTGTCTATGATGCTGGCACAACACCGGCAACAACCTACACCTGCAGAGGCACCAACACCTTATGGCATATAGATTCATATGATGAACTTTAAGACATAATTTACTTGACGACTTTATTCTTGTAAGAAATTATTTTATTACGACTTTATTCTCGTAAGTAATGATTTTACACAACTTTATTCTCGTACGTAATCACAAAGTCCTGAATTTTTTTTTCTTAATGTGGCACTAATACTCCATCTTATATAATAAATCTTTTTTGGTTGTTTGTTTGTTTTTTATTTCTGTCTATAAGGAATTCAGAACAGAAGCTTCAAATGGTAAGTTGTCAATGTTACATTTTAAAGTGAGAAAAAAATATACCCAAGAATATCACCTTTAAGGTACTTAGATGTTGCTGAAGAAGACAAACAAATGCATGATTTGTGTGCCATCCCCTTTGAGCCACCCTAAGCACAACCCCTGATAAAAAAATGGTTTATTGATAAAAACTATAATTGCACCCAAAGGGATCATACTATGGTAACACCCCTTCCACACTTAAATGTTTTGATGATATTTTCATTATTATCTAATTTTTAAAACGATGTTTGTTGGCTGGTGTCAAATTCAGGGTCCCACGGGTCTAGGCTGGGTTTCCTTAACAGTTTGTCTATTCTGTTTTGGGTCCTGTTATAAGCTTGTAGTTTTATCCTCTAGTGTTATTAGTTACTGTCTTATAGCACATAGTTATGTGAAACCACCACCAAATCCCACCAAAGCTTCACCCAGCATACTGACTAAATGACTAATCAGCCAGAGTAATTGAAAACACCTGTGAGAGTGTGTGGAGCCTTTAATATGCAAAGTATCAGGTTGGCTAACTACAGCTGTCAAACAAATGTAGAGACTGTTCTGCAGCCCCTGTCTTTATTGGCTTGCTGTCTCAGGCATGAAACATTACGTGAAAGCAGCAATTTAAAGAAACATTATCACTGTTGCAAAGATGGCTGTCGCCCCTCAGTAATGTCAACCACAGCTATGCACTCTATGATCATTAAAGCAGCTAAAATTAAGGCAGGTTCTCTATGTACTAGGAAAACTTGAATTAGTCATCCTTGAAAATATTTTCTTCTTCTACTCCTCTGTATTCATTCAAGACCATCAACTGTTCATTAATTCATTAACTAAAACCTGTTATATGTTTTTAAAAAGAACATTGCACAAATGCACAGATACAGCTTCTGGTTGCGATGTGAAATTAATCATGGTTATATATATTGTTCTTGTGTCTCTGACTGACTTATTATAAAACTTTGCTTTTTTCCCTGACACAATTGGCAGTTAGGTGACAGAAGATATATGTGTCTTTGTAGCTCTGTTGGTTGTCTCCTGCTGCTTTGAAAGTCACATAAAAAAGTGATGATTATGGCACCGTACCTTAAATAACCTAGGTCTGTGGCAGCAGCTGCAACTGTGATAACATTATTCACAGTTGCAGCAATTTTTCATGAGGCGTTTGCATTTTTTGTCCATCTCTGTATGTGGTATGGCAAATTTACATAAAATTAACATTAGAAACAGATTTGAGTCCAAAATAACACATCTTTGTCAGACAATGTTTTCATTATTATTCTTATACACAAAACAAGGCAGGTTGCCACTGGTTCTGAAAGTTTAAACAGCCAGGAGTTGTTATAAGCACTATGCCTTTGGCTGATAATCCACTCATAATGTTGAGAGGGATTTAAGAGAATCTACTTCTGTTTGAGCCAATAGGGGAGTGATAATTACAGCAGAAATTAGTGAATGCCCCGCTGAGCCTTGGAAAGGCAAAAGGAAAAGAGTATTTGGATTAACCTACTGAATGAACATTTAGTATTCCTTAGCCACCCATGCACACAGCTAATAATGGCACATCAAAGCTCCAAGGAACACTTCATAGTATAGCGACCCTAAACACAAATATCTACAACTACACTTGAATATTTCATGAATTCTTTCATGCACAAGACTGGAGGGAAATGTTCTTATCCTTTAACTGTGATGATTTCTTCAGAAGAGAAACTAACTGAGTTTTACCTTATGCAGTTTTCTTCATTTCCCTCTGCTCTCTAAGGAGAAAAATGCTGCATGCAGTCATCACTATGTGACAACAAGCTTTTCATTGTTGTTTGGAAGATGTCATTTAAATACATGAATTACGTTTGTCCTGCGGCGCTAAATGAGATGCTGAAATGAGCAACTTGTCAACGCCACTAGGAGTCAGAAAGACAAGTATTTTCAGGGCCGTTTCACTCTGGGAGCAAGAAAAGGCAGATTTCACTCTGAAGAGATGTCACAGCCAAACACCTCTTTAGATGCATGAGAAACTTAAAACTTCAGTAACACATTGTCTTTAATCATAAACTGTTTCACTGACATATACATGTTATACTGCTTTTTGTGGGGCTCCTTTACATCCGCCTCTCTCTACACAGTTTACTTACTCATGGACCTCTAAACTGTAGTTGTAAGAGAAAACAGAATGTTGGACTCGGATTTATTTTAGGAAAATAGAGCAGTCTTTCTTAGGTAGTTGTCCTACTAAACCCAAACAACAGAGAAATAGGTTTCATTTATTTTTAAGAGTGGGATGCCATATTACAATATCATTTAATAACATGGCCTCATTAAAAGTGAACAAATCTGGAAGTTATCAGCAACAAAGCAAACTGTCTATGTGTGTCTTGATTTAGTATCTCTTGATATTTCATCTGTAGTCATGATCTGTTACTGTTTTCTGCAGACAGTATAAAAAAATACATAAAAAAATTAATTTGACCTTAATAAATTGAATTATTCCAGGGTTTGAGTAACTAATAGAATTGGGAATTGCAATTAAGGGATGCAGGTGAAGATGAGGGGGGTTCAGCTGGACCTACACTGTGTCAAAGCAAAGTTCTCCTTTTTTTTGGCACAGATGGTAACTCAGTTGTGTGTTGACTGAGTTGGGGCGATCCTCCCTGCCCTTGTCTGTATGTCATTCAGTTTTAATCAAATGAAGGACAGTCAACAGCTCAGTGAGCTGCTCAGCAATGCAGACAACACAACCAAGCTTATTCTAAGAACAGAAGGATATGGAGTCAAACCTTGACTGCCTGCTGAGGACTCTTTCCTGACCTACAAAACTAAGTCAAGGGTGATTCTGATGTTAAACTTTTTTCAGCTCCACTGGGCAGAAAACCAGAACTTGTCTCTTATAAGCCTCTAAATACACGTGCTTATTTCTCTTATTTGCTCTTCATTGCTGCAGAATAACAGCATAACCTTAGAATATGCATGTGCCAACAGCCATCTATATAACAAGTTTAGGTTTCATTAAGCTAAAGCATCAATGACATAGATATGTCTAAGAAACTTCATTCAACGGTTAGTTCTTACGAAGTGCTCAGAGAGTAAGAGAGGCACTCCACGAGTGTTCAAACAGGGTAGATTATTACTCAGTAGATTTATATGCAGTTAAGTCGAGCTTCAGTTATAGCTTGATGAGGCAATTTAACCGGACAGTGTCTGTGTTTACAAAGTACTAGGGGTGGGAATCACTAGTGGCCCAACAACACAATATTATCCGATATTATCACGATATACAACATTTTGCAAGACACTAAGTATTGCAATACAATATATTGTGATTTATACAAATTTTCAACTGGTTAGCTAATTTAACAGTTGTCTTTCTTTATGTCTGTCTTATCTTATCTGTACAGTATTTTATTTTCATGTAGCACATCTTGTAAATCTTATATACATATATATATATTTGTTGTTGCACTAACTTTTTCCTGCTCTATGATGTCACCTCTGCTAACCTCACTGGACAAACAGTTGATCTTATTTTTCAATTATCACAGATTTGACTTGATATTAACGAATAATTTGAAAAATCGATACTTGATGGATGAGACAATACAATATATCACCAGTAAAAATATTGCGATACTATGCTGTATCGATTTTTTCTCCCACCCCTAACAAGTACTGGGCAAGAATTGAATCATTAATAGTTTGCCTCCACTACAGTTGCCGGTGACATGCTCCTTTTCAGCTTGTTATTTTGAGGTCTTTTCCTGGTTGACCTATTACATATCAAAACATTTGACAAAATGTTTGTACAATAGAAAAGTTTTGTCGATTTAATGTCCTTTCTTTGTCTCTTGAGGTTTTGTTTATTGAATTTCCTTTCAGGG